GAAGACTCAAAGCATGCGGAACGAGGAGGGTTCGCATGCGAGGAGCAAGCTATATAGGCCTAGAGCGCTAAGCCCATCTAGGCGTTCCTGACAATGAGAGAAGAGAAAGAGTCTCTCATGCGGGGAGGCGGCGAGAGATAAGGGTCTGACCCCTTAGCCTTGGCAGCGGGTGCTGATGTGTCTGTACGGCGGCGTGCTTAGCCGTTCGTGACATATCCTCAGACTCTTCCTCTAGTTCATGGAGAGGAAAGTACTTTAGTCTTTTACAACAAGAGCCTGCGATAGAAAGGTAGATATCTACTTACCTTACTTAGCGCCTTCTTACTGATTAACTTAATATTATATATATTTTATTGGGAATTATACGTCTATATTATTTAATTATTCACTTAATTATTCAATTATTCACTTAATTATTTAATTATTCACTTAATTATTAATGATACATATTATAATATAGGAACTAGGCTATATAGTAAGGTAACTAAATTAGGCTTAGCTGTGGCAAATAAAGTTGTCTTACCCTTAACTTCTCCTTCTTCTTTCTTTACACCTACCTTCTACCTTCTTTTTTAACCTTCTAACCACAAACTAATACAGATGGAAGTCCGCATTAGCCGCTACTAACATCTCCTCTCATGCTGCTTCTCAAATGAGCAATCAGGAATTGTACAGCGGAAATCGCGCAGGTCCGTGCCGCACACTGCGCCAATGGCCGTGGCAGGGCCCATGATGCCCGCGAAACGCAGGCTGGAAGAGACCCAACATGATAACCTGGTAAGTGAGATTCTTTCACTTTTTCTCGTCCGCTTTAACCTGCATGTTTTATAGCTATTTTTTAGCCTATGCAGCTGCACTGTCCACTACAAGTAACTTCAGCTGGGTGCTGGCCCCAATGCACCCACACTCATGTATAAGTATACTTTTATGTTTTCAAGCTTGATTCACCTCAGGGAGTACAGGAGAGCAAAAAGTAACCGTCTGATCTTTTCCAGCGGCAGGCAAGCCCGGTCGTGATCGAATTGTCTGACTCTGACTCCCAACGCGAGGTGAGCTCATGCGCAAGACGCGACTTCTTTCCCCTTCTCACAAACCCCTGAACCCACTTAAATGTTATTGTTCGCTTAGCTGACCCTTGGATAGCTACCATCAGTTCCTCCCTCCAAGCGTCACAAGTCGCGCACGCCTGCTGAAAATGGCGCCCGGTCAAACTCACCGTCACGTGTCAAGCTGGAGAATGCCAAGACAAATCGCGTTCCAGCACCTCCAGCAGCCGGATCACGAACTGCTCGACCTGATAGATCTCTCTTTACAGCTGTTCAAAAGAAGCTAAACGGAGATTCTCGACGGGTCTCTTCGAGGTCAGCTGTTGATGTACTTGACTTCACAGGCGACTCGTCTCCGAGTCCTTCAGTCTCACGCTCATCGTCGGCACTACCAACCCGAAATGCTAAGCCTTCTACCACTCCCGGCAGTCCTCTATTCGAAAAGGTCCAAGAGGTGAGGCAGTCCAACAGCTACAGATCACCTTTTGTTGGTCCAGTTCAGAGTGGTTCACGATGGCGACAAAGAGATGGCGGCCACTCAAAATTGTCGTCCGGCATATTGTCCAACGGTGGAGCCGTCGACCGGAAAAGAGAAGGTATTAACAGGCCGGCGAGCGTCCAGAAGCCACATAGCTCTATTCATCCGGCCTATACGAGTATCGAGAAGTCAACCCGCTCGGCCAATGTGTCAATCGAGGTGCCACGCAAAACAACTCCCGAGCCTCGTCGATCAAGCCAACACTCACATATTGTGGTTGAGGTTAACACCTCGCCTAGAAATATACTCCAACATTTCCAAGGACCGCTGCCGAAGTCTAGAGCGGAACGTGAGGCTGAGAGAAAGAGACTATTCACACAACTAAAGCACTCTACTCAGCTTGTACAGGAGAGTCCAGCATTGGTCGAGCAGTACTTCGGACAGACGGGGTATTCGAAAGCCTTCAGCGTGGAAAACGAAGAAGAGCAGGCTTTTATGCGAAGAGCGGCATCCAAGAAGAAGAGAAGGGTGAACCGACGCGATATTCGGCTAGAAGTCGAGTCCTTAACACAATCAGTAGAAGGCCTACGACTCAACACAAAACTCATCCATCCTTCTCGTACTGCCAGAGACATTCTCACGAGTCGATTTGACGAGCAGGTTACGCCACCTCTAACCTTCTCTAATGACGTCAACGATAAGCGTCTTCACGGCAAATTCCAATTTATCAACCAGTACATCCTTGGCGAGAAAGTTAGACCCGCGCCTGCGTCGACGAACAGAGGGTGTAAATGCACCGATTGCTCCCTGTCTTCATGCGTATGCTTTACCAAGGTTCGGACTTACACCCGACGACCGGACGGCATTGTGGTCCTCTCTGACGAATGTATCGAACGCGAGATCGAGCCTGATGGACCTCATTACGAGATAACCGAGTGTAACGAGTTCTGCAGGTGCGCCCGGAATTGTTTGAATCGCGTGGTCAGCAAAGGTCGCACAGTTCCTCTAGAAATCTTTCAAACTCAGAAATACGGCTTTGGAGTACGTTCATCTCAGGACATCGTGAAAGGCCAGTTCATCGAGCTGTATCTCGGCGAAGTAATCACGGAGGCTGAGCTAGCACGTCGGGAGGAAGCCGAGAACGACGATGACCCCGCCTATATTTACTCGTTGGACTGGTTTGCCAAAATGTCCAACAGCACCACGTATCATGTGGACGGCAAATACTTCGGGTCAGCTATGCGATTTGTCAACCACAGTTGCAACCCGAATGCACGGTGTTTTACAGTCCAGACGCACAAGGAGGATCGCAAACTGTATTACCTGGCGTTCTTCGCGATCAGAGATATCCCCGCTGGTACTGAGATACTGATCGATTATCTTGGAGAAGGTGCTTTGGAAGCGGAATCTCAAGAAGAAGCAAACGCCGACTCCCTCGCAGCATATGGCCAAGAATCGGACGACTTGGTGAAGTGCCAGTGTGGTGAGAAGAATTGTCGAGGCATTCTATGGAAGCCTGGAGTCAAGGCTCGACGAAGACGTCGGAACCGGGAATAAGCTCGACAATCAGTGGGAGTCCGCCCGAAGGCCGATCAGCAAGTTACCAGGTAACATTCTCGGCCAACAGAAGCGAGTTTCAACCCGGGTACAGATCACAGTGCGCCTGAGTGAAACCTTGGGACTTATCCTGCGACAATGAGCTTCTCACGACAGGCGGACAGACGGCAGCTTTATGTGTCAGGTCTTGGATTCAGCACAGGAGACCTGTTTATTGGAACAGTTTTCGAGCAAGTAACTGTGCGTAACCTACCCATGCCGGTTGATTGCATGATATTAGCGACGTGGCATGATAGTAGCGACGGTGTTTAGGAGCTTAGCTGGATTTGCAAAAGACAGAAGACCTGTCACAATGTTGAAATGAGCCTGCCAAGGGTGCGGATATCAGTGAGAGCAAGTCATTATGAATGAGAATAAATTGACTTGAACAAGCCGAGCTTACATCACATCGGCTACGCGGAGCTGGGTCATTGAGACGAGATGGAAACCAAGAGACAGGCAAACTTTCGTGGTTAACTGTCAAAGAGTACAGTATCGAGCCCCTGTGATTATATTCGTTTTATACTTCGAACAAGTCTATCCGTGACACAATGCAAGGTCCACTGGAGAGATTCAAGCCGGTAAGAAGTGCCTCATTCGCAACCCTTCGCGACAGACACCAGGAGAGACTGAAGGCGCGGAGATGTGAAAGCGAGATGCACATCATGTCAGCAGTACCTCGTACTCCATGCCTCATACACTAGGATGACCAACAGTTTAACGACCTGAGCCTCCACCTGCGAGCAGTCCCATTCGTGGTCACGGCAACTTCCCGACCACCCTCAGATGAATTTCTTGCCACTAGTCGAGACGATGGAGATGGATAATTCACATCTTTGGAACTGGGTAAATATAATATACTTCTGAGGGCTCCGAGTGGGTGGTAATAATGGGGGCTGATCTTATGCCATAGGGCATTAATCGTACATAGCTATTCATACTAAGAACGAGAATGGCCAGTGTTGGATGTCCTCTTCCAGGGTGCTACATACTGACTAAGGGCGCCAAAACCAGCGAGATCGTCCTGTGTAAGCCGCGTCCTATAGGTTCGAGGCCCCGCGGGGCTCAGCCGGCCTAGGGTTACGGACGTAGTGTGCAAGTACGAGTACGGGTTGCCTACCTAGCCAAGAGAGCGGGCACGTGAGCGGGCAAGCTGAGTTCTGTGTGGTGGAAGCGGCACCTCGGTGAGCAGGCAGTCTCGGGCACGGACCATGATTACTATTCAACACGTTCCTCCTCAACCATCCAATCCCCTTCTAGCTAGACTTGGATGAGCGCGCATGCATGTCGATGACACCAAATCCCCAATCGAGCAATAATAAGATACGAGTACCATGAAGCCAGCTCATCTCTTCCCAGCCCTTCCGGCCCTGGCTCGGGATTTTGAGAGACACAGTGACTCTCGCCAGACAGCTGACGGTCACTTTTCCCTCACTTGCGTACGACCGCCTGCCTGATTGTAGAGAAAACTCACGGTGACGCACCATATGAGTCTGCGGCGTAAGTACCCAGCGGGTCCTGACTAAAGCCCGTGGCATTGGCAGTCAAACCCTGGTAAAGCAGCAATCACCGGATGGCCACCTAGTATTACGGCCACCTTCTTGCTGTTTGGAACCTGCCTCTTGACAGACTCCGCGCTTCGACTCTAGAGACTTGGACGATTGACATACCTCACACTATCCGCTGCTGGCTCGTGAAGAGTTAACGGCGTCGAGGAACTAGACATACACCAGCAGGTACCCGGCAGGGGGAACTTACTGGTTGATGACAGTGTGCTCACTCGACGGCTGGAATACCACTTCCGTGGGCCATCACAATTACCCATTCAGGAGGAGACAACATACCGATCACGAGTCCTAATCACCATTATTGGACACAGCGACACAAAGACACTGTACATTGGTCCGACCTCAGCCTTCCCCAGCCTTTCGCAGTCAGGTTCAGTAATCATCCTTGCGACCTGGTGTGTCAACTAGGACCATGTCCCTCACAATGCCAATGCACGCCTTCACAAAACAACCATATGGCGATCGAGCATATTCGTCTCTTGGATCGATCCTGGATAACCCCACACACCTACTGATGTCCTCCCAGGCGGTCGAGCGACCCGTTGGTGGAGACCTCGATATCTTGTCCGCTTCCCGGTATCCCCAGGGACTGATGCAGCCTTACGATGAGATAGAGGAGCAGAACCCAAGGAAACGAAAGGCAACGACCTCAATGGACCAGCTTTATGGCGGTATCGTGCTGGCTGGGTCTGCCGCGAGCGGGAGCAATCGTTCCTCCTCTGCCGAACAAGACACACCTTCGACCCAGAAGAAAGCAAAGTCCATCAAGCGAGCCTCGACCAACGAAGGCGATGAACAGGCAATGGAGAAGAAGCAGAGGGGCCGTCCTAGGCTTGATACCCACGATGAGACAGCAGCAGACCGCCGTCGCACCCAGATTCGGTTGGCACAAAGGGCGTACCGCCATCGTAAGGAGACGACCATCTCGGCGTTGAAGCAGAAAGTTACAGCCCTACAGAATACAATCGAACAAATGAACAAGACCTTTCTGACTCTGCACGATAACATGGTCGACGCCGGCATCCTGGCCTCTCATTACGCTTTGGCCCGTCAGCTTCAGTCGGCCACGGAAGAATTTGTTGCCCTCTCCAAGATTGCATCACCCGAGTCGGACGATGAAGAAGAGGCCGCCATTGCGGCTCTCACCCGGGGTGAAGGCAAGACGTCTCCCGAAGCAGGGGAGAAAAGGAACAACAGGCGAGGCAGCGGGCCCAAAGACGCAAAGTTGTCCTCGTCTACTACGAAATCGTCCACCAAAAAGGCTGATGTACGTCGCGCTGTCAGCTTCAACGACCGCGGCTCCCCTGATGCAGAAGCTGATATGGAACAATCACGCGCCACAAGCCAGCAGCCCGATGACACCTTCCTCGCACCGCCGCAGACAGCCTGGACGATGGACGACTCCAACATCCACGGCCTGAACGACGTGCTCTCCTTCCACACCACCATTCCCGAGACCGTTCTCTACGACGATCCGTATGAGAAACTCGTTGTTGAAAGACCTCTCAATCCGCCGAACAGGCCCCAAGGCTCCTCCTACACGTACTCCTTCCAAGAGACGACGTTCGCGCGCCGCCTGCACCGGATGTGTCTGGAGCGCGCGTTCCGCACTCTGACGAGCCCGAACATCGACCCGGCGTACATCAAGCGCGTCTTTCGCTTCACCTTTTGCTTCTCCAACCGCAGGCGCATGCTCCAGCGGTTCCAGGAGATGCTCAAGCGCCGGGCCGGCGAGTCGCTGGAGAACTGGAACGTGCCCTTCTTCCACATCGGCGGCGCGGGCACCCACTTCCCTCGCCGTGACGACGACGGCAACCCCATCTTCCCGCCCAACATGGTCAGCCCGGCCAAGGCGTTCGGTCCGCAGCCGTACGTCGAAGCCGAGACGCCCCGGCTCGAGGCCTCGATGCAGGAAATGCTCGACAACATCGGCTTCGGCGGCGTCTGGTTCGACAGCCACGATGTCGAGGAATACCTCAAGACAAAGGGGTTGTACCTGACGGGGCAGAGCAGCTTCGTCGAAGTCGACCCCGCGGTCCTCTCTCTCGTCAGATCAACCAGTGCCACCACCAGCGACGGGACATCCACGTCTGACCGCTCCCCGCTCGAAAACGCACTACGGACGCCCTCACCGCTACTACTCGCCGACGAGCGCTTCCCCGACCCGTTCATCGCCCAGCATGACCTGTCGTCGGAGCTGTACGCGCCTCTCCAGACCGCCGCAACCACGACCACGAGAGTAGCCACAGCCAGATTGTTCCCTCCGGCCACGTCACGCGCCGAGACGCCCAAATCCACCAACGGAGACGACGACATCTGGGAGGCGAGTTTCCCGTTCCCTGGCGCTCCACCTACATTCTCCGACCTTTTAGGCTCGAGGAGGCAAACTCCTCTGACGTTTGACGTGGAGATGTTTCTCGAGCGCATGGTCGAGGATGGCGCCTGTCTCGGACGAGCCCCGGGGTTCAGGAAGGCGGCCATTGATGAGGCCCTCGTGGCGAGTCTGCAGGAGGGGTTCTAACTTAGTACGTTTGAGTATGTGGTACGGAATATGCCGTACAGTGCTGTGCCGTGCCTCTTGAATGAATCCCGTGGGCACGACACCATGGATGGTCGTGCATGGAATGAAATGGTATGAAAAATTTCCGAATGAATCCGTGGATGATTGAAATGAATGTTAGGAATAGTGGGAGCAAGTCTACGAACGGAAAGGACAGAGATTCGGTGTCTGTCGTGGCGTGGGAAAGCTGAACCATCGACCTGTCATTCTGCTTGCCTGCTGGTCATGTCTGCCTGTTATATATATACTGCAGTGTGATGGCGATACCATATCATATAGATATACTCCGTACAGACATAGCTCGCATCTCGCTTAGATCAACTGAAGATCGCAGGGAGAACTGTGGAAGCACACTATTGTGAATTGAAGTCGTCTTCGAATTGCACAATCTCGGAGAAGTTCTGACCGCTCAGAGAACGGCGTAAAAACACCGATGGATAATGTAGATGCCTTCAAATTGCACGATCTTCAAGGAGTTCCGACCGGTCAAATTGTCATCCCCTTTCCTGTCATTCCATTCTATTCCTCTAGACCTCGTCCAAGATCGATAAAGGCTGAAGCAACTGTCTGAAAGAGAAACAAAAGCACAAGCGCGCGCAATGACTTTCAAAACTTGAAGATTGCTCTCCGTGGTGCCTCTGTATTAGCAAAGTATATGTCGGTATGTTGGTATCGTAAAACGTCAAAGTGCATGAATCTTTGCCCCCCTTCCCCATCTCAAGTCCCTGCATTCCAATCCATTGCACCAGGACCAAATCCGAGGCCGTCGTCTTAACGCCGCTAGAAAGACTCCAGAGCGCAATCCCGATCCCAAATCCCCTCCGTACTCTTACATGGCGCATCGTACATGCATTTTTTTAGAGCCGAAAAATCCACGTCGTCGAATCCACACTCCACACTTCACCATGGGGTCTTAAGTGCTGGAAGGTACGTAGCACGATCGAGACATCGGTCAGACGTGGTATTTGCTACCGAGACCGTGGGTCGCGACCTGGAGAGAGATGCCTATGACCGCTCCATGACGTCGAAGATCGAGTCCAAAACGACAGGCGTGACGGCCGTCTCGTGCATGAATTCCATGATGGAGCATTGCTGCTGAGAGGCCGCCGATCCAGTTGATGAAGCAGTGTTTGCTCGAGGTCTGGGCTCGAGAAGGCCCAACCCGATCGTCTCGACCTCATTGGCGTATAGAATTTCCTCTTGCAGCGCCAGATCGATGGCTGAGGGCTGTCGACGGATCCGGTATGGTTGGGGGTGTTGATGGCTCGGGAGGGCCGAGACGGAGACGGGAGAGGAGAGGATGGCAGAGTCGAGGTCTGTAACCGGTGCTCGAACCCGGCTTCTGAAGCTACGGAAGGAGGAACTTGGAGAGGATCGGCTCGACGAGGCTGGGGACGTCATGTCGCTTGAAGAAGGACTATGACTCTTGGTCGATCGGTGGAGAGGATTGTGGCTGAAGATGGTCTGCAGGTGCAGACGGACTTTTGAGGATGAAGATGAGATGTTGTGATGATGATGGCTCCGAAGGCTCAGGCTCCTGGAAGTTGGTTTAATTGAGGACTCTTCGTGGATGGTCTCGAACAGAGAGACTAACTGTGCAACCGCCATGGTATCTCCCTGAACTTGAAACCGGAGAAGGCAAGTACAGATCTCTCTCTCTTCTGTCTGAGAAGTCGGTCGACAAGTAAATAATTTCCTTGCTCGATGTTGGCCAGCCACGGTCAAGCTCTTTCTTGGGACGGAAGGAATGTGGTCAATGTGGTCAATGTGTACGAGTTGCTCAGGTGCCCAGAGGGTCTCCAAGTGAATGAATGTGAAGAAAGTTGCAATTGCAAGAAGAGAATGCGCAGGTGCGGAGTACAACTGTACAGATGTGCTAAAGGAATGTGTGACCAGCGGGGGGTCAGTTAAAGAATGTTTCTGCAAGAAGCGAGTGAGACTGGAAGAGACACCAAGTATGCATGCAGCCGTGGTCGCGGAGAAGGCAGAATATGTATCAGCTTCAGTAGAGTTTCACCACCACACAGCAAGTACGGCAGCAAAAGTTTCGCTAGAACATCCCGGAAAACAAGCATCGCTCGGGCGTCGAAACGTCAGTCAGTCAGTCACTCCTGTCACGCCATGGAGCCTTGTTCCTTACACAGTACTCCTGTGTACAGGAGAAGAAGGTGGGGTAGCGAGACTATTCAGGATGAGAAGGAAACAAGCTACTGTGGTACACGTAAAACGCGAGTGTCATGCAGCTTGCAGCTTGCAGCTCTTGGGGGGTTGGGAGGCGTCGGGAGGCGTCGAGAGGCGCCCGTGACGCGACGAAGAAGTTGGGGCAGGTCTACTACAGTACACAGTGAGTCCCCATCTCTTCATTTTCCACTGGTCTCTGGCCGCATTCATCTTCACAGGACGAGCTGTTGCAGTTGAACAGTTAGTTACCACAGTACTCCGTTATCCAGTCTCTCAGGAAGCTTCGCAACATCGACCCTGCATGTCCCTGGCAACCTTCGAGGCCATCGTCTGCCTCCACTCTTCGTGCTCCACTCGCATCCTTGGACCCTGCAGGGGTGTTTCCAACAGTGGCAGAGTGGCTTGCTTTGGCACCTCTGGCCCGTCCTGACGCGGCCCAAAAGGTCCCGAAACACACGCCGAACGCGCGACCGAGATTTCGACACGGAGCCAAGACGCGGGTTGGGTGGGATCCGCTTCGCTGATCTCGCTTGCCAGACGCGATTGGCGTCGTGAGGCGTTTCAGCTGAGAAATCCTCCGGCTTGCTTCGGGTCGACATGCACTTTGTTGAAAGGGTCGACGAACAATCCAGTCTCGCCGCCTCCTGAGGTGCCTGAGACTTGGTGCTTTGGTGTCAGATAGAGAAGTCGTGAGTCGAATCTCCCACAGACGTGTCACGCTGTAGCAAGCTCAGCCAGGGCAGAGGCCGAAGTGCAACATCTGAAGCTGCAGACACTTTTGAAAACCCTAGCCTCCGAGATGAGCAACTCTAATCCCGACAGGGGCGAACGACTTCACTAGACCAAGTACTCCGTAGCGTTGACATAAGGGTAGGTGCACTACTCAGACGTGGACCACGACTAAGAGCTCCCGGATCTGTGTAGCACAGGCGCTATTCAAACATTTCATGTCAGACTTCGAATCCGTATCATGATAGTGTTCTGCCCAAGTCGTTCGCCATCTCTTAGTGTCGACACAGCATATGCGGAGTACATGAATGACACCAGGTCTATCCATTGTCGTATAGCTTTCTCAGTCCTGCACCCAGTCGAGATTATTTCACCCCAGACTCCACAACGCCATCGCTATGCTTCCATATGTTCATTCCCTTCCGAAAACTTCATCAAGCCAGCTAGGTCATCCCCTTCAATATTCACAGGTAAAATGTGACGAAGAGTTTCTCGTCATAAAGTCGTCAGCTCTTGTTTTCCGAGCATGTCTTGTAGTCATGCACTTCAACCCCGAGTGCTGCTGCCTCGCCCCCTCGTTGTGAAGCTCCTGCGTATACTCTCGCCCCAGGCAGAGTTGTCAAAGCTCTCCATCATTCCTTGTCCATCGAGCTGGCCGGTGTTGCTGCTCTGTCGGCTGTGACTCAACGTCGGCGTCGTGGGCGAGGATCTTGTCGCCCCCTGATAAGATGTATCCATCGATCCGAGCCTCGTCCTGATCGGGCTGCTTGCAGGCGACCCGTCGATTGGCGATGCACTTCGTAAAGAGCTGCCAAACGGCAACGACGTATCAATGGGCGGCAGGTTGACAGAGTATTTCTTGGGCGTGTACGACTGTCGAGACTCGGTAAAATCTCGCGGTTCAGTCAGGCTGCTACCTTCCATGTTATCATCAGGATCCTCGATGAAGATTTCAGGAACTGGGAGGGTGGGAGGGGCGGCCAGGCGGCTGTTCCTGCGCCCCTCAACGGCTTTTTTGAACTTGCGAGACCAGTGCAAAGTGTCGAAGAAGCCAACCACGGTATTCCGGCGGATCGTCTCCTGCACCCTTTGGAGACGTGCTCGTCGGCGAAGAAACTCCTCGAGGCGTAAACTTCGCGAATCAGTGATCACGTTGTAGTGCGTCAGTAAGAACAGGACCGCCGTAAATGGGATACCACGGTCCGGATCAGCCGTCAACATGACCTCTTGGTAGAAGACGTTGAGACGCGCCCGTCTCTGCTGGATCTCTTTGACGGGTATCTGGCTCACTCGTTCGGCCAATTTGTCGAGGTCCAGGCCATCCACAACTCGCCCCGGTGGTCGGACAGGATCCCCTGGCTGGACGGAGCAGTCCTCCTTGATAGCCCTTACCGTGAAATCACCGTCATAGATGCGCATTTGCCAGATCCCGGACAGTTCCTGCGTGCTGTCAATGAAAGTAGACAAAGTCTGCAAGATTAAAACTTACCCCTAGCAGCCGTGGGAACTGTTCCTTGGAAATGAAGCCGGTACTGTTTGGATCGAACTCGGCCCACGCTTGTTTATAGCGCCGGATCTCATCTCGACTGACGATCGACATCCCACTGCTCTGTTGGTAGACATAGGAGAAACTTTCGAAGATCATCGACACAAACAAGGACACGAAAATGTACATGCTGATGATGTTCCAGGCGATGAATAGTGCTCTTGCCCATCCGGCACTGCCACAGTCGCTCGCGAAGAAACTATCTTCCCTCACACAAAACGGCGGCTCGATGCTAGCAAAATCTTCCATGATCTGATTCCACCCTTCTCCTATACTTGTCCGGAAGAGTAGGATAAGAGCTTTCGGCACTGTTCGGAAATTGACATTGTTGCTCTCGTTGGGACCAAACCGTGTCAGGCCAAATGCCTGGGTCAAGGCAATCGCAAAGACCAGGAACAGGACAAACCAGGTGGCCAAGAGGTTGGCAATCAGCGGGAGAGATGCAGCAGCAGTTTTGAACAATTGGTCCAGTTGATTATTTCGCGGAATGAGGAGAAATGTTGCCGAGACGAGGAAGAGTTTCTGAAGCTGTTCGAAGCCTCGGTTGTCGATAGAAGAGAATGAAATCAGCGAGGTGACGAAGATTCCTGACACCGAGAAGATCGAGTACAAGTCCCATGAGCTTCTTCGGAATCGGTTCCAGGAGAGACCGATGATTCGGATCACGATGTTGATGATGAGCACGAGTGTGACTGCAAGGAACATGAACTTTCGTAGCTTTGACCACCACTCGGGCTCAGGATAGAAGTCGACCGTCAGGAGGATCAAATGGAAGACCAGGACCAACGTGATGAACCGTTGCCACGCCCCACGTTTCTGAATTGACAGGTCGTAGCACCATTTCTTCCACTTGTTGCTCTCCACACCCAGAGAGCGCTTAGAAGGCGAGATCTGTCGCAGCAGCTTGCGTAATTCCAACCATGATCGCTGTTCAGCGGTCAAGAAGGCGACACCAGTTTGCTCCGTGTAGTTCCGCATGAAAACAGATATGAACAAGGTCAGGACAAAGACGGCGCCCAGCAAGTTGAAGATGATAAAGTACACGGCGTTGCCGGTTGACGCATAAGACTCCGGCTGCAGTCCTTTGCCTGTGATACTCGTGCCGGACCACATTACATCCACCCATCCTTCTTGAGAAACGATCTGGAAGAGGATGAACAAGGCACTGCCAAAGTCGTCAAAGTCGAACCATGGGTTAGCGACCTGTCTTGGAGCCAACACTGGCCAGTTGAATGGAGTCGAGTTGTACTCTCCGACACAGTTGGTTAGTGCACTGTAGCCGAAATCGCCATCATTACAGGCTTCCATTTTGCCGTTGAACAGATTAACTCCCAGTATTGCGAATGGAATGAGCAAGCTCATTGAGACAAATGCGGCAGCAAGGACTTTGTAGCCGCCCACAATAATGACCGAGTAAAAGGTCTGTCGCGCAGTGTCGCTGATGTTGAGCAAGCGCAAGGCTCTCAGCGCCTTGAAGGCGCCGACAGCACGAGAAACACCATCGTCACGGAACATCGCTGTGATTACGTTGATCCAGAGCGTAATGAGCACCACGCCATCGATGAACCCCCAGACGCTACGGAAATAGGCGTGTGGCGTAAAGAAGAGTCCGTCCGCAATTACCTTGATGGCCGCCTCAATGGTGAAGAGCGCTGCAAAGCCCAAATCGGTCCAGACAAACCAGTTTGTAATGCTCAGCGAGTTTTGGAGATAGTAGTCTCGCTGATACAATGGGGTTGTGATGCAGGCCAAGATGACCATGGCCACAATAGCAAGATAGGTGAAGGCAGAGAAAGCATACCACGCAGGTTTGAAGGGCGAAACACCCTCCACACGTTCGCTTCCTCGGCCGGGGCCAACAACGTACTGGCACAGCTTCCTGATAGGATTGTCGGGTTTGAAGATGAAGAGCGAGACATTGTACTTCGGATGCTTTTGCAGGTATTGTCGTTGAGCCCGCCGACGGTTTTCTGCTGTTGCCACCACCCTCTGTGCGACAAGCCTAGGATCAAAATCCTCATTGGCGCGGGACATTGTTGCATTCGAGTAGAAAGGATTCGGCTCTCTGTTTCCATAAAGGCCTGTGACCTTTCCCCAGTACTTTGAGAGGAAGCCGGGTTTGATAGTGGGTATCTGATCAAGGTGCATGGACGTTGGTCGCCGCACGAGGCCCTGATCTTGTTCGTCCAAAAAGTCCTTCACAACAGCCTCTTTGAGAAGCTGTTCGACTGTTGCTGAACCGTACTCGAGAGCGTCACGATGTCTGAGTGACTCCCGTCCCATCTTGAAGACAGCGGCAAGGGACAAATTTCCAGACGCTGAGCCGGTCATTTCTTTTTGCTTCAAGAATGCCTTTACCTGCTCCAGACGCTTCTCGTCCTCTGATACGTCGAAACTTTCCTGGATGACAGCAATAAACATGTTCAAGACAATCAGGTTCGACACCACGAACCAGAGAATGAAAAATATTGCGCTCAGCCAGGCCGTGTCCCACATATTGTTGAACTGGGTGGAGTTATACATCAGGGTGGTCCAGTTCTCGCTAGAGAAGACCTGGTACATCCCGAGAAAAGAATTCCAAATGTCGAAAAAGGTGACATTGATGAGTTCTCCACCCGCATCTGCCGGAGGAAATTCTCCTCTGAAAAATTGCGATGCCAAGATGGCGGCCAAAAAAGTGAACAGGAACACGAAGAGGATCAAGTTCAGGAGACCGACGATGTTCCCAAACACGACCAGGACCAGCTCCCTAGTGACCCTCACAGCCAGGACGACTCGATAGCCACGAGCAATCTGGAAGACCGAAAGCCACGCGTACGCCTGACCAGAGTTGCGTATTGTCGGGATTTGCGTGACTGCCGTGACAATTGCCAGCACAAGGTCGACGACATTCCTCTTCCCGTGAAAGAAGTGTCTCCAGTCACACAAGAAGCGCAGGATAATCTCTAGCAGAAGAAGGAAGGTGACCACCGATTCCGAGTTCATGATGAAGCTTTCTCGGCTCGAGCTCTGAGTCGCACTACGCAGACTCTGCACAACGAGGTCATATACGATGACAAGAACCCAGAAGACATGTGTCTTGTCGTATATTTCCTTCAACTGGCTTCTTTTGGTCATCGGGTCTTCGTCGAGATGCGGTCCGTCGATCTTATCGGCAGTAAACGCGCTTTGCTTGCTTTCCTCGCGGATGATCTGGAACGAGGATGTGATAACAGCGACTAGCAAATTGACCAGCCACAAGCTCAAGACAACAATGCCAGCAGCAAAGAAGAGTGCAGCGGCAAGATAGTCAGAGTCGGTCAGGTAGTACAGGAGATCTGAGAATGTGTTGGAGCTGATGATCACAAAGACTAGCTCGAGTGATTGCGCAATGTTGTCAAAGCTGACGGTGCCATTGTAAGGCCCAACGCCCGACTCAACGCATAGCGAGTTTTGAGGACAAAGGTAACCTTTTGCGCTGTTAGCCCCCTTTGAGCCGTCACTCTTGAGCCATGGCATCTGGTCGCCAGTCACGGCATCAAAGTAGCCACCGCAGAACTGGATAGTGTCGGGCGCAATGTTGAGAGTGAAATTCTGGCCCGAACCGTCATCTCCAACCCAGACGCAAGTGCGCCGTAAGCTCGATTTAAAGCTCTGCACTCCAACGATGCCGAAAATCAACCAGAAGAAGCCAATGAGGAAAGCCACGTGGACGAGCAGCGGAGCGGCCTTTTTCAAACTTCGTAGGATGATCGATGTCCCCGCCGTCAGAGCCAGTAAGCGTAGGATCCGGAGGCAGCTGAGCATGTTGAAAACGTAAACATGCTTCGAATCCTCCACGCCACTTATCTGCATCACGAAGGATATCCAGTACGAAACAACGGCTACGAAGTCAAGCCTGTTGAAAGAATGCCTGAGAAAGGCGCGACGTGCCAGGCGTATCCTCTGTTGCTGTTTTGTGTGGCCTGGCCCACCTGGTTCTGGGAGGCCTGTAAAGCTGCGGACGATAGATGGCTGAGTTGGCGCATCATTGGCCATCATGGGCGCTTCTCGAGCGTCCTGCGGGGCGAACAAGGTGTGAGCCTTGTGAAGAACAGCCTTCTTGAGACCGGCAGAACGGTTGATCGTACTGAACTGAACAGGATTGGAGATGAACCCTGACACGATGGTGCGAGCAATGAGCTCCAGAGTGTACACTACGAACAAACCAAAGATGGCATAGTCGAACCCAGTGGTGCCCCATCGCTTCGTCCGGGTCTGTAGATACACGGCGTCGGACGCAGCATTGACGGCAAGTAACACGGTCTGTGCGACGATCAGAACCAATATCAGCGGTTCGGTTAATGGATGAACCAGGATTTCACACAGCCATTTTCTCAATGCATTTTCAGGTCCGAAGATGCCCCACGTCCTCCCGAGGAGGGGATTTGGGTGATACACTGGGTTCGAAGGAGCTAAAGGGGTGAAGGGAGTGAAGGGTTCAGCCGTCACCTCAGCGGACGGTGTCTTCTCGAGTGGAGGGGCCTGATGTGGCTGAGCTTCCTCCTCATCTTCAATGCCTGGGAGAGGTGGTGCGGGAGAGGTCGTGCTTGGGCGTCTGTGCTGTCGCACGGAAGACTTGCGTCGAATGCTCTGTTCCACCATGTCGGAGTCGTTGCTTAGATTGACCACACGCTGTGATATTTCTCGCAGCATAGAGTTTGCGCGGGCCATTGGGGAGGGAGACGGCGACAACGACCTGGACCGCTCCCCTGACTCCGCGCGAGAGACTGATAAGCGGCTGATGCCACTTGCAGTACTCAATTTGCGATGCATGCCAGCTCCGGTATCGAGGGTCGGGAGGTCGTCTCCAAGGTGGGATGTCCGCCCCCGGACGAACGAAGGAGACTCGCCATCAGTCCAGTGCACACTGGACCCCTTTGCTTGTCTGTCGTGCCTCTGACCTCTGGATATGGAACTTGAGTTTTTGAGAGAAGATGTCGGACGTTGTGACGCCGTCAATGGGGTGGTGTCAGTGTCTGGAGGGGAGAAGGGAGTTTCCGCCCCGTGAACCTCTCCTTCTGCCACTGTTGTAATTATCGTAGGGCGCCGCAACCCAACACTCGGAGGAGTCGAAGGCAGCTGAAGGTCTAATCCCACCGTCGCGGCTGCGAAGCCTCCAATGTCTTCATCGGGCGACTCTCTGCCACTCCCACCGCCCCCTCGCACGGAAAGTCCAACCGATCGATTTGCTGCACCAGACGGACCTCCTCTTGTTGGAGACTCTTCATGGTCATTCAACCGTGCATAGTTGGGTGTCCGACGTCCCACCAACAAGGATCTCGTGCGACTGTGCCTCTTCTTATGGCCGACAGTTGCGTTTCCCAGATCCTCTGTCTCGTCTGATCTACTGTCTGGAGGCCTTGAGAGATCTCTGAGAGGTATCGACTGCGGTCCGATGGCCCTAGGGGGTGTCCTGTCGCGAGAAGACATCGCTATAGTGCGGCCTCAATAGAAGTAGGCCTTTCGATGGTACATGCTACCTTGTACGAGGCCACAGCATTTTCATGGCCTTGGGGTACCGGCGTTCCGGTGCAAAGTGTGATTTCAATGACGGGGTTCGGTAGTCGAAGTAGGAGTGAGTGAATGCGCAATTGCGATTAACGGAGCCCTCGATAGTAGGCGGGGATTATTTGCAGCGCGGCGCAGCTAATATGCAATAATTGTCGATTTACTACTGAACGAGCGGAGGGATGCGATGTATATCGCAGGAGGTGGCGACGTAGTATGGCGGGTGAGGAAGGAGTGAGAGATTGTTGTGGTCGGCTGTTCTTTGTGAGACAGCGACCCCAAAAGACCAGCGGCATGTGCAACGAGATTTGGTGTTGAGAAAGTCAAAGGCTCACGCCGCCCTGCGGAAGCCGGGCTTTACAACACTAACTCGACGCGCGGCGGTGCGATCCCTTGTGATGTGCCCTCGGCACTAAAACGCTGCTGCGGACTACGTCCCACCAGTTCCCATGGGGCCTAGGGCTGCTCCTCAAGGCAGACTTCAGCTGCTCCTTGGCCTCCGAAGTGCTGACTTTAGCCCCTCAGAAGCCACCAGGTACTATTTCAGGGGCGTTAACGCTCCGTGGCCTCGAACTCCTCGATGCCGGATATACTACTCCGTACTCCGTACGAGTTAGGATCCCGGGGTTGTGACGGTGCACACCCGCACACCCTCGATGATCTGTTCAAGGAACTATGCGGCATTTCTCAATGGCCGTGGTGAATAACGTCCAGCATCCCACACGAGGAGAGCAGCATTGCCATTTGCATATTGCTGTTCGGTGGCCATGAAACATATCATGGATTGATTGACTCGGTCGCTCCGGATTTCGCTGTTCAGGCCGGCAGCGGTGCCCCTAGCCGTGCAAGCTTCCCCATTATCAGTAGATATGTGTCTCCGTACATGCTCAGAACTCCTATAAAGAAACTTGTATAGTCAACAGAGCATTTCTTTGTTTTCGCTATCTATCCTGTACAGTCGACGCCCTGGTAGCAGTAGCCAGGGCCAGGAGTAGTCTCTTCCCTTTTTGCCATGTAAACTCGGTGCATCTGTGGCAACATTGACTGACTGACCGCCCTCAATGTCTGGGCGACCTCAAGTCCACGCAACTCTTGCATTTCTTAGCAGCCGTCTCACTTGTTCTGGGACCAGTTCTTTCGTTTTCAGACTCATCTTTCGAAGAGCCTGGATGCCCTTGCTCTTGCGGAAAACGTCGTCCCACAAGTTTTCTTGAACACATTCCAGTTCACTCTTCTCGTCCGCTGGGCTAAGCATTATCGGCACATCCATGACTTCTTCCTGTTTCTGTTTCCAGCCGTCTTTACCGATGCGAGTCAATGGAGCCAAAGCGTCATCCCAGGTCCCTGACCTCAGGTGGCATCGATCAAACTGGAATTCATGCAGCACCTTCCGGTGAGACATGATAAAGGCAGACGCCTGGTCGGCATCGAAAGTAGCATTGCTGAGATGCATGGCCCGTAGGCGCCGAAACTTCAGAGGTCTGCAAGGTGATTTTGTGCTGGAGTCCGGGCAAGCTTGTGAACAATCAAGGGAGGTCGGGCGCGATGTGCATGGCTCCGTGTGAAGCGAGAGCGGACACGGACCCTTTTCACCGAGCCACTGAAACGTGAAGTTCTCAAGACTCTGCAATGTCTGGAGGTAACTGTGGAGGATCTTCAGGTGGTCTGAGGGCTGGTCTCGACCATACCGGAAACTATCCATTTCGATGTTGAGAGACTTGATGCGCCTCCATACTCGTGCCGACGATGGTAACGACCCTATGCTGAGCTGGGGACGAAGGTAGAATATCGCCGAAGGATGAATTGGCGCCAGCGTGAGCGTTTCGAGCTGACTGGGGTTGGCAGCTTCAATCGCCAACCTTAGTGAGATCAGTGCGTAGTCAACCACATCTTTGCGGTATCGTTGACCTGCAAGCTGACCTGGACAAGAGACATGAAGATGCCGTAATCCAGGCATAGCACTGATTGCTTGGGAAAACGCATCCACATTCGTAGCGGCGTGGAACAGGGGTGGATATTGCCTGACCAAGAGGTCATTCATTTCCCAGGAACCATATTTGGATGTCGATGATGAAGATGATGAGCTGGAGGAAGAGTGCGGCCTTGAGTTATCGACTCTCGGTTCGTATAGAAATGTGACTTCGTCCAGAGTGCCCGGGATGAGTAGTGGAGGTAGGAAGGTTTCAGTACTGTGAGGCATGGTGAAGGACAGATGTCGAACATGCGGGCCAATCCGAGACAATGCACACCTACGCGCCCTGCGCGAGAAGGTGTTGGCACTGAAGCGGATCTCCAGGTTTTTGAAGAGAGCTGGGGCAACATCGTCTGCAAGAACCTTGCAGGCGAGTCGTAGTGACCGTAGATCATCCTTTCGGACAGACGATAGGAAGCATTCGCGAGTGAGATCTGTCCGCCAAAATTTGTCGAATGTGGTAGAGGGCATGTTGAACTTGGCGCATGGCTAACAAGGGTATCATGTGTCTGGTGGTCGTGGATAAACAGTACAACAGCAACGATAACACCTGTTTTCAAACGCCCATTGGAAAGAAGAGTGGAGATTATTTGGTCAACAAAAGATGGCACTACCTCCTCTGAACTGTACCGTGTATTCTGGTCCAGCAACAAAAAGATAACAATCAATGCAAAACCTCTGATGATGAGAGCGCAGGCCAAGCAACCAGAACTGGGAAGAGGCTTTACGACTGACTTTCTCGAAGAGACGGGTGGCCGAACAGGAGAGATATAGTTGAGAGCCATTTGATGGAGGGAACAAACCAGTCCATTGGGGAAAAGAGTCGTTGCGCAGAGTGTTCTCGAGCTATATCACGAATATTGCACGATCGTGAAAGCGCGAAAGAGGAAAGCAACGTGACTATAGGTTGGAGGACGTGGTGCCGCAGGAGGCTGGAAGAGTCCGGGCCTCGAGGTGCATAAAACCTGCATAAGCGGCTGCATCTGGTGGCTGAGACGCGCCAGTTTCGAGATTTCGGTGTTTTCTGTCCTCTTCGAGAAGCGCGACGCCTCCAGCGCAGCGAATCGACGCGCAGGTATTATCCTGTTGGATCTCCTCTCTTCTGTACACGCAGGGGCTGCTTTGCTTGTACGGAGATCGAGTATGCATTCCATGGCATAGTGAGGTGTTGTACTCTGTCCGAGTACAGACTGAAATGGAAGGAGTGTCCGCTGAGATTGGTTTCAGCCTCTGAACTGATCATCAGCCATCACTTCGGCTCGCGCCGCCGCGCGTCTGACCAGACGTGTAAAGTACCAAGAGATCAGTGGCCTGCAGAGCCTGCAATACTCTCTATGTAGAGTACTCGGTGCAGCACTTCTCATCAGTTGACTCGGCGCATGGCTGAAAGCGAAGAGGAGTGATAGTTGCGACAGGAGCAATGCGATCGTCATCGCCTTCCGCTCATTGTTTAAGAAGAGCAGAGTGAACACTGGACATGAAACAAGACCGCGACAATGCGTCACGAATCTCTCCGACGTCCGAGCGTCACTGCGTACAAGTATGATTGGTGAGCCGCCCTTCACCTTTACTCCGAATCCTGAAGTGTCTGGCCGGCGTGGTCGGTCAGCCCGGAACAACATGAAAATCCTTGCTTCGACATCGTTCTTCGGGCACACCTAAAATTGCCACTTCAGCCACGGCCACCATGCCCATTCCAGCCCAAAGCCCCGGGGTCTCCCTTCTCCGAGTGGATGCGAGGGTGACTTCGTGACCATCACATGCTCAAACATGACATCAAGGTTTGCACAGTTGGTGTCCCTTTCATCATTCACCGTGATTCGACCTGGCTCTATGGGTACCTGCCTATCAGCATCTGCATGCGAGAAAATTCGCAGAACAAAGCAAGTGAGCACACGAGTGATCACCACATCGCCGCCTGGTATAAGCCCAATTTCAGACCCCATGTCGAGAGGCGTTTGGCTAGCTCCTTGTCGGGTTCTCACCTCCCTACCACTTCGGTATCACCATCTCGCCTTTCATAACACGCGCGAGCCCTCTCTTCAAAATTTTGCTATCGATAGAGCCTTTATACTGTCCAAATAGCCCTTAGAACCTCTTTTACTCGTATACCGTCCGGTGTCATAGAGAGCCGCCGTTAACTCCAAGGCACGAGACCACTTGCTTGTTCCTGGATTGCGGCAGTCAGAGGCAACACAGTGGTCTTCCACGATGATTCCACAACTGAGCCCGGTTCCCGCGCTCCCGAAACCCTTTGGGCCGCATAAAGTCGGTACCACAGAATGGGAGATCCCAGTCTCAGAGATACCATCGCCGTCGCCGATACCAGACGAAAAGATCACAACTATAAAATTCCGACTGTTCTACCCGACAACACCCAAGGCCAAGTCGAAACCCTCAGTGACATGGTTACCCTCACCGCAGCGAGAATGGAACCAGGCGTACGCTTCGTTCCTGGGAGCGAGTCCTCGGGTGTCGTCGCTAATATCACTCGTCCCTTCTTTACTCAACATGACCACCTTGCCCTGCGTTGCCGATGCGCCATTATTACCTAGACAGGGGTCATTCAAGTATCCGCTTCTGATTTTCTCGCATGGCCTGGGAGGGAATTTCAATGCTTACAGCGCAATTTGCACAGCACTGGCAAGTTTTGGTATTGTGTGCGTGGCGCCTGAGCATCGAGACCAAAGCGCCCCCATGTCCATTATACGGTCGGCCGATGGGCGCAAATCCACCACAATCCCCTACCAGAAGCACCCACATGCTCCCACGGCGCAAGTCCTCAATGCGCGCAATGCCCAGCTGCGGATACGGCTTTGGGAGCTTGAACAGCTTTTCACGGTTCTGACGAGTCTCAATGAGGGCAAGACGTTCTCCAACTACGCTGTTGCGGGCACGAAAACCACACCGGGGCCGCCGTTGAAGAACGTGCTCGACCTGCGCCCCGGGCACGTCACCTGGGCCGGCCACTCCTTCGGCGCCTGCACGGTCACTCAATTCGTCAAATCGGTCTACTATCGTCAACATCTCCCTTCATTCAAAGACACAGAGTTCGAAAACGACCCTGACTGGCGACCACTTTACAAAGCCATCGAAAACAGCGAGCTCGTGCGACAAATCACGCCAGAGTCACCCCTTATCCTGCTCGATCTATGGGCCATGCCTCTGCGGGCAGGACTGACCAGATGGCTGTGGGAGAGGCCCCTACCGTGCTACAATCGCGAAATACGCGATGGCAAAGCTCCTCCTCCCACGAATGTGATCGCAATTGTATCATCTGAATTTTTCAAGTGGCCCGAACTGATCAATCGGATGAAAGCTGCCCTTTCCGCAAAGCCTGCCGAGGCCATGTACATGCTCGAGAAGCGCACATCCAAAGACAGTACAAATTACAAACCACGCACGAGATCCAACCCACAAATCGTTGCGACGCCGCCCGATAAACTACCAGTCGACGTGGAAGAACCAGAGCAAGTAGTATCGCGGGGCGGTTCTCCGGAGAACCAGGATGAAGACCAAGAGTCAGATGCTGGCGACGAGATGTTTTTGACTCCATTCTCAACGCATGGCGAGGAGTTCCCGTTTGACAAGATCATGCTGAACAGGCGATCCGGCTTCGAAGCTCGGAGGGACTCGACAGATACCCAAGAGACGAGGCAGGTCGGTGTGGAGGCCGAGAGGGATATGGACAGAGTGTCCATGAGAGCAGCGGTGAACCAGATCAAGCAGATGCAGCTGGATTCTAAACTAGAGTCGCAGGACCAGGGAACTGCGGACGAGGAGGATATCATCAGGGAGGCCATCAACCAGCCCCTCCCGGATTCCGCTGCAGTAGACGAAGAAGGTGATACAACCACTCAGGACGAGATGTCTACATCCTCCAACCTGCCCATCTCCGACTCAACCTCCTCCCTCTCAACACCCGCTTCGTCAGCCCAGCACAGCCGCTCACCCTCCCCATCCCCCAGCATCTCGACCTGCGAAAGCACATCTAGCGTCTCATCGCACTCATCCTACCCTGCAAATCCCGAAGAAGCCGATTCGGAAGAAGCCGATTCAAGTAAGACCACCGTCCAGGCCGTCATCCCACCCGCCTCAAACACGCCCTCGCCTCTCGACCCGCAGCTCTTCCTGATCCCGAACACGGCCCATCTCTCACAATCCGATTTCGGCGTCCTTTTCCCCAAGCTGACACGCTATCTCATGAACGCCGAGAACCCCGTCGAGACGATCCGGCTCAACGTGCGGGCCATGCTGGCCGTCATGAGGAACTCGGGCCTCGAAGTCGAGGCGTACAAGGACGAGGTCGAGAGCGTGCAGAAAAAGAAGGACGAGAAGGCGCCGAATGGAGGCGAAGAAGCACAAGCAGAGGACGTGAACGATATGGATGAGATCCTTACGGAGAATTGCAAGGAAGAGAGATGGTTGAGGGTTGATATCTACTGACTTGACCACTTGTCTCGTGCTCACTACGAATTCCTGTTCTATTCTTCATTGTTCGAGCGCTGGGGAGTTTTTGGAGAGAACGGCAAGTCAACCAAGCGATGGGGGTGGGCGGTTTGCTTTTGGATCCAGCGGCTCAGCTTAGACTAGGTTTGGGGTTGGTTGTCCGTTCGCGATATGCGTCATGGGCAGAGGATTTGTGCTGCTTCTCCAGCCTCTTTCTAAACCCCAAGCTGCTTGTCGGTTTGGCGCCGCCATTGCAGAGGAAGGATTTGCTGTACTTCCTCGACAGCTTCTGTATATACTGTCACATCATCTGACAAGCTCCAGGTCGCACGTTCAATGATAGAGTTTCTTCAGAGTCAGCGCGGATCTTATCAGGGCCGAGTGCTATAAGGTGGTCTCAGTCAATGTTCTTTCATGTCGCTATGCTAAAACTAGTCTAGAACTCTGAAAGTGCTGGAGAGCAATCATGTTAATGTGAAAATCTTTTGCACTGTGATTGCCCTGCGTACTGCAAACGAGAGGATGCAAGATTTTGGCTGGCTGCATCTCATCATCAAGGACGACTGCTCCTTGAGCTAGACCTTTTCCGCTGCTCATCTTCATTGCGTAGATGCAACGGCAATCTCAACCGACGCCCCGAGCTCACACAAGGGCCCGGCGAGCTTTTCTGTCCTGTCAACAACACGACCTCTTGCCGTCTCGCTAAACCCAAGTTCCCAATGCTTGCTAATATTCGCTGACTTGGAAGACCTAGACTGCAGTCACAGCCTCGTGTAGCGAATCGCTTACAAATCAGGATCTTCCTCATCCGGCAGGGGCATCGCTGCGGCCTCGGTCATCTCCTTGTGGTACTGGTCGAGCTGTGCCTGGTCAATCTGAACCTCAGGCGGGGCAAGGGCGGGAGCAGCGACAAATTCGAGTTGAGGGTTGCCAACGAGTTTTCGTGCTAGCCACAGAAAAGGCTTCTCGAAGTTGTAGTTGGACTTGGCGGAAATATCGTAGTACTGGAGGTTCTTCTTGCGATGGAAGGTAATGGTCTTGGCCTTGACTTTGCGCTCCTTGACGTCGACTTTGTTGCCGCAGAGGACGATGGGGATGTTTTCGCAGACACGTACAAGATCACCTGTGATGTATGGTCAACATGCAGCCCGTGATGAAATGCCCGGGAATTCAACGTACGGTGCCAGTTGGGGACGTTCTTGTATGTGATTCTGGACGTGACGTCGAACATGATGATACCGCACTGGCCATTGATGTAGTAACCATCTCTTAGACCACCGAACTTCTCTTGACCTGCGGTATCCCAGACATCGAACTGGATCTGACCAAGGTTCTGGCTGGCAGTCAGTATCGGATTCGTTGTGATGGTCGCCGGTGACGTACGGTTGAGAAGCCAAGAGGGTGAACTTCGACACCGAGCGTAGCAATGTACTTCTTCTCGAATTCACCTGTCAAGTGGCGTTTGACGAAAGTAGTCTATCAAGCGAGTCAGTGTCGTCCTTCTGATCCAGGTCGCGCCTGCACGGAGAAGTAGCCGAAAGAGGCATATTGAGAGCACCTTACCTTTCCAGTCCCGCCGTCACCGACCAAGACGAGCTTGAAGGTGGGAACGCCTCCAGCAGCTTCCGCCATTGTGATTGTTTGCTTGTTGGGATGACGAGCAGGAAACTAACGGTCTAATCTCGAGATAGATATTGCGATCGCAAAGATGCCACAGTCCCAGAGAGTGTGACAGGCGTAAAGTGACGGTCGGGGAGAGGACGAAAAGTTTGTCTGATGGTATCTGAAGACTGCAGGCGCAAGCCCGAGAACCTCTAAAAGGCGGGAGAAAGGTTGTTGTTTTCACGCAATGCCAAGACCAGCGTCACTGCCTAAGCAGCGTTGGTGGCGCCTGTTGAATCGCATCACGTGATCCTATCGCTCCCCACTCAAATCGAGAAACTACCTGAAGCAGATGAGCTACATGAGGCGAGGAAGATGCATTTTATCTCCGATTGTTGAGTGATGTTGTTACATTTTCTTTGATGGGGACTTTTCCCGGGAAGTCCACTGGTGCGGCTGCAAATCTTTGTCTCAGTGCCGAACCACATTTGCACGGAGCTGTTGACGATTTGTTCATGAGGCCTCCGGTCTTGTTCATCGATTGAGAACCACCCAGTCCAGCAAGGCTCACCTCTCCTGCTCGTAATGGTACATCACGGGCACTCTTTGCCTTGCTTTTCAGCTTGCGGTTTTGCTTTGACAAGACTGGGTGATCTGCATGTACATCGGAATTGGCCCAGCTTTGCACCACAGACACTAAGACTTTCATATTGGGACAATGTGGCATCCCAGTGTGCCTCTGCCACCCCAGTTTTGTCTCGGAGTCAATCTCAATTCTAGCTCTTGCGCTTGTGGTCCTGTTCCCCTGGTGACTTTTACCACGATCGGGCGACCCAAGTTCTGGCCGACGACCTCTCCAACTTTGCGTAATCTTTCGTGGTTCGACCAGATGGCTGTGCCGAATCTTCTTATTTGATCGCCAACCTTAAGACCAGCTTCATTCGCAGGACTGCCAGGCTCGACACTGTTGACTTGAGCAAAGGGCGTCTCGGGAACAGACGGTGTTTGCAGTGGCGCAGGAGCTGGCTGAGGTTGAGGTTGATTCAAGGAATTCTTGTATTCATCTGAAGCTTGATATTTAGCATGGTGGTCATGAAGACCTTTCTCGATCTTGTCCATCAGGGCTTTCCAGTCATTGCGAAGGCTGATGATTCGCGCTCTGGTCACTCGTACTTGCGCCACATCAATATCGGACCTCGGGAAGCCATCGAACGTGGTAAGACTTGTCTGCATGGTAACCCCATGACTATCCAGAACCGCCCCCAGCGCCTTCAGTTCTGCTTCCAGGTTGTCCTTCCGCGCAATGAGTTGGTGTAGTGTCAGACCCTCAAATGACTCGGCCTGGTGTATGGACGTTGGTCCGCTAGGGACATGAATATCTGCAATGTTAGGCTCCATTGGTAGTCCCATTATCCGTCAATAGCAGAGGCAGCGAAAGGATGCGGGTGTTGCTACAGAATCAAGGTCGCGTCAGGCACAGGCAAAATGAACGCGCAGCGCAGCCCAGAAGCGAAGCAGAACGTCAAGGGAGGTGAAGCGGGGAGCGTCCCCGAATTTCGCCGGTGTCTTGCCGGATGTCAATCTGGATTTCAAAACTAAAACACCAAACACCAAACCAAGCTGAGCACCCTCATATCGATGCTTGGTTGAAGTTCTTATACTTACCTATCCTTGAGCCGTCACCTGGGACCTGGACGTATCCAGTATGTTAAGCCCCGGCCATGTCAGAATAGCACTACCATGGCCATTCCACCACATGAGGTGGCTTCGACGCCCATGTTTCACAGACAATCTCATGTAGTTTTGTTTGCATCTTGTCAGATTCGGGCAAATCTAGCTCAGGTAAGGACAGAGATTTGCCATAGACAACCATCGACAAACCATCCCTAGCTCTTCCGGGATGGCTGAAAGGCTCCTTCTCTTTCCCTTGCTTGCGGCACTCCACCTTCCGCCATCAGCCAGCTTGGAAACCGGCCGAGCATGGGTTCTATCAGACTTCAGCCGTCTCGCGGTCATCGATTGCCTACGTCTGTTGCCATGTCATATCGCTCAACTTTTGGAACATCGACGTTGGTCTCTTGGTCCCTCAAATGGGAATTTTGACCATTGGCTCTCATTTCGTTCCCCATTGTTGAGATTCTATCTTTTGGAGCTTTGTTTATCTTCTATCAGTACTACATAATGACGGCCCAGCTCCTGCCTTGCATTATTGCCAGTCCGTTCAGCAGACGTTTTGACACGAGCACGAGCATCTATTGCGGTACCAAATTAGCCTATCCTTCTACTTCAGAGCCCCTCTCGAACTCCTGGACTCCGTGTCGTATCCAGCAAGACTCTCAAGCGTATTCAAATTCGGTGCTTTCGGTTACCTCGGCTCCGACGCAAACGAGCAATGGATGTTCAGACTCTCTGGTTCAGAACACCTTGCCAGCATCCTCTCTTCAATGGTCTACGCACTCAGCTTCGAAAAGGATCAATCTACACTCGGCAGGCTGTGATGTATCGTCAGCTCGAGGAAAGACGGGGTTCCTCACTCCTCGGTCTGCCACTGCACCGCAGTGCAGCGAGAAAAAGCCCACTCCCAGACGCCTCCTTACTGCAGGTCGGCCTGGTCAATTCCTTGCAGACCTGCTCAATGAAGAAAAGGACACATACGGATCGCACGATGGTCATAGCCCGGAGGTCCGAATGCACCATACGATTGACACCTTCTCATCCACGGACCCGTACTTGACCGAAGATGGAATTCAGGAGGATTCGCACCCAAAACCACGCGCCCGAGAATGGTTGAGCTCCTTCAACGAGTCACCACAGGCACTAGATGGAACATCAGTCCAATTGGGAAGTTCAGCGCATATGCCAAATCGCAAGACACCGCTTGTTTTTCACAGAAAGCGCCATTCGACCGCCTCCTCTGGCTTTGTGCACACCATGAAAACTGCAAGCCTCAGTAACGCAAGCTTCAGCCTCGCCGCACGATCCTTGCGCTTCGGTCGATCCACGGATAGCTCAGGCATATTCAGTTCTAACCCGAGACATTCAGTTGATAGCGACCGACCGCCCACATCCGCATCTATGGACGAAGCGGCCTTTCGCAGAGCCATAAAACGAAGACAGATCCTTCTCGAGCTTGTCACCACTGAAGAGAGCTACATCGCTGATTTGAAGGCTCTGATTTATCTATACTCGACTCTCTTAGCAACTGCGGCGACAGTCTCGAACCGGGTCAGGTCGTCCGTGTTGAGGAATGTCCATGGCCTTCTTTCTGTCCATGAAAGACTCCTCGAGCGGTTACATCGAGCTGCATACGACGCGGCGGCACGAAAATGGGCGGATACTACCTCACCCCGCCATCTTGGCTCACCTCGCTGCCACAAACGATGGAAGAGTCTTGAGTCAAATGCCGCAGCCAGATTTGGACGCAGCCACTGGCGCACGCGCAGCTCGATGGACTCGTCGGAGGTATGCCGCGGTCGGACTTACCTAGGCGGTGCCGAGCCGCAGGATGCTGCCGACGTGGCCACGGTGTTCAGAGAATTCTTGAATGACTTTCTTGTTTACGAAGAGTATTGTGCCAATCACAGTCTGATATCTCATGAGCTACAGCGACACGCTCCTACGCATTGGTCAACCTACGAGTCGGGCATAGAGTCGCTGGCCAGATCCCTTGTCGCCCTCGACCAGAAAACCCAAAACGAGAGGAAAGGACTTACTGTTGGAGATCTCCTTATCAAGCCCATACAGCGTATGACGAAGTATCCCCTGCTGTTTAGCGACCTGCTCAAGCATACTCCTGTTGCAGACTGCCCGAGTTCTCATTCTGAGCTGGGAGTAGTCCTGACATGCTTGAGAGAAGTTGTTCATACCGTCAACAAGGCCACAGATGATCGTGAAACTCGGAATCAGATCCAGCGTCGGTGGGCCCTCCAAACGAGGCTGACCTACGACAGGGTATCGCTTGGAGCCGATCAGTTGCGCATGTTGGGCAACGTGAGGCTGTGCGGTGTCCTACATGTGACATGGCAGACTAGGAACACCAAGGTTAATGGCCGCTATGCACTCTGCGTCCTATTCGACAGTAGCCTCGTCATTGCCCTCCCCACTGGCGCTACTGCGAAGTTCGAGGCCATTGCTTTCCTGCATTTGCCCGACCTCAAGGTGGAATCTGCGGGTGACGGCCGCGGACTTCAGTGTCATTCGGCCCTTCATACCTGGAAGATTTGTTTCGAAACTAGTGGGCACCTCCACGAGTTCATATTGAGTGCGTGTTCTCCAGTCGAGGAGCATGCATGGAAAGCGGGCATGCGAACTAAGGAATTTCCTTCTAGACGGACCGATGAACTGTTCAACCAAATTCCTTCAAGTACAGGGCTCGACCTCAGATCAATTGGTCAGGTGTACAGTCAGCAGAGCTCAACATTGTCCAGGAATCCTTCCGTGCAGAGGGCTGCAACTGTCGGGAATCGAGCCAACGTTTGCCAGGTCATCATCCGCAATACACACAATCCGCAAGACCTGGGCGAGTTTCGTCAAACATCCTCGTCAGCCATCAACAGGTCACAGTCACATATGACCTCGAACAGGGTTGTCGTGCTCGCACCAAAGCGATCGGAGCGGGCACGGCTGGAAACAACACTAGCTGATGTATGGACCAAAGAGAAATTACCCTATCCCGGTATGATCGGTTCTCGCGGTGGCCAGATAATCAGAGCCTCAGCCGGGTCGCTGGTCCGGAAATTGAGCTTAGCGTCTCTTCAAGGTCCCTTCTCGAGGAGATCTGGCAGTATATCCCTTACGAGCCGCAAGTCCTTCGATATGTCCACAGACGGCCGCCGGGGTCGAACCAAACCATCCACACCAGTTTTTGAGGTGCGAAAAGAGAGCTTGGATGAAGTCCAGCCCGCCCGGGCAAAGGCACGGGATATACCTGAAGTTGACACCATGGATAACGTGATCAGTCGGATGATAGGCAGCAGTGTGTCAAGAAAGCTGTCTGGCTCTCATGAACATCACTTTCTGGGAAGGAAGGGGACAAAGAGGCAACAGCTAGGCCATGGCTCAGAGCACGAGCTGGGACCGGAAGACCCAGCTGACGTCTTCTACTCGGAGGAGAAGAATATGCCGGAGAAGCAAGAAGTCGTCGAAGAAGGACTCGAAGGTAAGAAAAAGCGCTGGAGCAATCCACTTGGAATACTGAAGGTTCTGTCGGGCGACGGACTTCGACATATGTTGTATTCAAGCAAATAATCCATGCAGATCGTAGCGTTCAGCGTAATACATGTGAACACCCCGAGTACTGAGAAAGTGTTCGAAGTCATTGTTCGAAGTCATTGCTGCTTTATCCATCAGGGGTTCGGCTTTTGTCTCGTGCCCTCCACATCTCTTCACCTTCGGTCTCTTCGACATCGCCAGATCATCACATGGTGGTCGAGGGCACGTCTACATCAATCGCTTGTATGCGGATATGTCGGGTGTCCGGCCTTGCGTCACCTGGAAGGCACTCAGGCTTATCGATGTCGCCATCACGTCTGCACACTTGCTTGACCGACATCAGGGCCTTACTTGCTGACCGAGCCTCCTCTTAACACCGGTGCTGGAGCTTTTTGATGTAAGATGAGCCTACACCAGGGTTACGCCGCGTCTAGGCCTCTACCTAGCTCGGCCACGACAAGATCATTTCGCCAGCTCGGTGTCTGAGTATTCTAGGTTGTCAAGATGCATCCGGGGTGGTTCAACCATGAACGATACTCTGTCCATCACTGTCGTCGGCGCAGGCATCGCGGGTCTGTGGACGGTGATAGCCCTCCGTCAAGCCGGGCACAATGTAAAGGTGTGGTCCCTCCCCTCCTCTCCATACCTGGCCTTCTGAATGGTCGTCCGTCAATGGGACTGTCCCGGCACCAAAGCATTCACTCGACTCGCTCTGATGAGTACTGTACAGGTCCTAGAGCGCTCACCTCTCCTCGATGAGATCGGCGCCGCAATAACCCCTGGCTCCCAACGCCGTCAGGATCTTCCGGTCAGGGGATCTCGACTTTGAGCGAGCAAAGCTCATCCCGCGCCTGGGCTAGACGTTCATTGACGGCACGACGCTCGCGGAAGTGCGCCCCACGGACCGTACGGATTTTCAGGCCAAATCCGGCGCGCCGTATCTGTTTGCGCATCGGGTGGATTTGCACGCCGCGTTGCGAGAGTTGGCGACATGTCCCAACGGCCTGGCCCCACCAGCAGATTTACACACTTCAAGCATGGTCGTGGACTACGACGCCGAGACGGGTAGGGTCAAGTTTGCAGACGACAACACGTGGACGGAGCCGACGGGTTTGGTCGTTGCGGCCTGGCGTCCACTCGCGCGCGGCAAGCCATATCCTGGACCCGGGCCTCGAGTGTCCCGCCGCCCACGCGACGGGCAGCACGGTCATCCGCTTCCTGATCCCGACAGATCTGCTGCTTGCCGGTCCCGTGACGGCTCCGCTGCTCAAGTACGGCGAGGGTCATTGCTCGTTCTACATACGCGGGGATAAGAGGCGGTGGCTCGTCTGCTACCCGTGTCGGGCCAACACGCTGCAGAATCTCGGCATGTACGTCGACCGGGCCGCTCGAGTCGGGCAACGGGAAAAACGGCTGGAATCAGAAATGCGACCGCGACGTTCTGAGGGCTGCGCTGGAGGGGTTTCACCCGGCGTTGCTCGCCCTTGTCGATAAGACTGCCCCGTGGGAGTGCCATTCTCCCGCTGTGGCGGTACGCCGAGAGGGACCCCCTGCCGAGATGTACGCGCCGAAAACTCGTCGTCATTGGAGATGCCTGCCACCCTATGCTCCCTCATCGCGGGTCCGGGGCCATCAATGCGATCGAGGATGCCGCTGCGTTGGGCGCGCTATTTGCGGGAGACGCCACAGACGGCCCTAACGGTGGTGGTGGTAGTGGTAGAGGTAGTGATGATGGTGGTGACGAAGCTGGGACAGACGGTCCCGTCCCTACCGTCCAAAAACCTCCTTTACCTCTTCGAGACCGTACGCTTGCCCCGCGCCTCCGTGGCACAGCTGTACTCGCCGGTCGGAACGGACAGGGATCCCGTCGTGGAAAGACGAGAACAGACGTTGAGGATTTTGCCTGCTGAGGAGTTACCTAGTGAGTTGAATCTCATGTTGTCATTGTCATTGTCCTGTGGGGCGTAGCGTAGCAGTTATATTTGATAGTGATCTTCCTTTCGTCTTGCTCTGCTTTTGCAATGGGTATCTCATGCGTGTGTGTGTACGTGTAAACAGGACTGGGATTGCACAATGTACGTGCCTGAACTGCAACATAGGCAATGCGGCCGAAGTCGTTGATTGGGTGTTTGGGTATGATGTCGTGAGGGGGATGAGACGGGCCAAGAAGAAGTTCTTGGACGCGAGGAAACGGACTGTAAGTAAGTTGAGCTAGGAAGTGGACAGCAAATGATCGAGCTAGGAAGGGCACTGTGTGTGGTTGAGCTCCTAGGGGAAAGGCTTGATGCTACAAGCAAAGACGGAAGTGAGGGACCTGCCTGGTGTTTGGGGTACCGAGACGTGGGTGCCGGTCTTTTACACAGGACTGAAATGAAGCATACAAACACAAGAAGGCAAAAGCTTAACTCTTGTATGTTGAGAGGGACTTTGCAAAAACAGTTGGCCAAAGAGCCGGGCAACAGCTGCTTCATGGACTCTCCTAGGGCGGACTCACTCCCTATGCATTGCCAATGACTACATATGATGTTGACTTTATGCGGCATTTCAGATCAACCTGTTCGGCCATGCACGCCGAATCAGCTTCCGGGGGATGCGACGAAGTGTAACGATGGCATGGACATGGCACGATGGACTTGGTAACCAACTTCTTACAGATTCGTTCTAGAATAGGTACAGTCTGTAGACGACATGTGTAACTTGGATCAGCGACCACATCTTCGTATCGTTATTGCAGTCTGCTTGGGAAGCTGGCCCTTTGAGCATCAAACAAACCACCATGTCCTCACTCTCACTGTCACCCTCCTTTCCTTGAGCACGATTGAAAATGACCAGTTCTTAGATAATAATGATAGTGTATTGTCCAATGTGTACAGTGTACTGTTATGTGGTTCTGTAGTGTTGTGATATATGCAGTCGTCGATGATACATTGTGTGGAACTTGCATCCTGCGTCCACCCGGGTATATACAAGGCACTAGGGTATAAGTGCCCGTGCCAGCTATGCCATGCCACTCGTGCCCTGGAATCGGCCCAACCCTCCCTGTCTCCCTGCCGTCCGATAACGAGTCTATAGGACGAAAGCCAACCCAGCAACAGCCAGAGCGCCCAACCCCATGGCCTTCTCACTGACAGCACCACCAGTGAAAACCGACGCCACGGCCGTCGTGCTCGCGGGAACGCTAGCGGGCGTGGTCGTCGTGGCCTTGACCTCCAAACTGCTGGACACGGCCGTGGTCGGCGCGGCGATCATGCTCGTGAAGTTCTGCGCCTCGCTGTAGCTGACCGTCGTGGGGATGTCCCACGTCGAGCTCCCGGAGCTGTACGTCGCGGTGTACGAGGTCGTGTAGAGCCACTCGGACCACGGCGCATTGGTGGTGGTGGCGCTGGAGGCGACTGCTTCGACGGCCGTGGCGGCTGTCGCGTTGGCAACGGCCGCGTAGGTCGCCGACGTCCAGGTGCTGTGGCTGCTGGAGAACGTCCACGTGTATGCCCAGCTGGAGGACGAGTCGGTGGCGAGGGCGCCCAGGGCGAAAACCGCGGGCATGGCGAGGAAGGACTTCATCTTGCTTGGTGGATTGTGGGGTTTGTGTGTTGGGTGTTTTGTAGTAAAGACTCGAATTTTTTGAAAAGAGTGTGCGTGTGATTCTCTGGTGTTCTCGAAGGAGCGACTTTGTTTAAGCGAGTGTGATGTGTTTGAGACCAGGAAACACTTCGATGGGGGAGAAGGAATGAATTTATGACACTGTCGACGTGGAACTGCGAAGGAGAGAAGGAACCGAAACGCGACGATACTTACGGCACTGGAGTCGGAAAAGAACTTGACATATAGGGGCATCGCAAGCTTGCCCTCGCCCGTGTCGAGCTAGCAGAGCCTCGTTAGCACTGAGTCTTTTGATCTTGTGGTGGGTGTTGTTCCACTTGGGAGTCGTGTCGAGTGGCTCCGACAGGGGCTGGGAAATTGGCATCGCGAAGCGAAACACCGCGGCGCGCCACTTGTTCAGGAAGGCCGCGAAGGCGCAATCTCAATGTGGACAAGCTTTTGCTTGATCGGCTGGGCATTCCCGTGCTGCAAGTCATGGACCATGGCACATGGGATGCTTCCCAGAGATGATCTCCAGTGGTGGACACTGCGAGCTTGAAGTCGTGGAGCTGGCTGCGCAGTTTTAGCCAGAGCCAGACTCGTACACTTCGGTGCGACGAAGCAGAGTCTGCATATCGACCATGCAATCGTCCAAAGTTAGTCGAGCTCAGCGAGCTCGCAGCAAGACTCTGTTAAAGTTCGGAGATTCAAAGAGCCTCCTTCCGAAATCTTGTTGTTGACATCGTTGACATGGTGGTTTGGTGGAGCCGGAGACCGTCAAGCGCAGTGTCATTGTCATTGGCTGACGCAACTGGCTGCGATTTTCCTCTTTGATAGCTGTCTGAATAACCTCCGGTTGAACTCAAACGGACGTCACTACGTACTCTCTTGGTCCTCGGAAACTCTGAACGTCCGTCGTGACCGCGTGTACTCATTATATGACCGTATCGAGGACTGCCATCGCCCTCGCTACACCAAGACACCCCTGATCACCTCTTTGCATTGCTCGATCGGTTCATCGAGGCAACAGTCCCAGGGGATTTTCGAGGGCATGTGCGCTCTTCACGTCGATCTCGGGGAGACCGCAGTTCCCCTGAGTCGTTGACCATACCAACACTGTGGATGGTCCCAGCCATCCTCATTGTCCCTTCCGTACCTCCCAAGAACTGCTCGATACTTCGGCTTCCATATTTGGAGATGGACGTGAATGGAGCGCGTTTTCGTGCTCCAATTGGTGATATGTGCGGAACAGTGCTGGATGGAATGCTGCTGCAACAAGTCAGACAAACTCAAGCCATAAACAGCATGCGAGGTGTCATGCAGAAGTGTAGTGTTCGGCAAGCATTCATGAAGTCCAACCCCAGGTGTGGCCATTCGATCCCTGCCCATCCAACGAGCTTCTAAGCGGACTGTTCTTCCAGGCCAGCCACCGGGCTGTCGAGGAACGAATGTGTAAAGACATGTCGGACTTCTGGATGCGCCGTGGAAACATTGGCCAGAGCCCGTGTAGGCAGCATTGATCTCAATTTTCTACCAAGCCATCTGTAGCTCGATGGACCTTCCATGCCGAACCCTGCAGGCAGCCCGAGAAAGAGCATTGCCGGCGAAGCACTGTCTCTTGTAAAGGGGAAACGCCCGAGTAGAGCAGCATCCTGTCGTTTCATTCACAATTCTTCCTTCTTTCAAAGACCCTCCGCCAGTAGCAGGAGAGGTAGTAATTCCCATCCAAACTGTAGGTGCCTATGCCAAAATCCTCACGGTCTAAATGTTGCCAAGTTATGCAGAACGTGGTTGTTGATCTCGTAAACCCGCGATAGGCGAGCTTCGTGCTGGGGGGCCTGAACGAGGTTCGGTAGACGGGAAGTAACACGCTAGGAGCAGCCTCACGTCTTTTCCGGCAACGACAATGTTCTTGCACATCGATCGAAAACAGTTCAGTCGCTACTGTACAAATATTCATCATGGTATCTTCATTCCCCGTAACGGGCATAATATCTACACAAACAGCATGCAGCTGTATTCGAATCTGGTATCTGGTCTCGTCAACGTCCTTGTCCGAGCCATTGGCGACTTTGTCCAAACGCCAAACACTGTAAAAATCATCTGCAGCACAGCTGGTAAATGGTTATACTTTGCCAGGTCTGGCTCCCCCCCTCTTCGGTACAGTCCAAGGTTCTGCACATACAGTCTGCAAAGATCAATTAGCATGCTGCTACATTCATGGAAGCAAACTGTTATCTTACCTCGCCCTCTGAGTAGGCCCAGAAATAGACGACCACTCCGACAATATAGTATAGTGCCGCATTGGTGGACTGATACATGAGGACCGCGGCCAAGGCACTCAAGGGGTAAACCACCAATCTTGCTTCCATACTTCGGTGCAGCCCTGGTAACATCTTCACAATTGGTGCAAGTGGCCACTCCCATGCTAGACCCGTTAACCCCAACACAAGGTTCATGATCTGCAAGACTGGAAAAGGTTTCACTGCTCCATCGAGGTTTTTGGTGAGGAAGTCGAAGAAGATCTTGGGCCAAAAGAAGCCTTCCAGGGAGGCCATGACTTGGTAGAGGGCGGCTGTGAGGACAATCAGGCGAGCCCAGTGGTTCTTGATGAGTTTGCCCATGATGTCGAAGAGAGAATGGCTCTGATGTTGCGAGGAGAACGAACGTGTTGTTGAGAATCGAAGCACCAAGAATGCGGAAAGAATGGAAGTTGTCGAAGTGAAGGAGTGCGCAGCAATTGACGACCCGCGCCTGAAGGTCAACGCAGAACCATCAGGGTTGGCGAGCTATATGAGCAGGCTTGGTACGAGCAAGGTACGTCAATGGTTATTCCCCCTATGGAAGGGCAACCGTTGATCTCGGTGGCAGGATGACCCGGTAACAGTGAGACTTTGGGAGTGTTTGGAAGTAGTCGACGAGGAGGGGTTTGCAGTCAGAGAGTAGGTATTAGTGTGCTTGAGAATGGTGGTCCGGGAGTGTCTCAAGGCGATTGTACTTGAGGGCTGTGGGTTGGCGCGTAAGAGATTGGTCACAGATGTCGTCCTGCCGTCGAGTGGTTGAGGGGATTTCAAGACAGGAAGTGTTACAGGTGTGGCAGGTGTGGAGTTTTGCGTGTCGGAGGTGCACTTCTCTTCAACAACCACCGAAGTCGATGGACTGAATGAGTTCGACAACTATCAATCCTCGAGATACTTACAGGTAGGAGACGATTGAGATGTGGGAGAAGTTGAGATGCTCAAAGATGTAGTACCTTATGTGAGTCTGGGCACGTTTTCTGGCAAGATCGCAAGCTTACAAGGACTACCAGGCATCGTGGCAAGCGACCCTTCGTCGACCGTTGACAACGATGGAGCCGCTGCATTAGCACGAGATGTAGTGCAGCAATGAGAATCGAGAATCAATAGTTTTGCTCCGTAGTCGCCAGATCTGTTGATGTACCTGGCGGTCTTGTGAGCTTGAAGCTGATGATTCGTGGAGTTTGGAAGCAGTGCGGAGAGGGCAAGGTGATTGTGAAAGAGGGACCCTGATTGTCTGGCGGAATAAGCGCCCGAAAATAGGCATCGGCCAATGATCACTTGCATGGCAACGAGATCTGGAATGCATTATTACGGTCAGATGAATGAACCGTTTGGTGGTGAATCGATGAGCGGTTGTGAGGGAACAACGAATGGAGATGGAGAATTGGCCGCCGACAGGGATGTGATGCAGAAGGCGAGGGCGGGAGCTAAAACCTGGCAAGAGCCTCGGGCACACACAAGCGAGTTGATTCGAGGGGAAGCGGCCACTCAGATGACGGCTCGGCGCTTGCCCCCGCCTTGCCTTCCCAGTCAGGGCGCTACGAAACGCTTCCTGATACGCTGGTCAAACTCGAGGTTCTCTCACCTCTCTTTCACCTTCCCCTTCAGACAAAAATTCTCCATGAATTCTACGCATTTTGCCCATTCTAGGTTTTATAGAGCCGGCCGCTGTGTTCATGCTGGTGTCGAACTACGTGTGATAGCATTCGATATCACTAGTCTCCGCTACTTCATCGAATGTATCCAAGGGTTCTGTCTTATCGTTGTCACCTGCCACGACTGCCACGTTCCGCTTCTACCGCTCGTGATCACCATCCCATGCTCCACCGCCCATTGCCGAGTGATGGATGTGTGGTTGTCAAGTGTTTCCAGCCTTCGCTCATCTTGTTCCTACCGGCCGCTTTCCTGACCTCGACTGCTCACCACCCAATAACCGCCCAAGTCTCTGGATCGGGTCAGACCCGGTTAGCGGTGCCTGAGCAAGGGTCCATTCAGATACTTTGTAATACTCCTTGGCTTGGAACAGGACCGGGGTTTCATGCATGGCGGACGGTTCACTTTCTCCACAATCCACCATCTTGTACCCGACCGCGAGTCACTTTATCGAGCCTGCTCCCGCCCGCATCTATCTCAAGATGTAGCTCTTCAATAGTCGTGATGAACCATTTACTCTGCGCATGATCACATCTCTTCGCGTCTTTCGTCTCGCCGTTTCCAGCACCACTGTCCCGGCACAACTTATTGCGCTCACACGTGGCCGAATTTTGCCCCCTTTAAAACCTCGAACTACTCCTGTTACAGCTCCTGTCCCAGAGTCGCTGGTTCCACTCTCCAGGCTGTTTCGACCTCAGCCTGCAAACCATCTGCCATACTAATTCAGTCATACTTCCCGACCCGATCTCACCACTGCTTCAAACTGTCTTGTCTGAACTCCTGCTTCCACCATCGCAGCTCACTGTAACACGCCCAACCATTGCATGGCGCCGAGCTAATCGATCAATTTGCCATCAGTACCGCGCTTCTTGTATGATCCAACGTATGATCGGCTGGTCAGACACAAGATCTCGGATACGTTGAGCCTCCGGACGTCGAGTTGGTCCCTCTATCCTACCTTTCCTCTCTTCTCAAAAGCTTTATCTCTCGGCTTTACTTTGAGCTAGTTTTCCAAGGCCTCATTCGACACTCATTTAGTGACTCTGCACATATACCATATCCGACACTTTCACCAAGGCTTCTCGCTCACTTGACCTGTGATCACTCGATTCTCTCAGGACGTACCAGAAATGCAGTCGAGATAGCCTGAAAGCAACTGGAACATTCATCTGGCCAGCATCACATCGAGCGACAATATCCGTTCTTTCCACATCCAAGCGACTTTAAAGAGTCATGGCTACTCTCAAGTCGCATTTTGCTCCGAGCAAGATTATATTTTATATCCTTTGGTGGGGCTTCCACTGGACGATATTTGCCATCGGCTGGTAAGTGCTCACACACGATTCTGGGCGCGAACTTCAGCAACTAACAATGCATTCCAGGTGGAAACAAGCGGGTGATATTCGGCTGGCCGGTCTCAACACACTCACATTCTCAGTATGGCTGTCTCGAGGAGCAGGTCTCGTCCTGTCCGTGGACGTGCTCATGATTCTCCTGCCCATGTGCCGGAATTTCATGCGGTTCCTTCGCCCCAAGTTCAAGTGGCTCCCACTCGATGAGACACAGTGGTTCCACCGACAGTGCGCGTATGCGTTACTCTTGTTCACCACGATCCACGTGTGTGCCCACTACGTCAACTTCTTCAACGTCGAGAAGAGCCAGATCCGACCAGTCTCGGCCATCCAGATCCACTATGCCCAACCGGGCGGTATCACGGGTCACATCATGCTTCTATGCATGCTTCTCATGTACACGACGGCCCACCACAAGATTCGCCAGCAATCGTTCGAGACGTTCTGGTACACGCACCACCTCTTCATCCCCTTCTTGCTCGCCATGTACACGCACGCGGTGGGCTGCTTCGTGCGCGACACAGCGCAGCCCTACTCGCCCTTTGCGGGCAAAATGTTCTGGACCCATTGCATCGGCTACGAAGGTTGGCGCTGGGAGCTGTTCGGGGGCGGCCTGTACCTTTTTGAGAGGCTGTGGCGCGAAGTACGCGCCCGCCGAGCCACCAAGATTTACAAGGTCATCCGCCACCCGTACGACGCCATGGAGATCCAGTTCCAGAAACCCAGCATGAAATACAAGGCCGGCCAGTGGCTGTTCATCAACATCCCGGCCGTGTCCAGCCAGCAGTGGCATCCCTTCACCATCACCTCCTGCCCCTTCGACCCGTACATCTCGGTCCACGTCCGGCAGGTCGGCGACTGGACCAAAGCCGTGGGCGACGCGCTGGGCTGCGGCCCGGCGCAGGCCAAAGAGTTCGACGACCTCGACGGCAACGGCATCTACGAGATCGCGCTGCGAAACGACCAAGAAATGCCGGCCATTCGCGTCGACGGGCCGTACGGCGCCCCCGCGGAAGACGTCTTTGACAACGAAATCGCCGTCCTGATCGGCACGGGCATCGGCGTCACGCCCTGGGCCTCGGTGCTCAAACACATCTACAACATCCGGGCCGGGCCCAACCCGCCGCGCCGCCTCAAGCGCGTCGAGTTCATCTGGGTGACCCGCAGCATCGAGTCCTTCGAGTGGTTCCAGACGCTGCTCTCCTCGCTGGAAGCCCAGTCCGCCGAGGCCGCCGAGGGCGTCGGCGGGCCCGAGTTCCTACGCATCCACACGTACCTGACCGCCAAAGTCGACACCAACACGGCGGCAAACATCTACCTCAACACCGTCGGCAACGCCGTCGACCCGCTGACCGACCTGCGCACAAAGACGCAGTACGGCCGGCCGGACTTTAAGCGCCTCTTCGGCGCCATGCGCGACGGCCTCATGGACCAGACGTACATGGACGTCGGCAAGGAGGCCTCCATCACCGCCGGCATGAAGGCCACCGTCGGCGTCTACTTCTGCGGCCCCTCCGCCGCGGCCCGCGAGATCAAGACGGCGTGCAAGTCCACGAGCAACGACCTCGTCAAGTTCAGGTTTTGGAAGGAGCATTTCTAGATGTATGTGGAGCCGCCGACCCAGCCAGAGCCAGCGCTGGCACTGGACTTCTGGATTTTCTCAATTCCCCTTCGTGTGCACCTGTCGGGCGATTGTTTGCAGCGGGAACAGCAAGAGTCCCAAGGACATCGTGGCTCTGCGCCTTTTCTCCCTCTCCCTCTTTGGAGTGTTTTGGAGAATATGTGGATGGACGGATCATTGCATTCGGGAAGTGTACAGAAACTTTTGCGTCGAAGCGATTGATTGATCAGAGCCAGAGATACCAAGTGTGTGCGCGAGTAAGCAAGCAAGCATGGAGGAGAGTCAAATTCGACTTGTACAACTACCAGGTTTTACAGCCAGCACGGCGGCTTGCGAGCCAGCCCATCGCCACGAAGAGATATGATTGTGAAGATTTGTTTTCTTAGCCACAGCTTCAATGAGAATAAAAAGTGTGAAAATTTAAAACTCTAGCGTGGTACGGAGTAGACATGCGTGCTTTGTTGTCTCTCCGTTTTACCCTACCGTGCCTTCGGGCAAAAATAGTCTCACGCGGGAAGGAGGAAAAGACCGAGAAGCATGCAGCAGTCAACCTGGGACATGTTTAGTTTTTCGGGCCATTCACGACCTGCTCGATTGGTATTATGGCAGCTACATAGTGCAGTGTTTGATTTCTGCTTCTGCGATGTTCCGCACCGGCCGAAGTCGTTGGCCAAAGCATGTGACTTCGAGCAACTCACGAGATGGAGGCGCCGGTGTGCATTTATTTCTCATCTCGCGAATATCTTTGTGCGCACTGCCCTCTGTCTACCTCCTAGTCTGATAGCCAGTGACTTTCTCGTTCCCTTGGTACTCTGGCGCGACCGTAATATCTTGGGAGAATCGTGATCCACCAGACGCTGCGTCCACTGGGCTCTGCTTCTCTATGCAGATGGATGCCCTTGCCGTGGACCCATGGTTTCGTTACGGTCACCACCTCGTTCGGCGTTCTGCAGATAAGTCCATCGTTAGTACACTGAAGTCACATCGGAGGCAAGGGAGTTGAGGTAGACATACCTCGACGGATTGCGGTTGCCCATCCATGAGAATCTTCTTGATGACTTCGTCCTCGTTGCTGGTGCCGAATTCATTCTCTAAACTAGCCTTGCTGGCACCGTCCAGCTGACCTTGAGCACCGTGCTTGTGTGTGAGCATGATCTTGAAGCTGTTCACCACCTGAGCCAACGGGATCGACTGGTCCTGCTTCCAAGCCTTGAGATCATCTGGAGACTCGACAAACACGATGAAGTCGTCGGTCTGGCCCTTGAAGAAGACCTTGGTTACTTGAGCGTTTCCGCGAGGCATGCTGGCGGTGGATGTGAGGTTTTGGTTGAGGTTGAGGAGAAAGGTCGGTGAAAACGCTGTGATCACACGACTATTCGGCTTAGAAGATGAGTGCGGTGGGGTTTCAATACTGTTAAGGGTGAGCTCAGCGTTCGACTGGAGAGGTTGGCGTTGAGAAAACTCACATTGTGAAACTGAGACGTAGCTATTTGAAGATTTGAGGCAGTTGCTGTTGCGTATATATGCAGTGGATATTCAGGTGACTTGATGGTTGAGTCGAGTGTGAAGTCGCAGTCAGGGCAAGAAGTAATAAGAGTGCGGGCTGCGATGACGTCAATGCAGTCGAACACACAAGGCAATCGTCAGGGGCAGTTGAAGGCGTGACCTGCAAGATTCACGCTGCCCCACCAGCAGCCACGAACATTCCAGCAGCTACTCCGTACACAGAACGTAACCCAAGTAACTCGTGAGGCTACTATTGTCCGTTCGCCGTGGCCTGGAACAAGCGATCGTCAAAGCAAGAAAGGAGGCTACCGCAGAGCCTCCGTAGCCTTATACCGAGTACGAATACTCGTGCTCATGTATTAAGGTAGGTAAGCGATTTATCTGCCTAATATTGTGCATGACGTCGGAATCACTAAAGTGCCTAAAACGAGCTAAGCTGCTGTGATGCAGCATTCTCAATCGAAAATAAAGAATACCCTCCTTTTCTGAACCTGCCTAGAGGTAGGTTGTCCTGAATAATATCGTTGTGAAAGATGAACCCGCGCTATTCGTTAGCGCTTTATTGGTTATATATATACAGGTGGGCTAGGATCTAGAGTACGTCCTGAGCAGAACCTGGAGCATCGCAGTTCGAATCCGTCCTCACCCTTTCTCACCTCTAATCAAAAGACAAAAACTCTAGCCAGAACCTCGACTACACCGGTAGTCGTTGGGGGTTCTGGCTAGAGAAACCCTCCAGTCGTGGAAGAGGATTTTTTCTCGAATCTCGTCAGGTTCTCTCCCGCCCTATAACCCCCGGTGGGGTTGATCAATGGCAGAGGGACTCCTCCATCTGAACCGAACTGACACTTTAGACTCACTGCAAGGGAGTTTCAGAGGCAGACAGGTCGACTGTATGTCGTCGCTTGAGTCTGGCCGGGTAACATGCAATCATACCCACCAAGAGAAGCTGTCTCGTACCAGGCGAATCACCCTTACGCCCTGAACTGTGGTTGGTTTTGGCGACCAGTTCAGAACACGGGATAGGCACAAGAATCTGAAGACAAATTTGGCCTTCACCAATATATGCCTTGATTCTATTTCTGCCGAGGGAGCGGGTCTATTTGTATTCACTGCTGTGAGTGCAGGTGACTTGCTCTCGCCGTTGCGAGGCTGCGAGGCTGCGAGGCTACCAGGCTGTCCTTCTGGTGAGGCTCCTGCTGCCAGGGTGTCCACCTAATCTACGACCCAGTGACCTTCTTGACACTGTCTCTAGCGAGCATATCCCCCAGCCACTTCGAGTAGGCAGGATACTTCGCCATGTCGATCGTCTTGTCGCTATCCAACCACGGCACCCCAGCACTCCAAGGCACAAACGCCAGGTCCACATACGTGAGCTTGTCCCCGACTAAGAACTTGTGCTTCTGCAACCATCCGTCCAGAACGCCAATGACACGCTCGACTTCCCTCACGTATCTCTCCACCGCGCTGGGGACCTTTTCGGGATGGTAGTGCTTGAACCAGGCGGCCTGGCCGAAGTAAGGACCTTGGCCCGACATTTGGAACATGAGCCACTGGTTGAGTTGGTACTTCTCCGGAATGCTGGTGTACGTCAAGGCTTCCTTCTTGTCGTACGTCTCGATCAGGTACTGGATGATGGCGCCAGACTCCCAGAGACTGATTCCCGTGTTGGGATCTTCGATGGCAGGAAGTCGGCCGTTGGGATTGATATTCGTGAAGGGAGCTTGCTTGAGCTCGGAGAGTTCCACATCTTTGACCGTGTACGGGAGGTCGAGTTCCTCTAGGATGATTTGCACCTTTCGCGGACTGGAAACAGCATCGTATCAGCAAGGAACATGCAGATGGTCTCAAATCACGCAGGGATCATTGGCCGGGACATACTTGGGCGTTGGGCCGTGACCATACAAAACGATGGGTTTGATTGACGAGTCCGACATCTTGAGCTTCTTTCCCTGAATTGGATGGAGCATTTGAAGTCTTTGTCATTGCTCGGAGGCGTGCGCACGCGCTCTCTCTTGTACTCTCCGCGTTCGGCCTATGATGATGCCTGAAGACTCTCGGCCGAGTGTGTTACGTATGGAGCCAACGTGACTCCACATTCGGCCGCACACTCCACACACCTGAATGCGATATTATTCCCGTTGCTATAGGTTCCCTATGAAATCGCTTTCTGCTGACTTTCACAGCCCGTGCTCGCGGTCGCACTCGTACTGGTAGTCGTATACGTAATCGTATCTTAGCTAACTCAAGACCAGTTGTAAATCAAGCTCAACTTTGTCATCCTCTGGTCCTCCCTGCATATGCCAATGTAAGACCCTCCGACTGTTTGTGGCCCATTGGCACTAATGATCCATCCGACATCTTAGCCGACAGTGGCGGCCCGGAACGGAATCAAGTTATGTGCACTACCGGACGAAATCTCGGGTTCACGAGGAAACAAGTGCAGAAGCGGACGAGTTTGCATACATGTTAGTCTTGCGTTGTGCCCACCTGTGCTGTGATGCTGGCACGGTTCGGGTGTGAGGCACGAGGGGTATCACCGACCGCAAATCCGGACTGGCAGAGTGTTCTGGTTTTTTGTCATCCGCGCCTTACTCACCTTGGGTAGTCATGACCTCTGGTGGGGACTCTCTCTCTTGAAGAAGGATCGGACACGATGGGTCTGTTCGGCCACCAAGAGTTTCACCCGTCCCCAACGGACTCGGGCGCTGTGCTTCCAAGACCAGGCCATCTCGCTGTGAGCAATCGCCCGATACATGCCGGTACGTTCACACCTTCTGCCGACCCAATCAAGCATGCAATACGCACGACATGGTGAACAGTCGCACGCACAGAACTTGCCACCATCATTCGATGCTTCGGCCCAGAAGGGCATGGGTGGCTTGAGCCCAGAAACTGTGCATGGTTGTCCAACATACTCGATGAGTCGTTCGGCCTCACATGCACGGCAGAAGCAGGCATCGGCAGTCTTCCAGCTCACAAGCGACGAAGAACCAGAGCTTTGGACTTCGATGTGAGCCGTACCAAGCAGACGCCGTAGAGGGCTCAGCGGACTGGGAAGTTGAAGCTCGGAGACTGAGCTATTAGAGTCAACATCCGGCATTTCCTCAAAGTCACGGTCCGCCATAGTTCTTAACCATGCTGGAATAGAACCGACCTTTGATCTGCGATAGCACCCGTCGACCACCCGAGGGGACTCCATGTTGTTTGATTTCGATTTTTGTGGCTGATTTCGTGATGGGTTAGTCTGAGTCTAGACCTTTTCTTCGCAAGAAGGTTGGTGTATCGGGCAGCGCAACGTGACCCTTTCGAAGCCTGACCGAGCGCTAAATCCAGGGGGAAGGAGAAATTAAGTCGAGACGTAGAAGGCGGAAATACACCTCAGGCATTTTGCAGGGAACTTACTAGCAGTGGCAGTGCGAGACAAGGCAGTTGCGTGAAAGACGTTTCGGTTCGAGGCAGCTTGTTCACAGGCTCACGAGGAAGGTGGTTGTTTTCGACTGTAAAGTGTCTTTGTGTGCTTGAGTAGCGGTGTATGAACCCCCAAGCTTTGTCCTAGAGATCATTGTCAAGCGCCACGCTGGTGCACAATGATAGAAGGTAGTGATGAAAGAAGGCAAGGCCCTCCAGGAAGACTGTTCTCAGCATTTCTTTGTCGTCAATTTCGGCATCGTTCGATTTGCTCCAAGAGTCGCCTGGAAACACATCTTGGAGGACTGCTAGATTATTGCATTCGGACCAGAATATCAATAGCAAACGCGACGTGGACCTTTCTGACATACCCGAGCAAGTATTCATATTGATGGGCAGAGCCTAAGTTGAGGCGCGGAAGCTTGGGGCATTCATATCCGCCGACATGGTCGCAGGGCCCCGAGTCGGATGAGCAGACTGATATCCAGAATCCATGGCGCAATGAAAGAACAGATCGGTTCACTGTCGCAGGCACTTGAAGTGGATTGCGCGTTTCGAAGGTTCAAGCCGACCCTAATTTTCTACGGTCGAACACAATAGTTATCCTCCCACGACTTGAATGTGTTTCCTCTACTCGCTGGGTGCTCGCCGTGTTTGAACTTCTACATGTCCACATTCGAGGCTGACAATGAGCTCCAGAAATGGATTCTCGTACGGCAGACCCCGTGCAATCTATATGGCGGGAGCTGCCCGAAGACACGTTCCGTGAACACCTGGTCCGGCTTGAAGAGCGTACCAACGCCGTGCCGATGGACGTGGAACAATTTGATGTCTCGACTAACCTCAAAAGCCACCACAGCGGTCATCTGTTGGCAGTAAACGATGAACAGGGTCTCGCAAATGCGTTCGCATTCTTAGTAGCGGTGGAGGAGGGTGCACAGAGCGTTGCGGCAGTCTGTCTCGAAGAAGACATCAAGGCCACCACTCTAACCATCCGCTTTGCTGCTATCGACGCCATCAGCGAAGCCATTCAGCAAGCACTACGCCGGGTGACCGACGCGATATCCGGGACGAGTGGCCAGGCATTCGATAGTCACCTGAAGGTTGACGAGCTCTTCCGGCTAGTCACAAAGATGCATTTTCGACGCATCCTCGCGCGCTTCCGCTCCTCGAAGTGGACCAAGCCGAAGTTCCTCTCTCGCAGCCACAAAAAGCCATTGTGGCAGGACTTTGCAAATCTGTCCCACCGTGTACAATTCCTCTACACGAGAAGAGAGGTTTCTATCCGGCAGTCTCTCGAAGAGCAACTTGAAAACCTGACTAGATTGTATTCGTCATTCGAAACCGTGGCCCTGGACTCCCATGAAGAATTTGCCCACCTCATTCGGCTTGTCCGCACGAGCTACGAATTTTGCACCGATGAAGTGGTTCAAGAGTACGCGAGGCGCCTCAAAAATGCGGGACCAACGTCGCAAGTACGCTCCGCCCTCAAGACCATGCGACAGATTGAGAAAATTGCAGCCTACTACCGCATCTCAAACACTCTCATCCGTACCTCACGTCTCTACCCGCAGTACTTTCAAGCGGAGAAACTCTTTTTGGATTTTCTAGCACCGTATGCTAGCGTTCCAACAAGTGTCGGCTACGAAGACTGGGCGAAGACATGCCATGTCCATGCCGAGATACAGCTGATTGTCTACTACGATATGCACTCTTCGGACGCTGTCACGTCCAATTCGAGGTCTCATGGCGCACATAATGCCCATTTTCTTCCACCCCGCGTGATTGGCACCAGTAAATACCTCTGCTATCTCTGCTACCTCTTCATGAAGGTGCACGGTCGGTATCCACCCGCCAACACGCACGGACGACTCTATGACCAATGGACGATACCTGACTGTGCCGAGTTTGGGGATGAACAACGCAATTTCTACAAATATATCATACAGCAGATGGACAAGGAGGTTCTGGCCCGAGCATCAGAGCCACCACTTTGGAGGCCGGAACCGATGACCAGCAGAGAAAATCTCTTGATGCCATGAGCGATGAACCTTTGGTTGTGGTGTGGCGCAAACCGCCGCCCGAGCTCCAGCAGGGATGCCAAGGACCTCAGCACCCTCTGCGGCAGGCGGTTTCTACTTGCATCATGAGCCTATTCCACTTGTGTATCAACAACCTCCTGAAGTCCAGCCAATTTCTATCGAAACTCAACTTGACTTGACTTGGCGATACTCCGAAGAAGCCATTGGACTCCATCTCAGGCCCTGGACGTTTATTCTAATGTATCCTCAGTTCTCAGATGTTCATATCGCCACAGTCCTCCCCTCGCAGATGAGTGAATGCAAAGTTGTGCTGCTACCTCCCCAAGTTGAGGTCCCAACGGCGACCCGCTCGAAGTCGCCTCCTAGCAGGCCTCTCCCCAAGGGGCAGCGGGTAGTTCTCGCATGTATTCGTTGTAGGGAACGGAAGGGGCGATGTGACAGCCAGCAGCGTGTGCGCTGTGCTATCGTGCATTCTAACCAGATCTGTACTTATGCCCCGGTATAATTTCTAACGTCTGTTTAGATCTGCTCAGGTTGTGGGAAGCGATGTAGACCTGTCTTTGCGTCTGGGATCCGACTACTTGATGAGATCAAGGTGAGCACGCTGCAATTCGTAGAGGACGACTTCCGCGTCGCACTGGAAGAGCGAACAACCGAGACAAGAAGGAAAAGGTCTTTGTGTTGCTGCAACTGCAAGGAGACCTTCATGGCTTGAAGCGCGACTGACGCCCGCACAAAGTCTGATGCCACATCCTCGAGAACGCTCGAGGCACAATCAGACAAGGTTTGTTCCATCAGCAGAAGTGCGGAAGAACGAAGCGTTGGTCTTTGGGATCTAGCCACAGATGATACTACTGTGTATGTCTGACCTTCAGGCCAGAAGTGCCACCTGCTTGCGGCAGGCAACACACTTACAATCTATCATATGTGGTGGCTGGCCTGCTCAATAGACCCTGTTTTCGAGGCCACCGACAGCGGCCGCAATGCATCTTGAAGTGCGTGGAGGCCTGTTCACATACCATGGCGTGACTCGCAGCCGTCCTAAGATGGACTCCGTGAGGAGACCGAGCAGCCATTTCCTTTTTCCTGAGATATTCGTATACTGTATCCGATCTGCAAGCGGCGCTGTGAGCGATAGTATTCAAGAATATGCCTTCGTCGCAGTGGCAGCGGGAGACGAGATGTAAACGGATGTTATCTGAAAGTCGGCCGGAGTCACCCCGAGTCTGTGGGGAATGATTCTTCACCTTACGCTGCGGCCCGCCTGCCATCACCACTACGAGGTACCATCCTACATATTTCGTGGAAGCCAAGGTCTAGTTCTTCGTCAGTCGACCGCGGCCGCATTGCCCATCATGGACTTCAAATCTCTCATGTCCGCTCATATCGCCAAATCGAAACCCAAGCCCACCCCGTCGCCATCGACGTCACCCACTCCCGAGGCGGCCACGGCCAACATCAAATATTTGCGCCGCGCAGAGCTGGAAGCCGCACGGCAAGCCGCTTACGTCGCCGAGCAAGAGAGAATCCAAGCCGAGCGGGAGGAACGGGCAGCCAAGAAGCGCAAACTGGAGGCTGAAGAGCAAGACAAGGCCGCGCGGCGCGAGGAGAAATTGAGACGATTGGCAGAGGAGAGCAAGCGGAGACGGGAAGAGGAGGAACGGGAGGAGGAGCGAAAACGGAGGAAGAGACTAGGCCTACCTGACTTGGTCGACGGCCAGAAAGCCATCGAAGACGGATCAGCAGCCGACGTCGACCGGGTCGGAATCAGTGAGGACATAGCCGATGACGAGCTCCGGTCAAAACTACGAGACCTGCACGAGCCTACTTCCCTCTTCGACGAGGACCACTCCGCACGCCTGAAACGATACTACGCCCTGATCCGCCAGAAAGCATTGACAAAGGCTTCGAAATCCATGACGAAAGGCCCCGTTCCAACGACATTGGAACCTCTCCCAGAAAAGGACCTACTCCTGCCCGAAACGATCCCGGAGGCCACATCATCGCCCGAACGCACATTCCTCTACCGCCAGGTAGCCTCGTATTTCACCCTCCTTCTCACCGAATGGGCCCGCGCCCTGAACGAACGAACCGACCAAGTCAAGCAGTCATCTTCGGGAAAGCAGGCCTATCAAGCGTACCTGACCGTCCTGCGCGACCTGACGCCCTTGTTCCGACAACTGGAGTCCGGCAGCCTGGACCACTCGCTCCTCGCGTCCATCTGCAAGATCCTCCGCAGCACGCAGTCCCGCCGCTACGTCGAAGCCAACGACGAGTACCTGACGCTCAGCATTGGCAAAGCCGCCTGGCCCATCGGCGTGACCATGGTGGGCATCCACGAGCGGTCGGCGCGCGAGAAGCTGCACGACGGCAACGCCCAGGCGCATATCATGAGCGACGAGGTGACGAGGAAGTTTTTGCAGAGCATTAAGCGCTGTATCAGCTTCGCGCAGACGAGGTGGCCGCCTGAAGATCTGGGGCAGTTGATGGGCTAAGTACAGTCTGATTGACGTGACAAAGCGAAATCATTCTCTCCGGGAAACACTAGTGAAGTGGCTCGGCCATGGAACGGATAACGAACATCTTGATCCGGGGAACGTCTACTACATAGATACCGACACAGTAAGCTCCTTGTTGATATCGGCTTCTTCTCGATTTGGGTTCTGAACACATCGCCACTGGTAGATGTCGCTGATTCTGAAATACAGCAGAATGAGATCATAATCGGCTTCCAAAGCCGCCCTTCACTCTTGCACCCCACCCGTGAAGAGGTCGAACGCCTGCAATGTGGTTCGAGGTCGTCCGCTTCATTTACGCCTTGTCCCTCGGTGAGCAACGACAAACGCAGAAGACCCGAGGCTAAACCCACAGGCGTACGAGCTGTAGCGCGAGGCTCTGCTCTAGACGTTCATGCGATTTCGGACATGAGGGCCTATCAGTGTATGTCTGCGATACAGTACAGTATATGGTGGAACGATCTAGGAGACCTGAGTGTGATGCAAATACCTTTCGAGTCACGCTATAGCAACAATGCGTTCTACATAAGTACAGTATCTAGGGGTCCAGTAGGGACCGGAGCTGTAAGATGGGGTAATGAGAGGGTCATGAATGCGACATATTGTCGAGTATACGTATTTAGCACGTAAGAATTGTGCTCAGTAACATGTGGACACTGCGTTCACGGCTGTAATAAGAACACCTCTTCAGTCCCTGGCGATGTAATGCATTGTATGCTCCGAGTCTAAAACCATCTAGACCGCTGGACCGCGGAGACGAATCAGCCGCCAACGCCAAAAAGACGACCAAACGCCGTAGACCTTCCTGCATTTCTAAATTGACCGGCCGCCTGGGTATTCGCTGAAACGGGACAACATATCCTCCCATGCCCATACTCGTGCTTCATCTCAAGCTGTCTGGTCATTGTCCTCCACGTTTGTTCCAACCTGGCTAGCCGACAGCCACGTGGGAAATGGTTCCTCCACGACTCCGCTTCACCACAGGTCGCACCATATACGCCCGTAGCACGCTGTGTAACCACGCCGGCGGGTCGTCAAACCCATCTCGAACTGTTGTTGGTCTGACGGGGTTACCCAACAGCTCACATGTCCTTGCCTCATCTCTCGCACGGCATCGAGACCGACGCGCAGGCGCTTGCAGATTCTCTTCAGATCATCTGATCACGATCGAGTCAATCTGACGCACGGTGACTCCTCGTTCCCGTGACTGGCAAGGTCAATAGTCATTTCATGTACCCATACACCGACTCAGATGCTTCAGCCTGACAGGCACAAAATCAGGCAATCATAGCCGCAGATAACCGATCACGGACGCCACAAATAAAAGGGCGGCCCGAGTTCAGCCAAGGTAGGAATCTCGGAGACAGCCTGGCAGGCACTCGCACTGCAGGCTGGGTTGCCTCCAAAGGAACTATTTCCGAGGCGTGGCGGCGGACCCCGGCTAGGGCGTGGAGTACTCCGTCTGCGACAGAAAAATCCACTCAGAATGTGCTCCAGGCCCAATCTTTGGGTACGCTGTTAGCGACCTGTTCCACCGGCTTGCCCGAACGAATGCCGCTGGAGATCATCCGTCGGTGGCCACTTGGTCCCGCCAGAGGGGTTGGCGGGCCACTCTCGTTGTTGTCGTTGTCTTCTCTGCTATTCTGGCTGTTCTTGCGACGGATTGACCTGGCAGTATCCCAGCGCTGATACTGACGGTGGCAGACCTCGCATGCTCTTGACGGGCTGCCATCCGGGTGGAACTTGGCATACTGATCCAGGGGGATTGTAAAGGGAGCGTGTGACGAGCAAAAGATGTGGCCGCAGTGACGGCAGTGGTGTTTGCGGACAAAGAGACTGAAGGACGATCGACACTGGGGCGAGTCGCAGGTCGGTGAAGCTTGGTCGGGCTGGAGTAGAATACACATGTTAGCATCCGTCTGCATGTCTCAATGCACGTGGCCGCGTACCTTCCAATGATCCCTTGTGGGAGGACCAGTGACTTCACCTAACTCTTCCTCTTGAGCCCAGTCATGGTCAAACGCGTCCAGGCCCAACTCATGGTGGACCTCTGGACTTGCGGTCCGGGCCTCCGGCTCTTGTAGACTGTCCAATGAACCATGCAGACTCTTGGGCGGTGTCATGGGCGATGGGTTGCAGAAATGCTCGGTGGGCCGGAGGGCGGCAGGGACGTAGAGAGGGGACTTCAGAGGCCGCAGTTGCTTGTACGGGTTCGGCGCATGCTGTTGAATGTAGTCCTGCATGCGAGGAGACGCGGGAGACGTCGAGCTCGCGGGTGAAGGCTGTTGGCTCATGTAGTCTGGGATGGTGAATGGTTGAGCTGGGTAGTTCATGGCCGCAGTTCGTGTGGCCACAGAGGAGGCGTTTCAACTGTGGTCTATGCGGATATAAGACCGTGGAGAGTCTGGTAGCAGTGCTGTGTCTGCGCCACAGTGCTGGTCAGAAAGGACAGGACATGCGCTTAATGTCGGTATCGGATAGTCGACAGTCGCGTATTGACGAGGCGCCGGATCACGAGCGGGCTCCGTAACCACGTTCTCGGTACCGAGAATGATCTCAGAGGCAGCGCGACAGCTCCCAATGAGATCTCCGCGATCAAGCAGAGAATAGGCAACCAGACGGGCGTTGAGTTGCGTGAAACGTGGGAGGTGGGGTGGGCGTGACGGCCAGGTAAAGCGCAGGCCACGGGGAGGGTGGGATGGACGAGATAAGAAGAGGCACAAGCGCTGCCAAATCCCAACAGAAACGTGACCTAGATGGGGCTTTGTCTAGCCAGGACACAGGCTGGATGACTCTGCTGAATGGGGGCACAAAGTGAAGCTATGATTATTTCGAATGGGTGTGGTCAACAGTAGATGCAAGAGTAACTGGCGGGTGAAGGATACAAAAAGAATAGTGGTCGCAAGCCCATCGACCTCATAGTGGAGGGCAAAGGCGAGAAGGGTGTCTTCCCTTACCCACCCCTCGCGCGATAGGCATGTGCGTTCCTAATAAGCTACTGATAAGCCCTCCAACGAGCCAATAATAACTGCAGCATTTCGACAAAGGGTTGGCCACTTAGAGATCGTGTGCTGTCTGACACTGCTGGGCTTGACAGAAGTCAATGAGGAAATGCAGCCTGGCATGAGCTGGGAGGCCGAGCCTCCACGCGAGAGCTGCTTGACCGATTACACAGTATGTTCCAGTTCCGTCAGACGGTTGCACCTGTTCGAAAGAGTGCTCGGACATGTCTCTCGGCCGTTGGTAACTCGCCACCAGGCAGTGCAGAGTCGCAGACGGCGATGTCGGTTTGCAGACCGGGCACAACGGCCGGAATAGGCTTCGCGACAGGCTCGATTAGGCTCTCTTAGGCAAAAACAACCCCAGTTCTCCAGTTGAAACCTGGGCCTGGCAGGCTAGGGTTGCAAAGCCGAAATGACCAACCAAGCAATGTGCCGACGCAGCCTGATTGCCACTCTGTGGTCACAGTGTGCTCGGTACCCGACCGGCATTCATATTCTGGCTGGGCGGGCATCCGCCATATCAATGTGCTTCCCTGTCGATGTTCCGATTCTTCTTACAGCGTCGCCTGGTTGCGTCGCCGACTGCAGTCAAGCCACGACGGTCCGGGTGCATTCGATTACTGCGCAGCAGCTACGTGACAACCCGGTCGACACCGGGTTGCACGAGCTTGCATGTTGTACGGTGTCGGGCGACCTTGACGTCGACCAGATCAATGCATAACTCGTACCTCGTATGAACGAACAAGTTCGTCCGAGTCGATGTATCCATTTAGTCACAGAATAGATTTGGTGACCCTTGGTGGATGCGATGATTGAAACCAAGCCTCGATCGGGAGCGCCAAGTGGGCATTGATGCAAATCACTCGCAGCGTTCCGACTCCCAGAGATGTTGTGCATTGTTATGGCCTCGTGCAGCAGACGCCCCCCTGGCGACCCAATGTGCAGGAGGGACAAAGCCGAGCGACCACCTCAGCCGTTGTTTTTTGGTTGGTCGCGGTAGGCGTCGGGAATGGTCTCCGCGGGGGCGTGTCAAATTGGCAGTGCGCGGGCGTCGTCTGCAGTGTTGCGCTGGCCGATGGAAACAAAAATGGACAAGGATGCTAGCAGGCTATGCTGTAACCATGGAGAATTTCGGTCCATCCACCCGCCTGTCTGGCTGCGGTGGCACCCTCGAGTAGCGGCCTCACCTGCTGGTCGGTAGCCAATTAGGATGGGTGGGTCGTGCCTCCCTGGCCCCGGGTCACCCCCATCTTCCAGTTAAGGGTTCCGAGGTGTTCGGACTCGGTCAAGGCACGTTTGACACGTTTCCAACCCTCACTTCCCCCTCAATTAATGCTCATCTATTCTTCTGCCCTGGGCTCCTGTCAGGCCTGACGCTGCCCCGTTTCGCCAGTCGCACAGTAAGCTTGGGCATTACGGCACCCTCACTTCATCGCCACCATTCTACAAGACGGGGAAGCAGCACGTAAGCGATGACCACAAGACACGCCGACTCCATGGCGGATATCTCACCTACGGACCCCAATCACCCGTGGGTGGCGCGAGGCTATCGACCGGAGTTTGCCTACAGTGTTAGAAAAGCGCCTGTCCAAGACCCCCACGGTGAGATTGCGTATCAGCGAGCGTTTGTCGAAGCAGCGGAGGCTAAGTACAGTCGAGCTGAGGGAAGGTTGTGTCGAGTACCGGATCCGCTACTGTATTACAACTCTCCTTCCGCACGAGACTATATCAAGAGAAGAGACGATGCTATCTTCTCGGCAAAGCCTAGGAACGGGAATCCCATGTCCTCAACTCAGCCTAACACGCCATCATCGATAGGCACGCCGATGTACTCCCCTGGCCGGCGTGCCTCGCCCAACTACAGTGCGAATGGTGGCTCGACGGGACGAAGAACGAGCGTAAAGTCCGACATTGAGCCCGCGCTCTCGATAGCCAACTCGTCACCAAACACAAGAACGGCCGATCAGGTGTCGCCCAGACCCTCAAGGCCTCACGCCGAGCAGTATCAGCCTTATGCTCCCAAGGGCCTTCCTTTGACGCTGGAGCCGAAGCTGGACGCACCAGCAGGTCCTTCCAGGATGCTACGATGACGAAGCACACGATCCAGCCGAGCATATGATTTGGGAAGAGAGTGCGATCCACCAAACACTACGGAGTATTGAGTCTTTACATGAAAAAGTGCGCATTTCAGCGAGCACTCTTGAGCCTTTACATTAGTTGCATGCATGCCACGACGTTACGACGATATCCATCATTTTCATTTCCAACAACGGTTCTTGCAATGGAAAATATACATTTTACGACCATCTAGACGACAGCGGGAGGGATCATACACTAGGAATCAAGGGGACCGTTGCAGAGAGCCAGTGGATCTCGATACATGTAGGTGGCGACTCCCTGGCGGACAGGCACGGCAGGCCAAGAAGGAGAGGAAAGAAGAGGAAAGGACAGACATAGATCGAAGCACCTACACCAAACGAGCACGGAGTCTGCAAACACCGCTTGAGCCGCAGCTTTGCACAGTGTCTCATGCAGCAGCAGATTTCGACACCTGCACGGCGGGATCTTCTCGCGGCTTGGGGAGTCGAGCTTGATGCTGCCGGTAGAGGAATGACAACAGGCGGTCACAGATTGGCCAATCACGAGGAGTACGAGTACGAGGACCAGAATCAGAATCAGGACCAAGACTTTCCGAACGGGACTTTCCTCACGCAACTCACACATCCAGACTACCTACAGACAGTACAGAGTACAGGGTATATAGTACTACTAATCACTATGATATGTCCCAACCTGTTAGCCGAACAGCCCGCCTTGCCAAATGAGATACACAAGCCCAGACGTGACCAAACCAGAACAAAAAATCAGGTAGACTAGAGTCTCTTCCAAGGATTTTCGCCCCCCGTGGCCGTCGCCATCCCCTCACCAATTCCTCTTCCCTCTAATGACTCACAGAGCGGGTAACAAGCAGGGAATGTACAAGGCGGATTCGGATGTTCGAGGCAAGACGGAGATGGCAATGGGCGAGGGCAGAGTTGAGACAGAGCCGGAAGACGCCTCATAAGGCTGGATACGTACAGTAACAAGACAAACATCAACGTGGCTTGCGAGAGTGAACAGTGAAGGACGAGGACTGCTCGCCTTGCCTCGCCCCGTCATGTCACGTTAGAATCCCGCTTCAGGTTCAGTCTCGGTCGCGGCCTCGATCTCACCACTCTGTAGTTATCACTTCACTTCCTTCAAGCAGGCTCGTTCTTGCTACCACCATTTCAGCTCATTCATACGACGTTTTATCCTTCATCGGCCGACACTAGCAGCGAGACTGACATAGACATAGACATCGACGCATTCAACTTGTGTTTGGGCGAAGAAGAAGAAGAAGAAGAGCAAAATCCTCAAAACTCACTCAGACTTTGCCGCTTCAAGGGCATTCTGAGTCATTGTCATTCCATGGTCAAACTACGGAGTGATACATATTAAACCCGTCAAACAACCGTGTTTTGGCTCCCCGCGGTTTACAATCGAGAATAGGTAACCCTATCTGATCTTTCACAGCATAAACCATACAGCGACAGATGCACAGACGGACAGCCAGATAGACTCCCCTTTGCCCCAAAAGGACACCGAGCCGGTAACTATTGTCGCACCACCACCACCACCAGCACTACCACCACATTCACATCAATGACCACAACGGTCATGTCCACGCCTGACGCTCATCCCCGCGTCGGCGTCGCCGTGTTCATCCTCCATCCGGTGGACGTGGACACCGACATTGATCCTGTTCGTGGTACTGATGTTAACGCCAACGCCGACGCCGACGCCAACAGTGTCAGAACACAGCCCATCAACCACAACCAGCCCGAGACCCAATGTCCATCGCAACCCCAATCTCAATCTCAGGCCTCTTCTTCGCCTTCCTCATCTTCAACCAAGACGTACTCGTGCAAGTTCATCCTCGGCAAACGTCTCGGCTCCCACGGCGCCGGCACGTGGGCCCTCCCCGGCGGACACCTCGAGTTCGGCGAGTCCTTCGAGGACTGCGCTGCGCGGGAAGTCATGGAAGAGACGGGCCTCGACGTGGCCGACGTGAAGTTCTTGACCGCGACAAATGATGTCATGCTCGTGCCGGATGTCGTGCCGTTTGGGAGGGCACCAGGGGGAGTTGGAGCGGAGGCCGAAGCAGAGGCAGGCGCGGCGAGTGGCGTGGCCCTGGACGCTGACGCTGACGCTGACGCTGACGCCAGAAATCAAGGGAAGCATTACGTGACCATCTTTATGACTGCTCGCGTGAAGTCCGGCGGTCCAGGGCAAGGGCAAGGGCAAGGGCAAGGGCACAGGATGAGTTCCGGCACCGACATCAGCACCGATACCCCTACCGGCACTAGCACCAGAACCAGCACGAGCACGAGCACGAGCACTAGGATAAGCACAGGCGGAGGCCAGCAGTTTCCCGAGGCAAAACTTCTCGAGCCAGACAAATGCGCGGGATGGGAGTGGGTCTCATGGCACGATCTGCTGAGGTGGGCGGCGCCTCAGCTTCGAAGTGGATATCTCCCGGAGGGAGGTAAGAAGGGGGCGGCGGCGCCACGAGACATATTCACGGAGGGAGGTAAGAAGGGGGCGGCGGCGCCACGAGACATATTCACGGAAGCAGATACGGCGGCAGATACGGGGGCAGATGCAGATGGAGATGCAGAACCGGGAGGCCCAAAGAATGGTCCAAGGACGTTATTCTCGCCCATGATCGCGCTTCTGGTCCAGCGTCCTGGTGTTGTACCGTCTCTGGCGTAGACAGGCAAGTAATTAGGCAGGCGGGCGGGCAGGCGGGGAAATGGTACACAGTCGTATGAACATGTAATTCAAGCGTGCTTGCGCGGTGCCAAGTCAGCTTCCCTCCCAACGTACAGTATTGGATCGATCTATCGTGCTGCCTGGATGGCGATCTGTTGAATGATTGATTGATTGATTGAGCTGTGGTGGAAATGGGATTTTCGGCCGAATCGACGAGCACGACAGTGAGGGACATATCTTGGATGCACATGTATACTGTATTCACACATTCATGTATCTACATATCACATCCTATGTCTTTGCTTGCAGGGGCACGAAATGACACTCGTGACTGATGGATGACTTGGCGAAGTGACGCGCAGGACTATGCTCCAGCATCAGCACCAGCACCAGCAACAGCACCAGCCTCGGCATCACAGTCCGACGGTTTTGTCTAGTTTGTATCCGTCAATCCATATCTCGTCATCATCTGCCACCTTTGCTCACAGCACCTCCAATGTTGCATTACTGATAAAGTACCGGCCCGTATCCGTCGCATTCGTCAAGTTTGTCTGCTTCACCTGCCCAAACTTGACGTAGCCATTCTCCACTGGCGAATTCACCACTGTGCCATTGAACCGGTGCAGATGGTTCTCCCCAGCCACGACGGTGAAGTTTGCAAGGGAGATCTCATTCGGATTCCGACTCACCACGGTCGGCATGCCGAAGTAGCGCGCCTGCACTTGCTGCTGGGTGAGGTGCAATTCAAAGTATCCCCGGTAGTACACCTCCTGCCACTGCAATTCCCTGTTGGCGCCGACAAGCCATTCAGAGGCCTGCACGCTGCGGGCGATCGAGATGTTAGCGCCATACGGTGACGGCGAGGAGACGGCTGTGCCGCCAAACTCCACGCCGATCGCCCCTTGGCCCGTGGCCGGGTCGTAGGGGTGGTTGTCTAACCAGACGAGGTCGGACACCCAGTTGGCGTGGCTGTCGCCCGAGATCATGATGTTGTTGGTGATGTTGTTGCCATACAGGATCTGATACGTCCGGTTTCGATTGGCCTGGTACCCATCCCACGCGTCGTAGTCGAGTGGATTGACGTTTCCGTACGCGACGGACTCGTTGATGCGGCTGAAGACCGTCTGGGAGCCAATCACGCGCCAAGTCGCGCCCCGGTTCTTGGAGGAGATGAGTTGGTTGTAGAACCAATTTTCTTGACGCGAGCCCATCATTGTGCGGCCTGCGTCGTTGGCGAGGGCGTGGATGTAGTCGGTGTTCCAGTAGAGGTCGGTGATGGAGCGGTCATACTGGCGAGTGTCCAGCATAATGAGGTCGAGGAGGTTGCCGATCGAGAATGAACGCCAGATTCGGAGCTAGGAAGGGGTTAGAAGACAAAGGTCAATGAGGAGAAGAAGTGGGCTGCTCACATCGTCTCCCATTTCAACCTGCCGAATGGGCATCCATTCGAAGTAGGCGCGCACCGCGTTCATTTTGCGCTGATCCACCGATACACCGCCGTCTTCGATGAAAGAGGACTCGGTGTTGTTGAGCTCCGACGAGCCGTCGCGGTAGGTGTTATCGGCGACTTCATGGTCATCCCACACAGGGATCCAAGCGAAGTTTTGGTGGCTGGCAACCAAATCCAGGTCGGTCCGGTATGTGGCATGGCGCTTGCGATAGTCGTAAAGGGTGTAGATCTGTCTGTCAGGAAGCGGAACACGCCCAATTGTTTGACCCCAGCCGTATTCACCGTTGGCGTACTCGTAGATATAGTCGCCCAGGTGTAGAACAAAATCGACCGAGTTCTTGCGGACGGGGTTGCCGTAAGCATTGAAGAAGCCAAACGGGTAGTTGCTGCAAGAGTAGACGGCCAGATTGACTGCAGCCGTGTCATCAGTGGGGGACGGGGTCGTCTTGGTTCTGCCGACCATGCTAGAAACGCTACTATTGCAAACAGTAAATTGATAGTAGTATTGAGTGAACGGCTGGAGGTTTCCAGCCTCGACTTTAACAGTGTAGTCGACGTCTGAGCTGGTATATACCGTGCCTTGGTCGAGGACTTGGGACAGGGCGCTGTCACCGGCAATTTTCCAGTTCAGGCAGACTGGGGCAGTCGACGGCGGTTTGACCTCGTCTGTGTCGTTGTAGATGGGCACTGGGTTGTAGAGGGGAACATAGCCGCTTGTGGTACTATTGCTCCTAACATTGTCGGAGCTCTGTCTCGCGGTGAGCAAGGGACTTCCGATGACCTCCGCAGGTACATAGCGGGAAGAGCACTTACAGGAGCACACCTGGTCCACAGAATCACGCTGTTTGGGAACGGGTCACCAGAAGCTACTCCATGGGTGAAGTTCAGCTGTGAAGCCGGGGTCGCTTGTCTCTCAACATGTCTCTTGACAACCTTGCGTACGGAGATTCCTAGACCAGGATGATGGAGAGAAGGAGAGCGATAGTTCAGATTGGCCCCATACGAAGCCAATGAGGCACCAATGAAGGTGATGAATACAAGGAGTTGCAACATCTTGCCTGCAGTGAGTTGGCGGAGAGGTATGTCAGGTAGCTCACCTTTTCAACCCTGAGCAGAGCGGACAGCAGCTCCTTCAAATAAATCGCAGCTTGCGGCCATGAGAGCTCTAGGATCTCCAACCCGGACTCGACGCGAGCTCTTCCCTGTCATCCCACGCTTCTCAGCATATCCCAAGAAGCGAGTCGACAAGCTGGGGTGGAGATTCAAGCTTAAGGCACAAGCTTGCCGGTGCAGATGGAGATGAGCCAATTGATGATAAGGCTGTTGGCATGCGGACGCCATCGTCAGGGCAAAGTTTGCAAAGCTGCACCCAGATCGGCCTGAAAACCTTTTGGAGCTTCCTATCTCATCGTAGTCGTGTAGAATGGAAGCATGTTGGAGCGATTAACGGCTGCCCGCGCAGACGACGTCAATGGGAATTGAGGTGGGAGAAAAGAGAGTTTGGAACCCCGTGGGAATCATGCAGTAGCTGCGAGCAGGACAAGCTCGGCAGCCACAGCTTGTCAAGGCCTGGAGCACGTGGGTGGTTTCTGCTGTCGAATGACCGCCGAGAGATTTGAAAGCTGCAGATCTGAAGACGTCACCTGTGTCCGTCCACCCGGCAGATGCCCTGTCACCGATGCTCTTGAGAGGGACTTGCAGTTGACCGGGATATCGCGCAGCTGGTGTAGACATTACTCGAATCGGTAGCGGAAATGAACAACGTGCCATCTAAGCGGGCCCAGGGCTGCCAGATCCAGAAGGTGGCACATTCCCATAGATGACGACCGGCAAGGAACCTGTCTTCACAACATCGCCTGGCCAGTCCATCGCTACATGGGATGCATGCTTCCCTCGACTATCACTCCGGCACTATGGAACCGAGACTCCTCCAGAAGTCGCATCGATATCCTCTTCCTGCTTCCCAGTCATACGCGTTGACAAGCGTGAAATTATTCAGCAGCCCGGGTGGCCCATATTCCGTCAGGTTTCTCTGGATATAGGACAGATTGAATGCAAACGGTGTGCCCCCTGTTACATTGAGATTCATTTGATACGGCGAGTAGATCTTGAAAGGAGGCCAATTCGAAGCTGGACTGCTCAAGGTACTGTTTGACGAAGCTCCGTGGGCGACGGCGTCAGGAATCGAAGGATTATCCGACGTGATGAAATTGCCCCAGATCTGCATCGCGGCATTGACAAAGTCAGGGCTCTGATTCGGTGCTGGAGGCCCAAAGTACGCAGTCAAATCTGAACCATGCGTAGCGATTGGGACGGAGTATTGGTACTTATATGAATTGCGCCCGAAGTCGCTGTATGCTTGAGCCATCCAGTATGATGGGCATACAAAAGTCGTCTCCGAGTATATTGCCTAGCGTCCCTGTCAGTAGCAGTTCAAATGGTAGCCGGAACATTTCGCTCACAAAAGCTCTCTGGAGCTGTCCCGTAGCAACACTGCTCTGGTTGATGAAGCTTGGCAAAGTAGTGCCTGAAGAAGCATACAACGGAGCGTCGGTATTGGTCGAGTCATTTGAACTCGGATAGTACAGCAGGACCTTTGCGATATCGTCGTTGCTGAACAGTGGGAATGTTAGTTGCAGCCAGGCCACAAGGTCGTTCTCGGTCGTGATGTTGGGCTGCGTATATGCTGGTCCTTCCAATGCGTTGTTGCTCACGAGTAAGTTCACGCCATTGAGTTCTTTCCGTAAAAGCTGGCGACTTGGCAGGTCCTGGACGAAAACACCATCTGTCACTGGCAGGAATGGCCAAGTACCGTACTTGCCGGACTGGGAAAGAGTCGCACTTGCGTTCATCAGTGTGGCTGAATCCTTGCTGACTAGGCATTCGAAAATTGTGCCTGGATGGCCACCATATGGCAGTGTCGGCGCACAGCCGACCATAGTAGCAAACGCATAATAGGCTTGGGAAGGCTGCCAATCCTTGTAGCCGTACTGCATTGGAAGGTATGGAGAAGGGGCGATCATCTAGCTATATCAGCTCCATTTCAAATGCAGACTTGTGCAAATTCCCTTACGTTCCTGAAAAGTGAAACGCCAAGCGAGCCGCCATAAGCCATGCCTTGCAACTAAGATAGTGTTAGTGGAACTCGATCTGGTTGAAGCAAACAGCTTCAGTAGAGCGTGGATCGTGTGGAAACTGTCGAGGCAGTTAACAACTTACCATGACGGACCCGGCACCGGCTGATTGCCCAGCAATGGACACACGGCTGGGATCACCGCCGAAGAACGAGATATATCGCTGTACCCACTGCAGCGCCAGATGCTGGTCTAGCAGTCCGGCATTAACAGCACCATTTCGGAAGACTTCATCGCCCGCTAGAAAGCCAAAGGCACCAAGCTGAAGGGGTCGTAAGTCCTCTCTCTATCGGAATTCGCTCTGCGAAACATACCCTGTACTGGATTGTTACTCCAACGAACGAGTTGTTGTTTGTATTGATGATGGCCGACAAATCCTGCTGCCCATTACCGCGACCATATCCACCTGAGTTTCCCAGAGTTAGTATAATTACATGACAGGGTTCAAGAAGAAGTGTGGAGCTCGGCTAGAATGGTTGCTAGGCAGGTTCACAACGAACTGTGAAACAGAGCAGACTCACCACCATGGATGTAAACAAGCACAGGAAGTGGACTGGGAGGGCTTGGCGGTGCGTAGACGTTCAGGAACAGGCAGTCCTCGTTAGCTCCTGTAGTGTTGAGGAGCACAAAGGTGTTCGTTGCGTCCTGGTTCTGAGGACAAATTGCGCCGAACCGGTTCGCTTGAATGACAGAGTCACGGTTCGTGGTGGGAGGCTGAGGCGCCTGCCATCTGTTGGTGCCAGTGGGTGGAGCTGCGAAGCGTATGCTAGGATTTTGAGTCAGCTTCGTGGGTCCCAAGCAGAGTAGCAGCTTGATATACCCCTTCCAGAGATTCAATCCCATGGTAGCATTGTTATAGCCTTGATACACCTCGTAGCCCAAGTCAACTTGAAGGGATGAGTTACTGCCACCTGGTGTCTGGCGCCGTTCGAATGCCATCGGATACGGCCGAGGATTGCTTCGAGGATGGGCATGACCCCCTGCCAGAAGGCACGCGACTGCGAAAACAAAGAGCTGCATTTCACCTTGAGGATCCTTCGCGAAGCTTGGGCCTGGAAGTACTGGCCGAACTGAACCAAGGAACCTAGCATAGCTGGGCAGACCTCCTTTTTAAGCTCATGGTAAAAGTCGGGCTGGTCGCTCAAGTCACCGTGAAGCCGTGACGTTCGGACCGTAGCCGGCACCATTTTCCAGACGGTTTTGGCAAGCTGGGGTGATATTAGCCGTATACACCAAAGACAGCCACCAGCCGTGGATGGAGAAGCGATGGTGGAACACGCCATTGGTTCCCCCACATTTTTCCCACAGATCTTCTCGCAGCCGATACGAGGTACCATCCTGACCATCTCGCAAGAGGCTTGACTCGGGGGAGCTGCTCCAACTCCGCACGGCAAATCCACGCTGACAGCAAGAGACATGATCGATACTCGTGCACACATCCGATCTCGGCTTGAAGGTGGCCCGAAGGACACTCGTAGACTGGAGCGGTGGAGAACAATACCTGTTTTGGTACATATGCATTTCATAGCTGTCATGTGCTCGCTGCCGGTGTATCCCAAACACAAAATCTATTTCCCATGAAGCTGTTTAGCAAACACCCAGCTTGCCCAACTTTCTCGCCTATCGTCGAGGCAACGACACCATCCATAGGTGCGGATTACCTCCACCAATATCCGCCAACATCGCCCTCGTCGCAATCCTTTCGAGACCGTTCCAGTTTCGGAGTCGGCAACAGACACGGCTTTTCGATTGGCAGTGCGTCTACTGTCGCCCTATTCTGGTCTGTCCTTAATTGCTCTTCTTGTCTCCAGAGCCAGGGTTCGTCTGGTTGTACTTGACACTCAGATCGTCGTACTCCTTCTGCAGACCCTCAGCTTGTTTCTTGATTGCCTCAATCTCCTTGTCTTTCTTGCCAAGCTGCTTCTTGAGCTCTCCAATCTGGTCGGCACGGTATCTGTGGTCGAGTTTCTCTCCTTCTTTGCCGCCAGCCCGCTCATCACCCTCATACATCTTGACCTTCTCTTCCAAACGAAGAACGTCGAGGATCATGCCGTAGGTGCGGTTGAGGATGAGGGAGAGGAAGAGGGTGAAGCCGGTCAGATACATGTTGCGTTGAGAGTAGAACTTGCGGGCCTGAACCTCCATGCGCTCAGAGCCAATGGCAGCAGCTCGCCTGTTTCTGTTAGATATGCTCCTGTAAAATATGTCGCGTGACTTACCCTGCTCCACTATTATCCTTTGTAAGAGCTGTCATCTCGACCTGGACCCGATAGACTCTGTTGACACTGTCGAGGAAGAGGATCAGAATGAAGATGAAGGTGATCTTTTGCGTCATCAGCCATAGTCCTGGTAATTTTCGAGGCAGGGGTGCCGTACCTTCATTGCATATTGTATCTTGGCAACTATTGGACTTTCGGAAATGAAATTGAACAGTTTTCGCTTGGCGGTGAACGGCATGGGGATGATGAGTGCGACAAACAACACCATCTCCAGTACCAGGAGCACGAACACCTGGACCACTTAGCATGAAGACAGGCAGTCAGCAAGAGGTCAACTTACCAGGCTGTAGTAGAGCGTCATGATGGCCGTTCTCTCTCGAAGAGGTTTTGTTTCGGAGGGTGCACAGGCTAGAGAGTCCACGGCACAACGACGCCGAAGGTAAAGTTGGCAAAGAGAAAAACTGAAGCAACGAGGTGGGGTGTGGTCAATTCAACAGATGCGAAGTTGAGGCTGTCCAGGTTTTAAATGAAGGCCAGATTGGGCGTTTCACTTCGCAGACAGTTGCGTCACCGTCACCTTTGACTTTTGCAGGTGGGAAAAGCGGTCGCAAGCAAAGGAAGTTACCACCACGTCATATAACTGCGCGGCTTGCACAAACACTCCACTGTTTCGCATCACGGTGGATCTTGACCAGGTATTGAAATCCCAGTACTTCGGATACTGGGGTGTATTATATGAAGCATAAAAGGATCATTGACTGCCGACGGAGGTCCTTATGATACCCGTGAATCAGATTCTGAGCTCAAGCGCCCCACGTGTTTACATAATTCATTTTGGGCCTGGAGGAATGCGTGTGCGCCTAACCTGTAAGTTTGCAAGGACTGCATTACCAAATCAAAGGCTCGCCTCCCATTTCTTGAAGCTCGTGGATTGCTTGCTTGGTTGCAGCTCAACGAGCGCAACTCCAGGCACCAGAGCACAAGGATATCAGGGTATCTCATTCGTAAAATCCAGACTTCGCCAGCATATCCGTCCACCAAACGGGCATGAAATTTTTTCTTGAGAGATCCCCATCCGTCGTTTCATGCAAGGCTGATATCTGCGCGCATGAAACTCGGTCAAGCGACGAAGGGCTTTCGGCCTTGCGCACATTTGACTAAGTCATCCACAACCTGATTGACGACCGTCTACTTCGCTTCATTCACCACTCGAACTCGCCTTGCCCTTTGTGAAAGACGTATCTGGACAGGATCTGTCAGTTGCCAAAGAACAAAATCCATATCCGAGAGAGCACTTACTCGGTCCCATCCACCCTCAGAACACCATCCTTCAAAGTGCACTTCCACTTGTTCTTGACCCGCTGGACCTTGTCGTATGTGCAAAGCATGACTTGGTCAGTATTTTCACCATTTTCCTCGGCCGCCGCTAGATCGTCAGGGTCGTCGAGGTCAGAGTTGATAGCGTCTTCATCCTCCTCGTCATCGTCGTCGCCTGTTGCGTCGCCTTGAGAACGCACAATGCTCCGAGTCACTGCCTTGCCGGACTCAGCTCCCGCGTTGCCCAATGCGTTGACTTTTCGGGTAGTTGACTTGTCCGGAATGTGGCGTGCACCCAATGGAACCAAGAGACCGCCGCCTTCCAGTGATTGCTGCCGGACTTGAAAATGGGCTCGCATGAGGTTGTCGCCTTCCGTAGCATGCGCCGCAGCAAAGGCCGTGCGTTGAGCAAACTCGGTCGACCATTCGTCACGGGCATCCCCAGCACCGTCGGTCTGGCTGGTATCTACTGCTCGAGGTTGGAGTTGGGGATTGTGGGAATATTCCTGTACGCCATCAAAGCCCGTGCTTGGCTCTTCTTGCTTGATGTAGGACGAATTTGGTGCCGCTGATGGCATTGGCACACGTGGTTGACCGCCTGACTGGAGCTGGGCAATCTGGACACCGGCTCGCGGACCGTACTGCTGGTGAAGGTTCATGGCGGCTCTGTCTCGAGCTGTCAGCGGCTGACCTTGCTGGAACGAGGGTGCCTGATATTGCTGAGCGTGAGGCGGCGCCTGCTGAGTAGGATATGACGGTGCAGCATTGGGCTCATTCTTGATGACTACCGAGGGAGCCGAGGATTGTGACAAAGGAGGGGTGCTGACACTGCCGCCATTGCTGGGAAGAGTTTGGGGAGCGGTCTTCACATTGCTGGGGACGGTTGCTTGTTCTTTGATGGCAGGCGCTGGCGGAGGGTCCCATGGAAGTTGGGCAACCTTCAGCGCTGTGAGCTTCTTCTGCCATTCCTGAAGAAAGAGGTTAGTCCAATCAGTCAACGCCCGGAGCTGCCTGGTACGACACGGGGCGTTCCAAATATGGGTTAGTGCGGAACTTTGGGGGTGGCCATGCTGGCGGTGGCGTATAAAAAGAGACCATGACTCAAAGCAGGGCCTGCATTCAAGAACCTTCCGATCCCCGCCTCGCCGCCCGCAGCCTTCGCCCACCCGCCCTCCTACCGCAGCGCAGCGCTCTGCAGCGCCCTGGAGCCTGTTTTGCAATCAAAACACCTTTCCAGCGTCCACGCTTCGCCGCCTGTTTCCCTTTCCTTAGACACGTGTATTCGACTCTTGCTCATGTCTCGTGCAAGCCAGAGTAATGATGGGACTTGACAAAGAGTGATGTGCAGCTGGCCGCAGGGGTGACTTACCGACTTGAGCAGATCTAAGGTTGCAAGCTCTACGCCACCCTCCTCGAAATCTTGCCGTGAAGCTTCGCAAACATCGTTGATGACTTTGGCATACACATCGCCCTGTATCAAGTCAGCGATCGAGCGCCGTCCAGGACTGTAGGAGCGCCGGCGCTGCGTATTCAGTTGTGGCAAGGCAAGAGGAGAACTCCGGGCTGGACGTGACGGCGCAAGACACCTACCACCAAGGTCTTTGACATGTTGCCGTTGTAGTTGGTGTTGCAGCGTCAGGATATCTCTAGTACGCTGGATCTGTCGTCGCTAGCAGGTGAATGCGAAAAGAGCTCACGGGAAGAGTTATGTAGCTGTAGCAAGACCAGTAGGTGATTGCCGCGGAAGGTGAAAGTGACAGTGACGATGAGATTGACTAGCGCAGTTTCCACATGTCACTTCCGTGGCAGATATTCTCAGGCGAGACCTATGTGTGATAGATCTAGGAGTATGGAGTTGAGAGGGATGTTTTGCTCAGTGCTGGTGTGGAACGTGAATTGGTGAATAAGGCTTAATGGCAAGTTCGTCAGAGCGATGGGAGAGATGACCCCGACGGCCTCAACTCAAGGCTTGGCTCAGGCGCTAGCCACTTACTTGCAGGCACCTGACAAACACCTGGGACCCCTCTAATTGGTACCTATGGTGCCTCCGGGCCCTTTAATTGAGATCCCTTCACCATCCCCTCACATTATCAATTCACATGTATATTCTTGGGTCTAGCTGAGCCGTACTTTTTCGCGCTTGCTCCCCGAAATGATTCGTGTTTCCTAGAACTACAGCAAGCAATTGCAACTTGCTTCCACTAATCTTACTGGTAGACACTTGCATTGCATTCCGCCAAAATCCTCTTCGCCTTGGTCGCGTGTGAACCGTGCAGAGATCATGTCTTTCCGACCAGCGTTGATTGTTGTCGACATGCAGAATGACTTCTGTCCCCCGGTGTGCATCTCCCCTTTCCCAGATTAATCTTTGCCAACAGGTCATAGGATGGCTCCCTCGCCGTCTCGGGAGGTCGAGATATTGTCCCGCTCATCAACAAGCTTCTTGCCTCTCCGCGTTTCGTTTTGAAGGTGCTCACCCAAGACTGGCATCCGACTGACCACATCTCGTTCGCTGCGAACAACCCTGGTCCCAACAACAAGCCGTTTGAGTCGTTTGTAGATGTTCAAAACCTGGTCGGGAAGAAGCCGGAGCAAACCATGAAGCAGAGATTGTGGCCCGTTCATTGTGTGCAGGGTTCAAAAGGGGCAGAAATCATCGATGGCCTGGATATCTCTGATGTCCGCTTCTCTGTCAAGAAAGGACAAGACCCACAGGTGGAAATGTATTCTGCCTTCTCAGATTCTTTCGGCAACCTTACCTATGGCGCTGGAGGCGTAAGCCACAGCCTTGCTGAAGAGTTGGTAACCGAACAGATAACGCACGTCTATGTCGTCGGCCTTGCCGGTCAGTGCTCTTCCAGACCATACCCTGCAACCCGAGATTTGAGCCTTCGTACCCAGATTGTCTCATAAAGCAAAGAGCTGATCCAACTTTTGAGAGAACATTAGGTGACTACTGCGTCAAAGACACCGCGCTAGGCTCGGCCAAAGCAGGTTTCACCACATACTTGGTAGAGGAAGCCCAGAGATGTGTGGATCCAAGCACGTGGCCTGATGTCAAGAGCGCTTTAGCGCAAGGCTCCGTCACTCTGGTCAGTATTGATGGCAGTGAGGTTCGGCAGGTCCTTGAACCTTGAGGACAGTTTTGACCATCGACATCGGGCTTTGCCCCGAGGAAGCTTTACGTCTTCCCCGAAAGACGTATTCTTTCCACTGACGCTCTTCGCGACTTACTCCACGGCAATATGCTATACTCCGCGCTCATCAAGTTCTCTTGGACTTGCGGTAGCCAAAACGTTCAGTAAGGAGTTTTCAAGGAGTAACATGAAGTCGGGCTGCTACGCCTGCTAGAAACATGGCATCTGCTTGCCTTTAGCCATATCAGCCTTGTTTCAGCAAGAAATATCTCCAGATACAGCTGTAAAAGGCATGAGCTGTGGGCAGCTTTTGTGTCAGCCACCGAAATGAAAGATTAATGAATATCTGGAGGAGAATGTGAGAAGGACTATCCTTTTCTGTCAACACCAAGCGAGCGCAAGCGCGTTCGACTTCCAATGATGGTCTTTAAGTTCGGATACGCCCATGCTGCTGCTGCGCCGCCACGGCGTCACAAGGTTACCATAGACCAAAGTTTGACAGGAGAAACTGCATTGTCACAAAGTGGAGGGTCGCTTCTTCGCGATTGTTTACGATCTGTGACCAGTCAGAGACACATCGGCCTTCCTTGAGACCGCACCTGCATATCAGTATGGCGTCGCCCGTGAGAGCTTGATCGCGAAGTCATGGGGGGCGAGCAGGCAACTCCAGAACCAGGAACGGAACTGCTACCTGACAAAGCAACTACAACTACGAAGATGCGCCGAAGACGGTTCCTGGCAGCCTCCCCGGCAGGCGAACAAAGAACCGAAAACATGACGTGCATTCTTCTTCTTGCCTCATGGCTGTAACACTTCGCTTACAGTTACTGGACACAATGAGAGAAACCGAAAGTATCTGGGCGGTCCAGAGAAGCACTCGGCAGCCCTTTTGTCGTTCGAGATATTCAATCTTGTTCTACCAGGCGATCCGCTTTGACACGCTAGTATACCTCGTCATTCCCTACTCTTTGGCAAGCAAACTTTTGCATCTGAGCAGCAATGCTCAAAAGGACTAAGTGAAAGGTCTCCAGTGGTAACCAATCCCACTGGGACTGCGATCATTACTCAACCGGTGTGCTCCAGCCAATCAGGTATGGACGTGCAGCTACTGATCATCGTTACACTGTGTTGTAGCATCTCTCGCGCCTTTTAAACACCGTTTTCCAACGCTCGTGTTCGTGACTGGCTACTGCGCTCCCATATAATACATATTATAGGACAGCGGCTGTTGTCCAAGGTGCTTGATCGGATCTCAAGTCAGGGGCAATGCCTCACTCAGAGCACCCTACACCGCGAGAGAACACGCCTAACCCTGATCCAGATATTTCGGCTTTCTGGTGGAATGTAAATCAGCGGCGCCATGAATGGACGCCTGAATGTCCCGCATATCTGCTAGGCCAAAGTGAGAAGAATATGGGCATCCTGACGAAGCGTGACAAAGAGTTCAAGAGATTCAGCTGGGAGATGTGCGAGGAATTGGTCAGAACAAACAACATTCACCACTTCCAGCGATCATCAAGTCAACTCCGAGGATACTTGCACTACGTTCACCATCTCAAGAAGACGTATGGCTCGGTCCTCACATACATCCAGCGAGAACGACTTCACTGGGACACGATCACACCCAGTGGGGATGAACCATTTCGTAATGCTTGCGACTATAAAATCCTGTACAACGACTGGCCGTACTTTGTTGAGGAAGGTATCAAGCATCTTGTTGTGTGGACCAAGTTTCTCATCGATGAGGACCCCGAGACAGGGGAAGTGCTTCCACAAGCCAAGCAGCGAATCGAAAACTTCATCAGGGCGACATTTTGCGAGGGACAAGGAGACAAGAGGGTCCCCAGAGAAAGGATACTTTGGTTCAAGAATTGGAAGAGTCTGAAAAGCGTGCATGCATTAGGTAAGTCAGCGAGAGCTGCTGAGCTGATGGTGAGGCTGCAGAGACGGGTGAGTGGCTGACTCTTGGGTATCCATAGAGCATTTCCACGTTATGCTCTATAACGCGCCTGAAGCACTTCTGGAAGCTGTGACACACGGAGATCGGCCGACTTGTGAAAGCTGGATGGATAGCAACAGCTGAGGGGGAACCCGTATGCGTCGATTTGAAGAGCAAAGGACTGTAATAGGGCCTCATAGACTGCAGGATATACAGGTAATTCGAGGCGTAGGTAATCTGGTTACAATCCTAGGAAATAGATACTTGAAGAAATAGACTGTTGGGATGTCAGCCTCGCGTGCATTCAAGAGCCAGCTAAACGCAAGAGAAAACGAAACGGCAATCAGATCGAGGCACGTTTCCACGTTTCCCATGCGGATGACGCAGCATCTTGCTTTGTGCAGGGGTTCGTTCTAGTTAAAGCTCATGGCCTGCACCCAATTGCAAGTGACGCGTCCAGCTGGACAGTTACTTAATAGTTAGGCGTGGTTAGGTACCCCATGCAGGAAGAGGCACAAAGCCCAACGAAAATAGGCGACCATCTTCCCTTATGGTTCTGACACTTCAAGCTGAGCCAAGTTTACTCTAATTCACAGCTGTGAGATTGGGGTAGACTTCGCATATCACTACGTTCACTGCTCGCGGTGAACGGATACTGTTTAAGCCGGAACAGCAAGAGGCAGATTCAGCACATCCACCACGCGTCGCCCTGGCCGCACCCCGCTATATCCGGCAGCCCCTCGACGTCATATAATACTGGTTGCACCAGCTGCTTTTCCTGCTTCGTGCACCTGCGCCTTCACCACACAGACATTCTTGCCTCGTTGCACGAGGGTGAGCAGTCGAGACGATGAAGCACTCAATAGGAAATGCGCTGCGCGGTCGCAGTGATTCAAAGGGTACTCCCTCGATCTTCGCTGGGCCATCATGGTAGTCAGGCTGACTCCAAAAATTCAGGCAATCGCTCTTCTTCGGAGGAGCAACGAGAACCCGTTGACGAGGACACCACTGTGGTTGAGCCAGACCAGGGAAATGGTGAAGACCTTACTGTTGCCTCTAAAGCCATGCACGTTTTAACACAGGTGCAGTCCTCTCGCACATCATCTCGCAACTGCGCCCAGGCGCCGACCTCTCCCGAGTCACCCTCCCTACGTTCATCCTCGAGGAGAGATCGATGCTGGAAAGAATAACGAAGTAGGAATTGGCCCCAAAGATGTAAGGAACAACGACTTACTGGTGGCTAGTTTCATGGCTCACCCCGACACACTACTTCCCATGCCGAAGATCGAGGATCCTGTTGAGCGATTTGTTTCGGTTATCAAGTTCTACCTCAGCGGCTGGCACATCAGACCACCGTATGTTGCTGTCTCTGTCCGTCATCAAAGAGGTGCACTGACTGTCCACTAGTGGCGTTAAGAAGCCGTTGAACCCTATCCTCGGAGAGACCTTCACTTGCTACTGGGAATATCCCGACAATACACGCGGATACTACATCTCCGAGCAGACTTCGCACCATCCACCCAAGTCGTCCTATTTCTTCATGGCTCCCGAACACCACATCCGCGTCGACGGCACCTTGAAACCACGGAGTAAATTCCTCGGCAATTCGGCAGCCAGTATGATGGAGGGCATCTCTTACTTGCGGTTCACGAACAGAGGCAAGTCGAAGGGTGGTGAGAAATAGTACGTACGATGCAACATACTGGCTGGACCCGTCACTAACCTTGGCAGCATCTTGACGCAACCCAACATGTATGCGCGAGGCATTCTTTTTGGCAAGATGAAATACGAACTAGGCGATCACTCCTTTGTGCGGTGTCCCGAGAACGGCCTTGCGGCAGACATCGAGTTCAAGACCAAAGGCTGGGTTGGGGGTACCTACAATGCTATCGGCGGTGTTATCAAAAATGAAAAAACGGGCGAAACTCTGTTTGAACTCTCTGGGTTCTGGTCCGGCGAGATGACCATCAAAGATATCAAGACAGGTCAGAAAAAAGTCCTTTTTGATGCGACGCACGCGAAGCATGCTCCGCCCTTGTCACGGCCCATCGAAGAGCAGGGCGAACGCGAGTCACAACGGCTATGGAGGTCGACGGTCCAGGCAGTTCATGCGCGAGATCATGAGGTCGCTACCACCGAAAAGGCAAAGATTGAAGATCGCCAAAGAGAGGAAGCTAAACGACGGGAGGAATTAGGTGTCGAATGGAAGCCCAAGCTGTTCCGGAGGGTAGATTCTCGACCAGGAGGGGCCGAAGAAGGTGAAGAAGACCTGGAGTGGATTATCAACGCGAACTTGTAGGTTCCGTTCCTTTGTTTATGATCGTTACTGACTCACACCGTCTCTCTAGGGACCCAAAAGCCAGTCCCCAAGAATTGGTGGAGAAGATCTTATCGATAGCACCCATCTTACCAGGGCAAGGTGCACCCACTCAACGTGAGCCTCAGCACCAATCCCAGCCTGCCACGACATCGCAGCCGCCAGCAGCACAGAAGAATGCAGGAGAACACTTGCAGGCTTCTGGTAATCTGATCGATTTCGATTCGAGACCACCGAGCACGGCACCGCCTGAGAGCTATCCAAATCAAGCCGCATCAAATCACCAACAATCAGTGCCTCCTCGGAACGGTGCGAACTTGATGGACGACGACGAGCACTTGAGCAACCAGGTATCCAAGCTGAAAATGCATGAAGCTATGGTACCCGAGGGCCAGAAGCCGCTGAAGAGAACAGACACGGACACCAGTGAGGTAGATGTGTTTGTTGATGCTGAAGGTTGAACGAGTGTCGAAACGTCGCAAGACTTGGGAGGTCCTGAACACGAGTTAGGGCTCCCTATGCCTTCTTCGGCGGCCAAGTCAAGAGCTCAAGCATTAATTATGATAATGGTATAGAGACTGATGAGCTGTATCAAGTTCGCAGGCATCGATAGCGTCGTGAAAAGAGAAACGAACTACCCATGAGACACACAAGACCCTTGACGAAAATCATGCAGGCGTTGTTCCATCATTGAGATATAATACTGTTCCGTCCTTGAAGGATGAGTACTGTGTAGAGATGGTACCTGCATCGAGCAGCCCGAATATCGCCGAAGCCTCAAAAAGGGTGCCGGTTGATCAGATCAAATCAAACCGTCGGAATTGGCCCGTGCGAAGCAGGTGATAGCACTAAGCCTAATTGAGCCAGGTCAAGTGCGGAGGATAAGGGAGAAGGGGCAATCGGCATGTGCGGGGGAAGCCACGGGAAGCCCACCCCTGCCCGCCTTCGCCCACCGCCAAACATGGGGAAGGCACCTGCCGCCCAAACAACCTGTTTCATGTGATGGCTGCCGCGAGTGCCGTTGCACACCGGGAAGACGCCATGCGTGAGGCTGCAAGAGGGCCGAGGGACCCCGGGACACGTAAGTAGCACGACTTCACCCTGATCTCGTTTCTCTTCTCTTTCTTCTCTTCTTCACATCGTGTCGGCCAGGTAACATACCTTTGACCATAACAACGTGAATCTCCACTCCTCACCTCGCACACGACCTGTTTAGCGCTCAACACCGTCGCCTCGTCCTCATCATCACGCCCGTCCCCATCCATTTTTACCGGAATTTGAGCGAACTAAAACACCCCCGGAAACCGCGCTGCAATACACACCCGTGGCATTCCACACCAACGACGCCAACTACCTAACGCCCATACCGCCCTCATAATCCAGCAGGAGTCAGCAGTACTACTCAACAGATCTGCACACATTTCGGACTTCGACACCAGCCGCCCTCTACCGCTCATCACCTTCACCACTGTTACCCCAGCAGCCACCCGCAACAACACAAGTCGTCCTCCAGAACTACTCTCAAGATGCAAACTCGAACCATCCTCGGAGCAGGTGCTCTGCTCGGCGTCGGTGCGCTGGCCATCACCCAAATGGGCTTCCAATCCCAAGATCGCCAATACAAGAAAACTCTGGCCTACATGCACGACGGGCGCGAGAAGATCCAGGAACGCATGAATGCTATGGCCAACACTGTGAGCGATACCGTGAGTGGGAAGAAGTAGGCATATGGAACCGGGGGGGGTCTTCAAAAAGGAGGTGAGGGGTTCGTAACGGTTAAGTGTCAAGAATGCCAGAGATTGGAAGTACAATTTAGAAGCTACGACAGGAGAAGACAGCAATGACTCCGCGCAAAAGACGTGCTCCGCAACATAATGCATCCATCAAGCCTCCTTAAGAGCCACATGAATACCCACCACAACTATATCAAGATACTCGACCTGAATGGATCGCAATGGATCGCAAATGGTGCACGGAAAATGAAGCTGGAACTTGAATCGGAACCTCTGTTGTTAGCTTGCTTTGCTGCACATAAGGCTACGTAGCGCAACATCAAACTCATCAACACACATCCCAGCGCGTCTTGTCCCTTCGAACTCTTTCTATGCCTGTACGCAAGGTATTTAAGTTGGTGCCGTGCGAAAGTCCCGCGAGCAAAAGTATGCAAGTGGATCAGAATCTCGCTCAAGAGCTCAAGGAATCATGATTCTGTTTTCCAGTCCACGCCATGCACATGATATGCCCGACCCTGGAACACACACAGATTGAGGCGCCACCATCCCATCCGCGCCAGAGTACTTGTAGTTCCATGAATCCATCCATCCACTGACTTGGCCACCACGCCACGCTCCGACTGGGGCAATATGCATGCCTTGCCTTGCCTTGCCTTGCCTTGCCTTGCTGACGAACGCACTACAATCCGCAATCTTTACCCCCCCAGCCATGACACGCGACATGTCCTGTCATATCACGCACTCACGCATCTTCGTCCTCAGTCTCAGTATCCGTCTCGGAGGAATCACTGTCCTCGTCTCCCTCGGTATCGCTCTCGTCGTCGTCGCTGTCCTCGGCGACATTGCCTCCTGCCACAGCGACGGGGACGCCGTCGCCTTTACCGTCTTGCGCTTCGGCATGCGACAGAGTGCGAGGCCGCCGCAGCTTCTTGGTCTTGCGCTTCGTCGTTGGGGATGTGGCCATGCCCCCGCTTTTCATTGCCTGGAATTGGCCGGCCAGAGAATCTAGAAAGTCATGTTAGCGCTGCAACACCGTAAAGCATCTAGGGGTGTTTGCGCGGTGGGGAACAGACCTTCCTCGGGCTCACTAATCTCTTCGTCGCTCTCCACCACCTCTGCTTCCTTGGGATCGCGGACGTCGAGGACCACGTCGACCTTTTCGTCCAGACCAATGTACGAGTCGCACACCAGGTGCATGACGAACGGGAAGGCGTGGATCTGTGGGGGTGCCTGGAACGAGCATTTAAGGGTTACGACGTTGAACGTGGGCTTCACGCTCCCGGTGGCAGAATCGGTCGTGAAGATGGGACGGTCAAAGGACGTGAATGTGAAAGGCGGCACGGAGATGCGGCCGGAACGGCTCTCGGCCAGGAAGACATGCCACCGCGGGGCGTGCTCCGCTGCGAAGTATGGCGCGTGCGCCAGCGGAGGCTGGACGGAGCCGTCCTTCGCGTCGTCGTCGACGTAGCTCCCGTCCGGCAATTTACGGCGCTTGTTCTTCGCGGGCTTGCGACCGTGCAGGGCGTCCAGGTCGCCTTCGTCGGGGTCGATGTCTTCAAGGTCAAGAGGGTTGATTTGGGGAATTTCACTCGCGGCCGTTCCTGGTGGGATGACGCGGGCTTTGATTACCAGTTGGACCAGACTGCCCGGGGTAACGACCCGTTCGCCGACGACTTTAAAAAACGCTCTTGCAATGACGAGGCGTGGGATCTGCGACGCAACAGTCATGGCCTGACTGTATTGCGCGTCGGAGAGATCTGAGCATAGACTGCGGCGGGTGGTGGGTGGCAGCTGCATGAATTTTGGCAAAGCGAGGGGCCCAGTCTTGGAGGATTTTGAGATTTTGTCGACGATTTCGGGCGTGAAGTTGGGGAGTTGCAGTATCGCTGAACTGCTGGGCGGAACAGCTTGGATGATATTCTGCGAGGTGTGGTAGGATGCCAGGAGGGGCTTTACCGCCCCAAAGGGAAGGGTTATGGACGTGAAAGAATTGTTGAGGAGTAGGGCCGTGGGAGCGACGTCGTACTTCTCCTTTTCGAGCTCGGGGTCTTCGAGATCGATGCGTGCGAGGTAAGCCCATAGTAGGGCAAGGGTTTTCCGGCGCACGGGATCGTCAATGCTCCTGAGGCGGAGTTTGTCTGCTTCCGTCAAGACGGTGCTGTTGAGGACTTTGCTTTCGACTTTTGCCGCTCCGGCATCACTCCTTGCTCCCTTGAGGTTCTCCTTGAACTCTTGGCCTACGCTGGTGGCTGCCACGACACCGCCTTCAGAGATATCTTCCTTCCACTCGCGGAATAGATTGCCTGCACTGGCGTGGAGAACTTTGTCTTTTGTAAGGGCTTGTGTGCCGTACCACCATTTCCCGAGCGTGTAGGGGAGGATGATTCCAAGCAGGATACCGTAGAAGGCAACGACGATCCAGCGGTTGCCTTCCTCAACCATCCACTTGGGTAGCGCGATGCCAATGCTGGTTGACTGTTTCCCATCAGGGTTTCCATACAGCAGATAATTGTTCCTGATGTCTTCGTCCGTCAGCGCTTTGTAGGCTTTTGTCATTTCGACCCAGCGGCTGTTCACGTCGTCGATGGTTTCGTTCTTTGAAACGTCGGGCTTCGCTTTGTCGGGGTGATATTTGAGAGAAAGTTTCCTGTAGAACTTGTCGATCTCCCTCTCCGAGGCACTCCTCGACACTCCGAGGATATCATACGGATCCCACATCTTCGGTATCGTCCTCTGAGTGACAGCGATCAGATAGATCATATAGGCCATGAAGGCGTAGCCCAACACCACGGCTATGAGTCTCTTCGTCTTGCGGGTTTGTCTCTTCCGCCGCTTTCTCTGCGCCTCGATAAGATCGACATTTTTGGGTCGGAAGTCTGATTTTATGCGGGAGGCCGTCTGTTCGAGGTCTGTCGAGGGTTTGAGGACGTTGTAGGTGAGAGGGATGGTGACCAGCCCGGCCATGGTCAGCATGAAGAAGGGGAAGAATTGCCCGCCCTCATCGTAGTTGTATTCAGACATGGTTGCGGTTTGGCGCACGCGCCGTCGAGGATCTTGGACAGCGTTGTCAGTATTGCGGCACCGGCAGATCAGGGATAGTGCAAGACGATGGAATTGTGCAAAGCCTCCAAAGAAATGCCCGCGGCGGGCAACAGTCTGCGTCAACGAGTGTGAATAATTAATTAATGGTTGTCCCCAAAAGTGGCCGGTGGACCCTGGACAAATGGTGCAAACGCGAGGTGGCTTCTCCGGGCTCAGCCTCGTCGGAATCTCATAGCCGTGTCGAACCGTCCGCCCCCTCTAACTCGTCGTCCACTTACACAACGCTTGCTTAGACCGAAGAAGACTGCTGGGTATGCTGAAGTCAGCTCCTGATAATTGCAGCGTTTTGCTGATCGACCACCTCTATCATAAATGACTGTGCGGTGGCCGGTGATGAGACCGCAGGATCTCAAAGCCACTCGTCCGTCTTGCATTACTCTGCAAACCAAGTGCTGCCCTCCAGTCCTCCTGATGGATGCTTGATGAACGATGCTAGCCATCGTATTGAGTCTCGCGGAAGTGATGACCCTAGATAGTACCCGCCGTAACTTCGACTCGGATTTCTGCCGCTGATTCCAGAACTCGAGTGTCTTGGTCGCACGCCTAACCAGGATATGACCGTCCCTTTCACCGGTCTTGCGCAGGGCGAAGACTCATCAATCAATGTGGGAAGGTCAGGCAACACGCCTTGTGGTACGAGCGCGCGGGGTCTACAGATGATGGTTGCCAAGGTGTCAGGGAAATGGTCAACCGGCGAAAGGCCATGGCAAGACTGTTTACCATTGCTGTCTCATGCAAGGACACCAAGGAAAGAGAATGGAAGATATGAGCTGTTTCAGTCCTCTACAATCAGAAAGTCTCAAGCACGCCGCGTGTAGACTCGTTACCCGCATCGACCTTGAAGTACCTCGTACTCGTAATTAGTTGGAACAAGGACTCCGTGCCTTCCCAAGGTCCATATTAAACTTCCTGTGTGCCTGCCACACATCGGGCGCTTCGGCCGGCTACTAGATCTGGATTTACGTCATCTGGGCTTGGCAGATCTGGAGCAAGGCTTCCCATTGCCCCTCCTCCTCTTACTCCGGAGATGGCATCCATCAACGCATCATGACTTCAGAGACTGTCATCATCACAGCCCTCCTTGACATGTGGCCTGGTATCACCGGAGAGGCACAAAAAGGCATCGAATCCTCAACTATGTGCACCCAACCACGTCCAGATCATTTCCATATTGTCTCCCTGCAACCGGATGCACCTCTCCTTGAGAATAGTCCGTAACGTGAAACTCAACAGGACAAATATCCTCCTTACTGCCAATAAGCACACCAAACGCAACATGTCATCTCTACTACCTGGAAGCAACAAACTGGACCCAAACAGCGACATTCCGGATCTGTCGGGCAAGGTGGGCGACTCTCTCCCGTTCTCAAGTCATCTATTATTCTGACCCTTCTGCGCAGCATTACATTGTCACAGGAGGAAGTGCAGGAATCGGCTTCGGCATTGCCGCCCATTTGCTTCAACACAAGGCAGAAAATGTCACCATCTTGTCGAACAAGGAGGAACATGCCAACTCTGCGCTCGAGGAGTTGAAGGAGTATGGAGACGCGTCGAAAGCCCATTGGGTCAAATGTGACCTAGAGGATTTGAAGTTCACGGATCGGGTTGCCGATGAGCTGGCAAAGTCGCAGGACGGACTGGATGGGGTCAGTGACGAAATATCACTAAGATATCCCCACTGCAATCACTGACAAAGCCAACAGCTCATCCTCAATGCTGGCCTCGGTGTTGGCGTGTACAACGAGACCAGGGACAAGCTCGATTCACATTTCCAAGTCAACCATCTCTCACAATTCATTCTGCTAGCGAAGCTGCTTCCCCGGCTACAGCGCACCCCCGGAGCGAGGATTGTCTTCGAATCCTCGGAGTTGCACAGAGCCGCCCCCTCCGACACAAAATTCAAGGACGAGGCCGAGATCAATACCGACATTGGCCCGACTAAACTCTACAATCGAACCAAGCTGGCTCAGATCCTGATTGCGCGAGCCCTCCAGCGAAGAAAGGAGGCCGGGGAATTGGGCTTCAAACCGGACCAGAAGATCTTTATCAATGCGGTGCATCCAGGAGGTGTTGCCACGGATCAGCCGCTCCAGGCCGAGGAAGCTTATGGCAAGGTCGGCGTTATTGGTCATAAGCTCGTGAGGCCGTTTATGAAAGATCCGGTGTCAGAAGGATGTCGCCCAGCATTGTATGCGGCCACAAGTCCGGAAATCGAAGAGAAGGGGATCAGTGGCCAGTACATTGTCCCGGATAAGAAAGTGACAAGCCCGAGTTCACAGGCACAGGATGATGAGCTCGGTGAGGCTTTGTGGAAGCTTAGCGAAGACCTTATCAAGAGTAGGGTAGGCTGAATGTTTCAAAGCATGACCTATCGGGCCAGGGTGTGCCGGCTCGCAAGATGAAAAAGCCAATGGTTGTTGTATCAACAGGGATAATTGAAGGTAAAACCCTCGCGTAGGACGCAAATGTTAGTGCTGCTGCTGAAATGTACCACACCGCCTCCCTAGGCTGTAGCCTGCGAGCATACCGCTTCTTGGCTCCCTCGTACTATCGAGTTTCATACTCATACACACAGGAACCGCAATGCTTCGTGTTGTCCTCAAAACACCCCTGCCGCGCAATCATAAAAACCGCCGCCGGAAACTCGGGGTCGGGTCTGGTGGATTGAATGACAGGTTCATGTTTAGTCGGCAAAAGGGGACCATCAGGAGCCTTATTAGTATGGCAGGTGAATCGGCTCGTGGTTTTCATCCCGCGGCTATAGTGACTGTTGTACTCAGTATGGTACTCGAACTCAACCACTCACCAAGCGAGGTAGACATCTTTTACCCAGTCCTGCAAGCCATGTGTGCAAATCCCGACTGGATCATCTCGACGTTAGCGCTAGGAACAATTACTCCTCCACTACCGCTTTAGGTGAGTCAACAGCCCAGACGGATGTAAATATGAGGTGGAGCCGCGATGTGGTGGGATGTATCCAGACATGGGAGTCTGATGGCAATATCAACAGTGCCTCGATGCATACTGTATAGGTTATCCATCGTCCGGAGGCCCGCCGCATATCACAGAAGTGCTTGCCTAAAGCTTTGCCTGTCAGCTTCCCCCTTTCTGATTTCATCTAGCCTTCCAGGTTCGGTTCCGGGTCTACTACGCGAATCTCGAAATAAGCTCGTGGTTGAGAAGCAACCAATCAACTTCATGCCGTCGAAACCGCATAGTAAACCTGCCAAAAGGGTCATGCAAGCAATACTGTGAATGATCCTGTGTTGGTGCTCATTTCGCGAGAAGGAATAAACGATATAAGATTGCTCGCCCGTCAGCCATTCGTCCGACTGCCTGATGTACTCGCTTCGTGCGGCAAAGCACCAAGTCCACGCACTTGTTTGAAACTCGAAACCAACCGCAGACGAAATGTCTACTGCGGGCGGAGTGCCAGCGAGCGCATTCTTGAACAGACCGCCGGTACGTAAAGGTCCTGATGTGCCTTACAAGAACGAGGCGGGCTCGAATCCCGTGCTTCGTGGTGTTACACTAGCTGTGGTATCCAAAGTGTATGGACGGCTGATTCCCTCTCATGCGGCATGCAACTAAAGACGTCTCCAGTGTTTCGTCGTCCAACTGGATACAACGCATCTTCTGGACGCTCAATCGCTTCGACAAGCTCAAAGACACACCTTATCTTGACGAGTATGAGATCCGTCTCGACCCGACTGTCTGGCCTCGCCATGAGCCGGCTGGGCCACTGGGTGCTTTGACAGAACTTCCAGCAGTGCAGCCTCGAGCTTCCAGCACAAACTATTACACATGCGCCGATTACCATGAACTGTACAAGTCTGGGAAGCTCACCCCGTCCGACGTCGTCGAGCAGCTCCTACTTCTGATACGAAGGGACGTCCAACCCGCCGGCAGGTACTCCGTCGCGTTCATTGATTCCAAGGTTGACCTCGTTCGAGCCGCTGCCAAAGCCTCCACGGAAAGATATCAAGCCGGAAAACCGCTCAGCGAGCTTGATGGTGTGCCTCTGGCCGTGAAGGACGAGGTAGACTTGGCGGGCTACAGGACAACCAAAGGAAGCAGGCTCGACTTCACAGATAAGACCGATGGAACGGCATGGTGTGTACAGAAGTGGCAGGACGCAGGTGCGGTAATCATCGGAAAGACGAATATGCACGAGGTTGGTCTCGATACGACGAACAACAATCAGACATGGGGAACACCCTTGAATCCACACAATAATGGCTATTATACAGGCGGCAGCTCCGGTGGTTCTGCTTTTGCCATTGCGGCAGGCATTGTTCCAATCGCTCTCGGAGTGGACGGCGGTGGGTCAATTCGATTGCCTGCGGCGTTCTGTGGTATTTATGGCCTTAAGACAACTCATGGCCGGGTTTCGCCCAGGGTGAGCAAAGACTGGATTGACAATGTAGCGGTCCATGGCCCCATGGCCAGCAGCATCGACGACCTGGCTCTGGGTTATCGCGTCATGGCTCAACCGGACCTCTGCGCAGCGCGAAGCTCTGGCTTTCCTAGCAGCCTCGTCAACACGTCATTCACTGCTTCGACCGGGAAGAAATATCTAGCAATCGACCGCACGTGGGTCGATCGCTCCGACAAGGTGGTCTTGGACATGTTCAACGCCGCGGTTGATGGCTATGTCAAAAACCAGGGTTACGAAGTGGTCGAGATCAATATTCCCTACATCCCGGAGGGACAAAAAGCGCATGCTCTGACGATTCTCTCTGAGGTTCGCAGCCAGCTCACCCGCGAGAAGATCAAGAAACTGTCGTGGCACAATCAACTGCTCCTGAACGTGGCTGGTGGGCATGCCACTGCGCAAGATTTCATGTTCGCCCAGAAATTACGGAACCTCCTCATGTGCCACCTTGCATGGCTTTGGGAGAAGTACCCTGGCGTGCTGATATTAACACCAACTACGCCATGTGCCGGATGGAAGATCGGCCATCCCACCGACCTCACCAGCGGCCAGGGCGTGAGTGATGGTGACATGAGCTTGCGAAGCATGGAGTATGTATATCTGGCGAACTTTACGGGGAATCCAGCCATCAGCTGCCCGATGGGCTACACTGATCAGAACGTTCCCGTTGGCCTTATGGTATGTGTTTTCCATCTTCTTGGAATTTCTGCCTCTAATTCAGCCACAGGCCATGGGAGATTGGTGTAGTGAAGAGCAACTCATCGCGTTCGCCAGGGAAGGCGAGTCGTTCCTGGCCGGCGCCGACGGCATTCGCCGGCCGAAGGATGAGCAGAATTGGATTGATATCCTTGCTGAGACGAAGCCTAGCCAGTAGTTCGTTCAATGCCAATGTGTTGGTCGTACTCGGGCACGCAGGTCTGCAGGCCTTACTCCTTGCGTGGAAGTCGATCACTCTGCGAACAGATTCGACTTTAATCACAAGCGCTGCTATGTGCTTGTCTCTCATTTCCCCCAGCGCTTTTGATTGTGAGAGCGCAATCAGCGTTGCCAATTGCTGCCAGGACTGAGTCCGAGTATCTCAGCGGTCCCTGATCTGCTGGACTTTGCCCATGGTCACCGGATGGTGAAATGTCTGCCTGTGCCTGACTTGGCCATTCTTTTGTGCGCCTCAGCCAGTCATTGCCCCAACCTCAAGTGCGTTTCGCTCACGCCGCCACACCGAGATACTGTACCAGAGTGATGCTCACGAAGGACAGGGTCTTCTCCTCTACGCGATCACGACGATCCAACCTCACGTTGCAGATCGTGTCCGGGTTGATCGTACGCAAGATGAGAAATGTCTGGATTGATCCGGACCACACTTCTTGCGTACAACTTCCCGCCTGGTTCCTCCTCGACTTCGCACTTCTTGGTCCTTTTTCTATTCCATCGCTCAGGCAGTACATCTCCAATAACGCAGCCTTTCCGTGCCCTCATTCTTGATCTCCTAATACACATCTGCGGACAGCTGCTCTCGCTCCCTCCTTCACATCTGCCTGTCCGCTGTCGGCTTCGGCCAGTCCTGCTTCCCCGCTGCTCTTCTAACAGTCTATGCCTTTTATTTCTGCCTATACCTCCATCTCCCCTCGTTCTTCCTCTCCCCCACTCACCTCTCATTGCTGCTGTTACTTGATTTCTTGACGGCAAATAACTGCCTACTAGGTGACGTTGCTCACTGCGTTCGTTTTTTCATCCTTCATGCTTCCCACCTTCAGGTGCATCTTTCCGCCTTCTTACCCCTCCTGCTCCTTTGTCTATCTATCTTCAGCTCCTCGTCACGTGGCTACCTTTCCCGTCACTGAAATTGACTGAGTGGTCGCCACCAGCACAGCTTCTTCGCCTCGAACGCTGCTTACCTCTGTGCCAGGCATTGCTTACCTACCGCCGGTTAGCGTCCTTTTTTGTCTTCGCCACACCGTCAGAGCTGGCGAATGTCGTTTTTTGGCTCGCTGCTCTTCTCTGCTGTAGTAGCTTCTAGGCCGAGCCTCTTGCTAGATATCACTTTCTCCTGTCATTTTCCTCGCCTTCCCACCCGCATCTAACAGGCTGCGTCTTCCCGGTCCCTTTCTCGTTCGATGTTCTTCCGTCTCCGTAACGGCAGTGCTTATCGGCTCGATTGTCTCCCTCTGGGTGGTTTGCGGCCTGACCTTCTGCTACTGTAGACATACTGTGCCTCCCTACGCTTGCAGCCTGGCACCGCGGATGGCTCACGACTGACCAAATATTGAGAGGTTTCAAGGTCGCACAATGCGTCAATGCTACGTGTAAGAGGCGATACTCTGCAAGCATAAGGTAGCATAGCTGTTGGACGTTGCAGTTCTGCGATACTGCGGCACCGAGGAAAGTACTTAGGAAAGTCCCGCAATCTTCGCGCGACAGGACGAAGTATTCAGCATTCATTCGGCGATGGTCCAATACAAGAAGACCATACCCACGGGCTAACGTGGGGAATTTCCAAGATCGAATACTAACGACGCGCCGCGCTTCCTTCACTGGTCTTCAAGATCGTCGCCGTCGCCGTCACCGTCCGCGCCACCACGGCCCTTCTGGCCCGCGCCAGGAGCCGAGTCCTTGACTTTCGCTTCCTGCTTCCTATACAGCGCCGCGAGGAACTCATTCGTGCTCGCCTCCTCGATGCTCTTATCCTCTCGGACCTTCAAAAATCTAGGGAACCGCATACTTAGCCCGCGCTCCTCGCTCACCAGCCCAATCGCCGCCGTGTACGTGGGGCTCAACGTGATGTCCGCAAACGCCATCTCCCAGACCTCAAGCGGCTCGAACCATACGTCCGGCGTGGGACCCACGTACTCGATATAGCTCGGCTTGTGGCGCGTCGTGTTATCACTCCCCTCGCTGTACTTTTCCTTGTTGGCCTGGTAGAATTTATCCGTGAAGCCGCTGATGCACTTGGTGACGACCTCTAGGCTTCCGGTCTCCGGGTTGCGGCATGCCAGAAGGATGGGGGACCACCACTTCGCCTTGCGGCCTTGGCCGTGCCAGCCTGCTACGGGGATGAGGTCGATCGTGTCGGCGGACTGGGCGTAGTCTTTTTTCACTTTCAGCCACGAGTCGAGCCTTTTGTCGGGCTCATACGTCGACAGGAGCGCTTTTCGCCGCGTGCCTTTATCCTTTTCTTTTTCCCTTTCGGACTCTCCGTGCGCGGTGGGTGCCGATCGCTTGGTGGTCGTGCTGGATCTCTTCTTGCTGGGCGTCACTGGGAGGGAAGGCGGAGTCCCATCAACGTCGTTGTGGTCCTCATCTTCCAGGGGCGCTAGGTCCGGGTTTGGTAGATTGTCCAGGACTTTGACCATTATACCCTCGCATTTGATGTCCGTGGCGGACTTGAAAAACTCGAGCACGGTTTCCGAGTCGGCCGAGGTGGCATCGATGCTCTTCACCCACGTGAAGTGGTGTTCCTTCTCGACGAACATACTGCGAAGCAGGCCGCGCCGCTCGCGGAATGGGCGGTCAAGCAATTGCTCGCCATTGAGGTACATGAGGTCGAACGCGAAGAGGCAGACGTCGATCTGGATCGAACCAATGTCGACGTCTTTCTTCGCGCGGTTGGTCAGTGTTTGAAAGGTCTTCAGCTCGCCCGTGTTTCTGTCCACGGCGACGACTTCGCCTTCGAGGATGAAGCTGGAGACGCCGTCACCACGGATTTCGGGCACCAGCGCCACCAGATCGGGATACTTGTCCGTCATGACTTCGAGGTGGCGGGAGAAGATGGACACTTTGCCGCGGTCGTCGCAATGGACCTGCGCTCGTTGACCGTCGTACTTGTACTCGCAGCTAAAGTCGCGGCCTTGGAGCTTGGTCAAAATTTCACTTAGGTCGCGCGTTATGCTTCCAAGCATGGGTCGTAGAGGGATGTGCAATGCCAGACCACACCGCAGGAGCAGTTCATCTGACACGCCGACTTCTAGCAACCCGGGGACGAGATCGTTGTAGTTCGGTCGTCGGGCAAAACAGGTCTTGACCACTTCTTCTGCTTTCGACCATATAACGGCGAGCTCCTCTTTCTTGAGCTTCGACAGCTCCGTGGGATCTCTGATGGGGAAGTCTGCGCCTGCCGGGCGAGAGAGCTGAAATGCTCGTGCTAGCGCAATGAGCATCGTCGTTTTGACTGCTCCGATGCGCAAGTGCTGAACCAATGTCCTCACGATATATCGAGACTCTTCTGGTCCTCGCGCATCCTGGAGAAGACGTTCGACTAGTCTCTGCTTCTGCTCCACACTGCCATTGCCCTTGCTGTTTGCAATCTTGACCAAGGTTTGGTACGCGCTCTTGATGGTGAGAGGCTTCGGTTTCCGGAGCGTGAAGCTCTGCCTCTTCTTCGCCTCGAATGCGACATCTCCTGCGTCGCCGTGCTTATCGTAGAGTGTCTTCAAGCCTGTGTTGTCTAGGCCGCAGACCTTCTTCAGCGCCTTGGATATCGCTGAGCCGCCTAGTCCGAGTTCCAGGGAGATATATGGCGGCGAGATCGAGTTCGTGGCTAGCCAGACAGCAGGCAGGAGGCTTTCTGGATCTGCTTCGATGATGGTCCTCAGGCAGTTCACCAGTGTGTCGACAATCTTGATACGGCTCTGCGTAGAGTTGACTAGCACAAAACATCGGGTCAGGAGAGCGTAGGATGCATCTCCTCCGTCTCCGGCCCAGTGTCTTTTCAACTCTGACACACATTGAGAAGGATCGTATGCTAACGGGCTCTGATCAAACGGAACGGTCAAGGTGATGGTGTCCTCATCTGAAGCAGTAGATTGTAAACCGAGGACTCCCTTTCTCGCGGTACCGGCTGTCTGCTGGGTCTCTGGGGAAGGGACAGCTTTTAGTGCAGCGGCCACGAACTCCTGGCGGTCTTGATCGGCCTTGTGTTCCCTATCTTCCGCTCTGCTCTGTGAGAGCGAGACCTGGCCATTAGAATCATGGTGGGTATCTTCTCTCGGTTCGTCCTCCTCCTTTGCCCATTCCTCCTGCAGCTGCCTGGCCAGTTCTTCGTCCGAGAGTTGTTGCTTGTTGGTCACAAGCCCCTGCACGTCTTCGCGCCTGATCTCCGCAGATTCCTTCGCCGCGTCCTGCTTCTTGTCGTTTTGCTTGCGGAAGAAGAAGTCGAGGTTGCGATGCGGTACCGCGCTGGGCTTCGAGTCGTTCTTCTTCCGCCTCTTGGCTGGGCTCTCCATAATGACTTGTGAGCGGCACTGGCACTGTGGCCAGTGCGACGGCGACTAGTTATCTGATTATCATCTTGCCGCGCATAAGTGAGTTTGTTGTGACTTCATGACAGCGGGTTTTGCGGTGGTCATCGCGTCTCCAACTCGATGACGCGCTGGTCGCATTTTGGAGAAAAATGAATCAAGAAAGACACATGTCAAGTTCGCATACACACACACATGCTTGCGTAGAATCCGTAGCTCCTTCGGCTCCCAAACGAGACAGATTACCGTCCTAGCTAGCCCATATGGCTGAGCTCCACCAGTCAAAGACTGGAGACGTCCGAACTAGAGTGGACGACTACTTGAATGACAAGATCCAAACCGCGGCGGATCTTGACCAGGTGGACTCTCTGCTACAACGAGTGCAAGAACAACAAGATCTATTGCGGAAGCAGGTACGCTCTGCGCCTTTGAGCCTTCAACTCGGACGCTTACGATGGATTAGCTAGAAGATGCCAGAAAAGACCTTACTGAAGCACAAAAGCGGGTGGACGAGCGATCCGACGAGCTGCGGACGAAAGCAGAAGCATATCAGACAGAGCAAGGGCAGCTGAACGAGCGGCTGCAAGAGCTTGCACGGTCCGATGTCAGCGACGATGCAGCGCAAAAGTTCGAAGCTCGGATGAGCAAGGTCCGCAGTCTCGAGATTGCTCAAGCCTACCTCGAAATGGTCCAGCAAATGAACAGGTTGAATGATGAAGCAAGATCGACGCTATCAGTCAAGGCATACAGTCGGATAAGAGCCCTTTGGACACACGTCCAGAATGCCCAAACAGTCGCCGAAGGAGCCGCTCCTCAGCTTGTCTATCTGTTCGAGCAGATGTCAAAGCAGCTATATAACACTTTGAGAGACGCTCTGGAAGCGGACCTTCGGAAGACGCTAGAGCAGATGAAATGGCCTAGCAAGGAGCTGAACTTCTCAGGACACCTGCGCCAGAAATGGGAGGAACAGACTCGACGACTTCTCGAGCTTCAGGATCCAGACTTGATTGAAGCGTTTGCGGACGTCGACATTCGAAGCCGATCTGCCGCTCCCGACCCGGTGGTGCTCCTTCCACTCGAAGTAATGGTCCAACCTCTTGCGGTGAGGTTCCGGTACCACTTCTATGGCGACAAGCCGACCAATCGACTGGACAAACCAGAGTACTTCCTTACGCACGTCCTCGACGTCCTGGAGCGCCACAGCGGGTTCATGAACGACATGCTGGGCCCCATCCTCGACGAAAGAGCAGTCAACTCGGAAGCCCTGGAATCGATCTACACCGATGCCACCTCGGCGTTTATCACTGCCCTGCTGCCCATGATTGAGGCAAAATGCCTGTCGTTCCTACCACAGATTTCCCGGCAACCACAATTACTGTCCCACTTCCTGCACGAGCTCATGGCGTTCGACACCACTCTTCGCGAGACATGGGGCTACATCCCCATCCCCAGAATGGTGGCCGAGTGGAAAGGAGTGACCTGGCGAATGCTCAACACGCACGGCTATTTCGACACGTGGCTACGAGTCGAGAAAGATTTTGCCCTTTCCCGCTACAGAAGCATCAGAGATGCCCCGGATAGCAATGACATCGACTTCGACGCCGAGTCCGGGCAAACGAAGCCCACGAAAGGCGCGATCCGCGTCAACGACCTCCTTGAGACAATCACAGATCGATACCGGAGCCTCTCCTCCTTCAGCCAGAAGATGAAGTTCCTTCTCGAGATCCAACTGTCCATCTTCGATGACTATCACAACCATCTCCACGGCGCGCTACAAGCATACCTGGTGTCATCTCACACGGCGGGCCGACTGCTCCAGGGCCAAAGCGAAGCCGAAGCCTTCGGGCTGAAAGGTCTGGAATCACTGGCCAAGGTCTTCGGGAGCGCCGAATTCCTCGAGCGCAAAATGTCAGACTGGAGCGACGACGTCTTCTTCCTCGAACTCTGGGACGAGCTGCAATACCGCGCCAAAGCAAATAGTGGTGGCAATGGCGCCGGCTCGGTGGGCACAGGACTGAGAGTCGAAGACGTCGCGGAAAAGACTTCGGCCACCATCAAGGCGAACGGCACAGGCGACGACGACGATGACGCGGATCTCGAGGGAAGCGGTGGAAGCGGATTGTTCGACCAGACGGCGTCGGCATACCGCCGCCTCCGAGAGCGCAGTGAAGAAGAAATGCTCCGCTTCTTCGACGTCAACCTGAAAGCCGCGCTGCGGCCGTACGCCAAATTCGCGCAGTGGTCGTCACTTGCCGAAATACCTTCGGATCTGTCGGCCTTGCCGCCCTCGTCCAGCCTGGATAGCTTTCTCAACACCACAGCCACCCTCCTCGGCTATCTGGCCCGTGTGTTGGCTCCCGCTTCGCAACGCCGCATCATCAAGCATTACTGCTTGGCGCTGCAGCGCGAAATCTACGACAACGTCCTCATGCACCACACGTTCTCGGCGGCTGGGGCGGCTCAACTTGCCAGAGATCTCGCGGAGATCAAGGCCAGCATCGACAAGCAGAGTAACTTGCGGGCAGCCACGGGTGGGAATCTCAAACGGCTTGAAGAGGCCGTCTACCTACTCTCGCTGAACGCGTCCAAGAGCGGAGGCAACGTTGAGGAAGATGGTTGGGGCTTCGACGACGAGGAAGATAAAGAAGGCACGGGAGCCACAGGCGGTGATGACGACCCAAAAGGTTTAGGGTTATGGGAGGCTGAGCGGTTGATTTTCGAAAGCAATGAAGCGGCACGGCAGGCGTTGGGGGATTTGGGGCTGGTCCATCTCAGCGAAGGAGAGGCGCGGAACGTGTTGAAGCGGAGGGTCGAGTTGAATGGGTTGTAAGCTTACAGGAGGAAGTACATTTCACTATCATCGTCCCTGAGACATTAAGAAGAAGAAAAATTATCGTAGCGTCATCAAGCGCCTGGACACTTGTTCATTACGCCTCTTCGACCGACCCGCGCTCACGCGAAAGCTCCGCCCTCAGAAGACCAGCGGTCAAAGCCAAGTCCTGCCGGCTGTGCCCTCCCCATATAAGATCCACCATGTTCACCCCGTCGTCGATGCTCGCCACTGCGTTCACAACAACCTTGCCGGACTCGATATCGCGCGACAGAATCTCACTCACGTCGCCGCATTCGCCGCGGTACTGGAAGGAGCCAGCCTCGGCGAATCGAAAGCCAAGCCGCTTGTAGAAGTGCGAGGAAAGCAGACACAGCGCCATGGATCCCGTGAACCGGGCGTTCAAGTCGACAACCCACTGACCGTTCTGTTCGTCGATGAGGACGTCAACGCCGCACCAACCAACGAAGCACTCGGGCAGGCGTTGCGTCGTGTCCCGAATCGTGTCGCGTAGGAGGTCGCGCATCTCCTCCTGCGCGCCGTAGTCGATGCTGCTGCCCATCCAGTGCCCGTCGTTGGTGAGGCTCTGCATCGCGACTCCCATGATGAGCGGGTTGTTTCTGTTGTGCGCGTCCGAAGGGGCGCCGATGATGAAGTGCGTGCTCAGGTCGCTTTGCTTGGCGCCGATGTACTCGGACAGCAGGACGTGGGTGCCGCCGCGGGATTGGTACTCGGCCATGGCTGCGAGCATGGTTTGGCGGCGCGCCTCGCTGGTAACCAGGTGAGTGCCGAAGCCACAGCCCGCGAGGAATAGCTTGACCACAAAGGGGGGCTTGCGAGTGCCGAGGACGGAGTCGGACACGTTCGGGGCAAGTTCGACTGGTTCTGAGGCCGGCGTGCGGATTCCCGAGTTCACGAGGAAGAGTTTCGAGTTGATTTCGTACGCCACGCGGGGAGGCACGAGGCACTCATGCTCCAGCATCCAGCCTTGAGGACGCCAGTAGATCAACTTTCGGCCCTGGCTTAACTGCTGGAGCTGTTGGTCGACGTCCCCTTCTTCGAGGTTGATATACCGCGCTCGCGGCCGCTGCTCGGGAACCAACTGATTGAATACGCGGTCGACGTTTTCTTTCGCCGCGCACGGGCTGAGGAATATGACGTCCATGTCTCCGAGAATGAGGGCTCGTCTTAGTGGCTTAAGCCCTAGAATGATCTTCCTGATGCGGTTCCTTTCCTGTTCGTCAGCGCTGTATGGGATGGGTTCCTCGTCTTCCGGGAAAACTGTCTCTCGAGGCCAGAAGGGATGGAGATCAAGGTGGGCGAACGAGCAGTGAGTAGACGTGATGAAGGGCCCTGTGAGGCCGTGGGTACGGTACAGGTCTGCCACTGTGGCGTCGAGTTCGATCAGGGGTGCCATAGCGTTGACTTAGGGCTTTTCTCGAGGTATCTCTATCGGATGTTGAGACCTGCTGCTCAGAATTACCTGTCGACTGCGCCAGATATAAAGCCATTGCCGATTCTAGCAGGCAGAAGGCCCCGCACGAAGATGTTGTACAATATCTTGATGTGACTGCGAGCTGGATACCACAGCAAGGCTTCCTGACTTACGAATCGGAGAAGCCTTGCAATCGCAACCGCGAATCATTGCGTTTCGCGGTGAACTTGCGCTGTATTTCTCAAGTCCGACCAGGACTTTCAACGGCTAGGGATCAAAGCCGGTGCCGTCGCAGGCAATAGACTGAGTTAGAGTCGTGATACATTGCCGCATATCACGAACTTACTTGGCTGCATATGCGAGGCGACAGATGGGAACAAGAAGCCCTAGGAGCATAAGTTCCGTTCTCGATCTTGGCGTGACTAGAGAGCAGCAGCACGCTCTAACGTGGAGACGAAGGACGTAACAGGAGGTCGTGTAAGCAGAGAATCAGCAGGCGCAATATCAAGCGCCATCAACCTGCTTCCGATGCCAATTGCATGATACCCTTGGAAAGACTGCTGGGTGCCAGGGAAATGTCCCAGAAGCGGGCGTCAGTTGGTCCAGTTCAGACGAGTCTGTGGTGGTTGCTACACCACCCAAGCTCTTCGTCCCAGCGTAAGTAGGTCAGACACCACAGCACGACGCTTGGAAATGGCTGCCCGAACTGAGTCGAGGCTGCCTCATCCTTCCCTGGTAGGCTCGTGAAGCGCCTCTCTGCGGTGCGGTCAACTCGGTCTCTTTGATATTGGACGTCAGTGGAACGCCTCCTCCCGCAACAAACACACTATCTGGTAGTCGTCGGTCTCACCGCAGGCTCAGGTGTGACCGTGCTGTGGCATGGAACTGCTCGACAAGGCTGCATTACGGTCAACAGCATCGCTGTCAGAGCTGGTTGTTACCTGTCAGCAAGCACGTGGGGAGGCGAACGTTGAGGACGCGGTCAGTGCAACCCCTTGCTGTCACGCTGTGCCAGTGCTCTGGTGATCACTCATGTCTTGGCTGGTAGTGTATTACAGATGTAGTCGGCGTTGCGCGGGCTTGACAGCGCCATACAGCAGAAAGAGTGAGCCTCAGTTGACAACACTTGGCACGAGTCTGGGGGAAGAGAAAGCGGAAGCGGGAAATTGAAGCGGAATTGAGGCTGAGATGAGCCTCGGCGAATTCCTTCCCTTTCACATGTTTGTCACTGCTGAATGACTTCATGTTTCGGTTTCCGTGTTTCGCTGTTCCTTCCACATGCCATGTGATCACTTTCGACTGCGACTCGCGACTTAAATAGGTACCTGCCACTCTTACAACAGGGAGACCGGCTTGGTATCGGTGCACTACGCTCTACGCTCTACACTCTACAACCTACATAGCTGGCTCTTACCACTGTGCAGTTTCCGGACCGTTCCTTCTCACAAGCCCGCAGTTACACACAATGTCTCTCAAGAACGGTACTGTACACCCTACTCATCCTGGCAAGAAGCACCGCTGATGTTTGCTGCTCAGACGCCTTCCCTTCATCAGTGGCATTTGATGCCATCAACGATGCTCTCTCTTCCAATGAAGCCGAGCGTAAACAAGCTGTCAAGCAGGGAGGGGCCGTCTTCACCTTCAAATTGACCAACGCTGAGGGGAAGGAGGAGGCATGGCATATCGATCTCAAGGAGACAGGGAAGGTGGGCAAGGGCGAGGCCCCCGAGGGCAAGAAGGCCGACGGTACACAATCCGACGCGAAGTTATGTGAAAGACTCCGAGACTGACATACGCCAGTGACACTCATTCTGTCCGACGAGAACTTTGCCAAATTGATTAGCGGCAAGCAAAAAGCGCAGACGCTATTTATGAGTGGGAAACTAAAGGTCAGAGGCAACGTCATGAAAGGTAACCTCCCCGTCCCTATACGTGTAAACCGCACGCTGACGCGATCAAAAGCAACGAAGATGGAGCCGATCTTAGCGAAGGCAGGTGGTGCCGCCAAAGCAAAACTATAGATATATCGATCAAGACAGCTATGGTATGATACACTGGACATACATATCACCGGGTAAAAATTGACATCCACCTCTTTGCCGCATGCCGACTTCAACAACCCTGGCTTCGACTAAGCCTGGCGCTGACCTCTAATGCACCTTTCGGTTCTTGTCCCGCATGCTCGCCTTCGAGGTCTGTTTGGCCGGCGGACGTGAGGTGTTGGGCTTCGAGCCGCCTGTACCCTTGTTCTTGCCTTTCACAGACTCCGTATTGTCTTTCTGTTTCTTGTTGGGTGGCTTCTCTTCTGCATCCGCCTTCGTCTCTGTACCGCGAACACGTTTCTGACCTGCCTTTTTGGGCGGGGAATCTTGCTTGCCGTTGGGCTGCTCTTCCGCAGCTGCTTTTCGTGATTTACTCCGTGTCTGTTTGCCGGTTCCCTCGTTCTTCTCCTGCTCTTTCTTCTTCTCGAATGCTTCATCCTCGTCGTCGTTCGCTTTCTTCCTGGCAGACCTTGCACGAGAGGTGTTCGGCACATACTGCTTGCCAGCCTTACTGCCTTGTTGTTTCACCTCCTCGGTTTCGTCCTTCTCTTTCTCGCTCATTTCTTCCCAGGCTTTCTTGGGCAGATATCGCTTCCGGGTGCCATCGTCCTGCTTAGCATCCCCACTACCGTCTTTGGTCTGCCACTCCTCTTCCGTCCACTTGCTCAGATGCTTCTGCGACTCGTCCTGGTCCTTTTTGTCGGTCTTGTAGCCACCTCCTCTGCTCTTGTACTCCTTGGCCATGAATTGAGCCTGAGAAGATTGTCAGCTTGAAATCACAGAAGTCATGTCGACTTGGGCCAAACCTTGCGAGCAGACCATTGCCCAGGCGCCCCGCCCTTGTCAGATTGCTGCACTTCTTCCTTCACCTCATCCCGCAACTTGGGATCCGTGTATTTGTCCTTCGACGAGGGCATTGCGAGTTGCGTGTTAAGAGGCGCGCGCGAGAATGCTTTGCGTAAACAGGGCAACCGCGACGCAACGGGAAGCCGTGGAGGATGGAAGCACTCACACTTTCTGATATCAATGAGCGGCCGCTTGAGCCGTAGGTACATACCAGATCAAGACCTTGCAAGGTACACGAGTCGCGCCTGCAGCTTGATGAGATCGAGCTTCACGTCTGCCGGCCAACCTTGACACCTCACCTACGTCAAGTCATTCGTCATCGGTACCGCCCCTTGCCAAAAGCTTGAACTCGCTTTCGCACATATTCTTGGGCTGCCAAAGGCATCGCACATGATCTCATGACTTTCCGAATTGTTCTTCGCCGCCGAGGTTTCCAAGGCTGAAATCATTCTCATCTTCAAGCAAGTTGCATGCCTCGCGTAATTATTAGCCACTAAACTACCGAATCCCCACCCTAAACTTAGTCCGCCGCATCTGATGCTTGACCATTTCACATATTCCTCACACTTCCCTTGCCCGTTTGAGAGAATGATGCATTGTCTGTACGGCCGAAGCGCTCCTTAACATCTAGCTATAAGAAACGGAATCCCTTCTGAGGACTGTAGCACGCTTAGTCTGAGTGCAATGCGGCTTTGCTCTGGGTACCTTCGCAAGTGAGACTTCGCAGCGACCAAATCAACATTAATCCACGAGGAAACCAGCTCCCAGTTCGCAGTATACAAATACTACGGAGACGTGTATGCCCAGCAAATTCCCCTACCCAGCCCGTCCTCTGGAAGCGGCACATGAGATGGGGAGGCCTGGGACGCCTGGTGAGAAGGGTCGCCGTTAACTTTGCCGGTTCATGCCCCGCTCTTTTTGTAAGGAATATGGAACTCGAGTTTCTCTCTGGCACGAGCTGAAAAGATGTGAAAACGACAATCAGAAGATGGAGCTCGTCGGTGGTGTGACACCGAGCCTGCTCTGCTGAATGCTATCCAGAACGAGCAGGTGCACCAAAGGACTAATCTTATGTGGATCGCGAGAGGACCACCAAGCTCCCCGGGAGACTGCCAAAAATCAGGCGTGTGCTGGCGACAACCTCACACTCTCTGTATCACTTTGTGCTCTACAAAATCCATTTTGGTAAAGTTGCCCTTGCCACATCCTTGGCTTTCACGTTGCGCCTGCCAGCAGACATGCCTTTTCGGTAACCGCACTATCATTAAGCCACGTTCTGGGTAGATAGCCTTGCCGCTGTTAGCGAATAGGCCTTGATCCAAAATGCCGTTTGCACCTTACCAAAGGATGCAGAACTCTACCTCCGGGATCGCGGACGGTAAAGCGCCGAGAACAGTCGACTTCTCTTTAGGGCTAGAGCTGCAGGCATTCAGCAAGGAACTGCCAAAAGTGGCCTATGTACTGTGGTATGGGACTTGGTCTGCCCCCGGAATCGGATCGTCCCACCAAAAGCGCCGGTCCCTGGGACATGAGCAAACACTGAATCGGGCATGGTAAGCTTGATCGGATGACAGGGTTCCACCATTCACGCTCCAGATCTACCAAGGCAATTGTCGGTCCGAAGATCTGGGCCAGTACGGAGTAACGCGACCACAACTCGCTGGCCCCTTTGCTATACTCCTCCCGACAATCCTTTATCGATGGCTATGAGCCTTCAGACAGCAGCACGGGAAGAAACCCACATCTTATGGTGATGAGCGCCACATGGCCTCGAAATGGCAAAATTCGTCGGTGTAGCATCGCGAGTCTGTGCAGCTCATGGCCATGAGAAGCGCACAGCCCATACACAGGGCTCACGGCGACTGGCATGGGGTCTTTGCGATGCACACACCTCCAGAGGGATGAGAGTACCGTTTTCAGCTACAGCGACATGCTGGTCCTGCTATATAACCGTTGCGGGAAATGTATTTGTTGTGATGGTGACCTAACCACACACCGAAACAAGCAACCACGTTTCCAGTATCCACCTCCTTGGATCTCCCTCCTGGCAACGATAACGACCTTTGCCGTCGACACATATGGACAAGAAAAGACCCAACTGGGGATCTGTGCGATCCAAGCTGGCGCAGGAAGGTTACATGTACAGGATGAAGCTCGGGAATCCTCCTACAGGCAGCGACAACCATTCCTCGCAGCGACGACCTTCGTCCTCAAGCCCATCGAGCAAGGCACAGCTTGGCCAGCCAGAACATGACACTGCTCCCACACATGTTCGGAGCAGCGTGTTGAACTCGGACAGAGCAGCGGTGGAGCTTCGTACAATCTCTGGACTACTTGCCCATCTCAACCTCGGCCGGGCTTTCAGGAGCGATCATAACCTCGATCCAAATGCCGCGATTGAGTTTTGTATGTCTTTCTTCTCTCCGATATAACTCCTGCTAACAATATTGCTCTAGTGTATCGCTGCTATGCGCCATTTGTCATACATCGGCGTGACAAAAGTATTAGTTTTGAGCCCAAGAACTTTCTTGACCCTGTCATGCTCGAAGACACCATGTTGGCGCAAGCTTTAGTCGTGTGGACCTCTGAAATGCGAGATCGGTTTAGTCTAGAGCCAGGAAGTGCGGGCGAGCTGTTGTTGACGCACCGCAGTACTGTGCTTCGCGAGCTCCGAAAGAGAATATCTTCATCAGACGTGTGCACTTCCGACCCTGTGATGTGGACTATCCTCATGCTGGCTGCAACTGAGGTAAGATCCTTCTTCATTTGAGATAACTCCAGCTAACCAGGAGTCTAGCTTATGCAGGATAACATGGACGCCATGGAAACGCACCTGGGCGCTCTGCGGCACATTATCCGTCTCAGAGGCGGTGTAAATCAATCGGGATCGAGCGACTGGGTCACGCTCCTTCTTCTACAGTAAGCTCTGCTGAAGTCGTCTCCTAGACCGGTCACTGATAAATGATAGATTTGAAAGCTTCTTGGACTACCGGCAGTTTGACCATGTTAGGAGTGCAGACTTCGGCCACGCATTGTCAGTGGCTGAACAGGTGCATTGCACCTTCTCACCAGAGCTCAAGGCTCGGCTGGCCAAATTACCTCCAGGGTTCGTGGAAGTATTCGCTGTCTGTCCGATGAACCTGCAGATCTTAGACCTGGTGGAAAGAATACACCAATGGATGCAGCAGCTTGCCGACACTACTCATGTAGGTCAAGGACGAGAGGCTATCGAAAGCATTGCGGATGCCATGTCCTTTGATTCATTTCGAGCTTTCGACCTGCTGCAACAGGACAAGCTTGGTTCGACAGAACGCTTACTGGTTCTTGGGTTGTGTGCGTTTTGCATTTATATGAACGGCCGAATCATCTACTCCGTCATGGAGTGGGGGCTCCGGCTCCATTGCATGGCGCAAGTCACGAAGCAGATGGGTCCCTTCGAGGAGGACGCCCGCCGGAGCATGATCTGGGTCGCAGCAATCCTAATGGCAACAGGTGGAAATGGCTCTCCGTCATGGCAATTGGGGGGACGAATCATTCGTGCATGTCGTGGTGCGCATTCGCTTCTGCAGACCACCGCCCAAAGGAACCAGACATGTTATTTTTGGCACACGAATCTGACCGAGAAATTGATGGCTGCCGCTCTGCCCGAATGAACAGCGATACCTTCGGAGGTGCAGTACGATTTGGGCAGGTGCTTGCCATCCGCCCATTCAATGTCAACGCGCGACCTAGTCCTTTGGAATTCCCGAAGAAGAACTGTTCTCTGACGTCGACGAGGCGTATCGGCCTTATTCTTCTATTCACTATAGCGACGTTACTGGATGAGCTAGACTGAGGTCGGCTCGGAACCGTATCGCACATTCACCGTATGGCAAATGAGCCAACGTTCTGCCGTCGCATTTCCGTACCGTCATCGGCTACAGAGGCACAGAAGCCACGAGAAGGTGAGGAGATGAAAGTATGGCCTTGACGTTCCGGGATATCACCACCATGTTACCGCCGATTGGGTCAAGGGCACGCGCTCTTCCAGCGAGGCCTAAATATATTCCGGAGACTAGCTTTGTGCCGGAAGAATGCCGTGAGCTCAACGCAGTTCGAAGAGAATCACTGGTAGTCTTACCACAGCCATGGCTCGCTGAGAAGACCTTGTGACAATTGCAGACGTGCCGCTGCCACCGTAGGCTTCTACCCAGCATATCGCTGGAACGACAGACCGTGTAAGCATTCCTGTGGCGGCAGCCTGGTAGGTGCCTGGTGGTGTTGCCCAGCCAGGCCGGAAACATTCTGCGGCAAGGCTGAGGCAGCGGCGTAAATCAGGGTCGCGGCCCACGTGTCTAGGCGTTTTCCGGAGTGTTTAGGGCCCTGTGGAGCGCAGAGCAGCCTGAGCAGTCCCCCCTGCCTGGGTACGACGTACGAATGAATACACAGCAGGGGGTGTCTCCCCGCGCTGCAAATCAACCCGTCGCCTCCACCCTAGCCTCCCTACGGAGTATCCTCGCGGAGAACCACCCGTCTACTACAAGACATCTGTATGGAGTACTCCGTACTCCGTATACAAGAATCTATTTTCGACCCTGCTCTCTCTCAAACCGCTCGCATTGACCAATCTCCTTCCTACCTCATACTTGGTGGTTACGCGGCACTGGACCGAGAAGGATTCCAAGAGCTGGAGGGTAGTCTCGAAGGGATGCAGGCCCTAGGGGTCAGACCTTCACGTTTCCAATGTGTTTCGTCATTGTTTGCAGCCAGGGGGACAAGCTCTTGGCCAGTCCAATCCACCACATCGCGGCTAGCTTCTCTCATCACCAACTTCGGGGAGTGGACGCGGACACGCTCTGTTTGATCCTTCGACCTTTCTTTCACCGTCGTCCCCTGAAATGACAACCTTACCCGAGTCAACTTCAAACGTGTGGAGTTTCGAGTGCCAGCATGGCGGTAATTCGCGATATTGTCGGCGGAGGAACATGGCCGACACGCAGACACGCTCGTTCTTCCGGCATGGATCGAGCCGTGTTGCTCCCACACTCCTTGTGTGGCAGTGCTTTACGAGCTCGTGTTGTGCCTGCGAGACTCCTGCCCCTGACTGGACATCAAGTCGGTTATAAAGAGCTGACAATGCGCCCCATCAGGCAAGGGACATTCCTCAGCTCCAGCACACTTCCACGATAATATATACCTGAATCCCTCCCGCATCTCTTCCACGGGCCAAGAACTCGATCCCGGTGATTGAACAACCGTAGCTTCTTCCATAATCTACACCCTACACGACAACACATCCACCAAAATGCATTCCTTCCTGTCCTCAACAACCCTTGTGTTCGGTGTGCTGGCCACATCCGCCCTCGCTTCCCCTCAATATGGCGACAGCAGCGCATCAATGACAATGTCTGCGTCTTCCTCCTCCTCAACCGCAGGCATCCACGCGGTGAAGGTGGGCCCAGGCCTAACATTCACTCCCGACACTGTGACCGCCGCTGAAGGCGACTGGGTTGAATTCACGTTCGGCTCAGGTCACTCTGTCGCCCAGTCGTCATTTGATGCTCCCTGCGTGCCCATGGATGGCGGCGCTGGCGTTTACTCTGGGTTCCCCAACAATGGCGATATTTGGCGGATCCAGGTCAACAACACAGATCCACTGTGGCTGTACTGCTCAGCAACCGGGCACTGTGAGGGAGGCATGGTCATGGTGGTGAACCCTCCGTAAGTTATCCTTCCAGCCTCTGCGAAAATATCATTGTCACTAATGATACGAAACAGATCCAGTGGCAATACCCTCGACGCATACAAATCAGCCGCAGCCAATGCTCAGGCATCGTCACCAGAGACTATTCAGGGCGGCGTCTTCGGCGCTGCCGCAGATGATTCGGGCAGCTCAAGCAGCAGCGCTTCTGGCTCAAGCACTGCTAGCGCCACGGGAGCTGGTGCCAGTGCATCGTCGCCAGGAAATGCCGGGACCTCGAATACCATCTCGAATGGTCTGATGATCATGGGTGCTGTTGCCGCTGGTGCTGCCGCTATTTTGTAGACGGTCCCCTAGTGAGGCGGGAAACCACGAGGCACGCAATAGACATTTATTTGAGGACGACGGTAACGAACTTGAGCAATTGTGGAATAAGTCACTTCGTACGCAGTATTCCTCGGTGCACTCCCCTCCTTGGAGGCGCTTACCATGTCTTTCCACCGACAGGGCCAGGATTCGCTCGGCCATTGCTTTTTCATGGCCATGCCATGTCCTCGAAGCTTACTGTGAACCTCGCATCAATGCGCCACATCCGATCTGATCGTCTCTTGATCTGTCATCGGCTCAGCAAGATTTTGACCGAGACCGTGCTCGGATAGGGCAACCCGCCAAGGATGGGAGCGAATTCAGCTCTATTTTCCTCCTTGTCTCTCATTCGCGCCTGACCGTGTCATTGTATTCGTGTAAGGAGCCGTGGATACCTGCTGGACCTCGGATAGCCCTACCCCGCCTCCACTGTGCAGACAGTCCAGCCTGTTTCCCCCTTGGGAATCCATTCGAATAGGCGGAAGTAACGGCCGGGGCAGAACACGGCGTGCCACGGCCTCCAACGGCTGAAGCTACTAAAACTTCGCGTAGCTCTCCACCTGCTTCCTGATTGGGATCGATTTTCAGACCAGGGAACGTCCTGTCAACCAAAGGGAACCCGGTAAACGATGAGGTCGAAGTGCCTTCAACATGGGCCGGTGGGAACCGTATATAGGGCGGCTTCGTACCAAAGTCTCAGCTCGAAGCACGAGGAGGGATTACATCTGTGTCTACGCCTGACCGCTTCCATACGATGCCTTTGATCAATGAGAGACCATATACCGCGGACGACATCCCAGACTATCCGCAATGTACGCCACAGTCGTTGAAGATCATCCATGTCGGGGCCGGTGCGTCAGGGATCCTGTTTGCGCACAAGGCGGAGAAGCAACTCAAGAACTACGAGTTGATCTGCTACGAGAAGAATGATGCGGTCGGTGGGACGTGGTACGAGAACAGGTCAGATGGGCGAACCACCCGTGGCGAGTCGTGGCAATTTAACCAGGAAACAGATACCCCGGCTGCGCTTGCGACATTCCCGCCCACACGTACACTTTCCCGTTTGAGCCGAACCCAGAATGGAGCGGCTATTACAGCTACAGCGACGAGATTCAGTCGTATATGCTCAATTTCGCAAAGAAGTACGGCGTGGAGAAGTACATTCAGCTGAGCACGGAGGTCGTGGCCGCCACGTGGGACGAGACGCAGTCGAAATGGACGGTCGACCTGAAGCGCAAAGACGGTGGCGCCTTCACGGACACGTGCGATGTCCTTGTCAATGGCACCGGCGTTGTCAACAAGTGGAAGTGGCCGGCCATCGACGGCCTGCACGACTTCCAAGGTACGCTGGCCCATTCCGCCAACTGGGATCCGAGCATCGACTGGAAGGGAAAGACGGTCGCCGTGATCGGTACGGGCTCCAGTTCTGTCCAGATGGTACCGAAGTTGCAGGAGACGGCCGCACACGTCACGGTCTTCATACGCAACGAGACGTACATTGCCACGCCGCTCGGCTCGGTGTCGAACAAGGAGGCCGACCCTGAAGCCCTCGAACCCCAAGCCGCAGGCATTCACACGTACACGGAGAAGGAGAAGCAGAAGTTCCGCACCGACCCGGAGTACCTCCTCAACTACCGGCGTGAGGTCGAGCGCTCGATCGTCAGCATCTTCCGCATGTTCCTGCGCGGGACCGAAACGAGCGCGATGGCCAAGAAGTGGCTCCAGGACGATATGGAGAAGAAGCTGGGCGACCGTGATGATCTCAAGAAGCGCTTCATCCCCAGCTGGAGCCCCGGATGTCGAAGGCTGACTCCTGGCTCCGGGTACCTCGAGGCCCTGATCAAAGACAACGTGACCTGCGTGTTTGACGACATTGTCAAAGTCACCCGCCACGGCATCGTCACCGCCGACGGCTCCGAGTACAAATGCGACATTCTCGCCTGTGCGACGGGCTTCCACGTCGCGTTTCTGCCGCACTTCCGCATCACGGGCCTCGGCGGCCAAGTCATGCAGGACCAGCAATCGCCCAACGTGTACGCCTCGGTTGCCGCCCCGGGGTTTCCAAACTATTTCGTCGTCAACGGCCCTCGGGGCAACTGGGGCCAGGGCTGCATTCTGCCCAGCCATGAAGTCCACGTCGGCTATATCCTGCAGTGTTGCCAGAAGATGCAGGAGGATGGCGTCCGGTGGATGATGCCCAAGCAGGACGTCACCACACAGATGAACTTGTATATGGACGCGTGGCATACGAAGCGCAGCGTCTGGGCCGAGGATTGTAAGAGCTGGTATAAAGTGAGTGACACGGTTGCCCCCTGTTCTACTTGCCTCTGGACCCCCATCTCGAAATAGCGTATACGTCTTGTTTCAAGCCTTTGACGCCTTACTGACGCCCTTCCCAGGACAACAAACCAAATGGCCGCGTGTACATCTGGCCCGGCAGCATGATGCACCACATGAAATACATGAAACGGCCGCGCTTCGAGCACTACGAGATGCAATACCGCGATCCGACCAACATCTTTGCCTTTCTGGGCAATGGGCTCACCATCACCGAGGAGAAGTTCGGCCCCAAGGACTTGCCCGTGCCGTATATCCGCAATGACGAGGACGAGGAGTGGGATATCGAGTAGTCGAGTGATTTGGCGTGGCGCCGCGAAGGGTAGAAGGTAATACGCGGCTGTGCAGTACGGGACTGCCGACGTCGATTTATCACCATAAACCGGTAGTGTCTTTCCTAGTATTAGACAATATCCGAGGTCGTCAGCAGGCCATGAAACCTCTAATCCATATGTCTGGCAAGACGAAGCCATGAGCAAAGCGCTTGACTAGACACCCTGCGTATCGTAATTCCGCGTGCCAGTTCCTACATCGCGTCGCAGCTGTAGCTCCCTCCTGGAGGCTCCCATATCGAGCTGTACAGTAAGCTGCCCACTCCGAAGCCCCTTAAGGTCCTTGCACGGACTCCTCGCGAACTACTCTGGTTCCTGACGACGCAGCGCCAGGCTGACCGTATACAACGCCAAGCCGGAGCGGATCAACATGTCCACGCAATATATTTCCCCACGTTTCTCAATGTCGAAGATTCAATGCTGAAGGTCCAGGGTTACAGACTGCCACATATAATTCTCCCGTCATAACATACCGGTAGACCACTCCGAAGCAGAAGATACCTACCCAGGACCCTACCTCCTCTACGTCACAGCAGACTACCCGCAATGTCGCACGCCCGCGTCGAAGAACTCTCAGACTCGGATCCCGACATCGACGACCCCTCCAACTTCCTCCCACAAGACGACAACCAAATCATCCGGCCCACAACCGTAGCACAGACCTCCTCAATACCTCAACAACAACCAAACCCAACGCTCTTTCGCCCCCCGCCTAACGCAGCCGATTCAGACTCTTACCCTCAATTTCGCAGACAACCTCCTGCCGAAGTCAAGCACTACCAATGCATCTACCCGATCTACTTCGACTCGACGCGGTCGAAATCCCAAGGCCGGCGCGTGTCGAAACATCTGGCAATCCCGAACCCTCTGGCGTGGCAGGTACTGTGCGCCATCCGCTTCAGCCTGGGCGAGAATGCGTTCCGCGTGGTCTTTGAGCCGGACAAGACACATCCCAAGGACTGGGCGAACCCCGGGCGGGTGAAGATCCAGCTAAAAGATTTCGATGCCGCCAACAAGCCTGTGAGCCGCCGCGTGCAGAGTAAAGCACATTTATACAGCATCATCGGAAAATGGCTGGTCGAACATCCCACGACGAAAGAGACACCGTTGGAGTTGAAATTGCCGGGCCTGCCTATACCGGAGAAGTTTCTGGAGAGCGAGGTCGTCGTGCCGAGGAGGTGGAAGATGAGTACGATCTTGCCGGTGCATAGCAACGCGGTGAGCGGCGGTGGGGTCAAGGATAATTTCTTCCAGGAAGCTATGGAGGAGTTGAAGGCCGCGCAGGCAAAGGGGCATTTAGCCGGTGCATCGCCAGGGGATGGGCCCGGTGGTGGTGGAGGGATGCCAGATATGGCTGCCCTGCAGAGCATGATGAGCGGGATGGGAGGTATGGGCGGACTGGGTGGACTGGGAGGGTTGATGGGTGGTGGAGGTGGTGCAGAGTCAAGTGGCGGGAAGAAGAAAAAGGACAAGAAGAAGGGTTGACAGAACCAACCGGCTTGCAGCTGCTACACGTGCTGTGGTGTTGGAATGAAAGGGACGATGCGAGTTGACGTGCACAGGGGGGATCCCGGTGCCGTTGTACGACGAACACAGCGGCGTGTGGAAAGGAAGTGCTGCTGGACTTTCAAACCACCCTTCAGACAAGATCAGATCATGTTTTGAGGGCTGTGCTTTCTATTCACCAAGCAGCATTGAGCCCAGCGAATCGGCTATCCAATTCGCCTCGTCAACGGAGCTGGCCCTACTCGACTGATGCCTTCCTGCGCGGGACTAGCTAATGGCACGGCAATCTTCATTCGACGAGGCCCGTATGTGCCCGTCGGTGTCTGTCACTTGCCAGCGACTCACCCACGTACTCCCTTATCCATCCGCTTGGAGAACCACAGACCGCAGGTTATACACCACATAGACTGCGCACGTCCCGTATTTTCCCCGACCACATCGAAAGGATCAGCGAGGGCTGAGTTCCTACGAAGCCTGGTGTTCGACTCCAGCTGGGGCACAGAAGTCGGCACAAACTTCGACCTGTAAGGCAGGTTGAAGAACGGAGCATGATCATCTTGGTCAATAGTCAGTAATCGTCCGAATACGACGCATCACTCACGAAGCGCGACCGAGCATGCGCTGGCTTCACTTCGCTTCGCTTCATATTCGCATCCATACGTACCCGTGGTTGCCAATGGCTCAGGCTCAGGCTCAGGCCCAGACTTGAGTTCATCCGATGATCGGTACGCCCATGGCCAGACGTGTCGAGGGCCATGTAGGAACGCAGCTTGCTCAGAAGAGGTACTTGTAAAATACAGATACAGGGAGGTACATACAGCTCCTGAGCACATGCGCCGTAGAAGAAGAAACTTCATTCGAGGACTACTGTCCTTGTTACTGTGTTCACCAACATGCAGAGCTCCTCCTGCACCTATTCCTCGTTCTCCTATCGTCGGAGCACTTCATCCATTCACAGCACATAGAACGCACTGCCTGTTGCAGACGTGCGTGCTGCGTATGGTGTAGCTCTGGCCTGTGATGGCAAGCATACTTATGAGTACGTACTCCACAGGCATATTTCTTTGCGATGGCAAACGCCTTTCCTATTTGGCTACTCCGTAAGCGCACCGCCGTGTCCTCGAAGGACACTTGCAGCCAGTCAGCTCTTTTGACCCTCTGTTGGTTCTTTCCAAGCACGGCCCAGCAGCTGAAGTATCTGTCTTGTCCCAACAGCAGGGCATAGCATAGCACAGCTCCACTTGCAGCACACAGCAGACCTGCGCGTGGTCGCCTTAATGGGAAGAAACCTGTCCGAGCTCGTCCCTCAGCCCACACAGCTGATATCGGAGGTGCTTGTCTGCAGCTAGATCAACGCCGGAGGTACCACCATTCGTCTAGGCAGGCGTACCCTCATCAACACACCACCTCACCACACTTTTCTTATGGGCATTCCTGCCTTTTCCCAGGCCTTCTTGGACAATTCGCCTTCGCCTGTTCAGTCAGATGCTCATGCCACTTGCAATCCTCCCTCTCTGCAGGGGAGATGAGAGTATTCTGGGCTTTCTCCCTATTGAGATCATCGACCTTCAGCAACAACTTGTTGACAATGTCGAGGTTGCCATGGTCCGTGATGAAATCGGCCCAGCAACCCTTGAAATTCGCGCTCCCGTACAGTTGATCATAATCTGATTCAGTCTCCGCCCGATCCATTAGATGCCTCCACCCCTCCATGACGACAACACACGCCAAGTATTCCAGGATGATGTCAAAGCACACGGTAAGCGACGGATGGTGGTCCTGCAAGTCGCGCAGCGCGTAGATACTGAATCGCGCGACGTTGGCCTGCATGGTATCTATCACCACGTTCTTGAGCTTCTCTGATCCCACGAGGTCCGCAAAGACCAGGTACTTTTCCATATTGTGGAACAGAAGCGCGTCCTCATGCAGCAGGTCAAGACAGTCATGAAAGAGCAGATTCAACCAGACCGCCACAACGAGGTAGTTGTGTTCCGGGAGGAAAACAACAGCGCGTCCGGGAGCCGAGTCGAGGATGATGTTGAAGTAGGTTGAATTTTCGAGTAGCAGAGACTTGCTGACGTAGAAGACGTTGAGCGGGACCGCTGGTTCGTCGTCGCTAAAGATTTCGTTCTCGCCTGCGACGATCTTGATCACGGGCGACCGGGCGTGTCTGCAGTAGTTACTCCGGGTTAGTTCTGCTTCATTGGTTGGATGGGATAGGTTGGTGACAGTACTTTGCGTTCATCATTCCGGTCGCTATAATGTGCTTAGTACTCTAGGGTCAAAAGCCCAGGGTCCTTTCGAGCTGCACAAGAGGTGACAAGCGAGTAATCATGGGATAGGTTGGAGCGGCGAGGAGGGCAGAAGAGGAGAGGCGATGAGGAGAGGAGAAGAGAAACAAATACAGTAACAGCCTCGATGAGATGAGTGATGAAGGAGAGGGTCTTGATGTTGGCTGTAGCGAAAACCTGCTGTTTCCCTGGAAATGATTTTGAAGTGAAGTTGTTTGAACACATGACAGTGAATGAAGTCCTGTTGATAGACTGATTGCTGAGGTCAATGCAATCACACTAGATTTCTGCGCATCTAAGCTTGTAGTATTGTGGTTTCAATGAGTCCAAATTGAGCTGGTTGGGATTGCAGCAAATCTCTGGCATCGTCGTAGCTTCATGCTAGAATTGGTGTTTTGTTGTGCAATGGTGACCTCTCCGTCATTGACGCTGCTTCGACTCTGGAGCCGTGGAGTCCCGCTGCTTTCCTCAAAGATGTGTCAAGCCTAGCCAAATTCAATTCCATCTCTGATGCGGAGATTGTCTGTCGGTTCCTTTTGCCTATGTACCGATATCATATATGGTTGGGTTAAACTTCAATTCCCGCAGAATCCCTGAAAGATCAGTCTGACTCGTGCATCGAGCGGGCAATTGAGCTCGGACTCGGCAAACTGCTCAGCGTAGCACAAGAGTCCATGCTGCTGCAGACAGATCCCTGTCGATGTCTCTTGCAAGCCTGGTTGCCACCGCGTCGGTGCTGCCCCTTATCCTAAGCGACGGACCGGCCATGTCGATGACATAAGTTATGGATATCGACGATTGAAGCACCTACTTTCGCTGGCAGCGATGCATCGTCCCATAAGGACGCCACGTAGCTGGGTTATAGTCGACTCTCCCCCCTCATCGTTGGTCGTCAGTGTATACCCACTGTAGGAGGTAGAATACAACGCCGAGTCCGTAGACGAGCACTCCCAGCCATATTGTAGCGCTGCAACGGCGAGCTTCAAGGTCCACTTGTATCATGCACAGTTTGGCTCTTTTTATACTCGAGCTCCAGCTGCCGCTGCATATCGAAATCGGCCTGACGTTCGCGCTTGACTCGTTGTTGTTCCATATCTCGAACCACCCCCGCGTGCATTGCCTGTCAAGGATCAAGAACGTCAGCATTCGTGAACAGGACCCGTGCGCATACTCCTTCGAATGTAGGGTGGCGGTAGCACAGAGACTCGAAACAGGAAACGTACAGCTTGTTCGGCGGTCTGAGCCCAATGCACAAAGGCGACAATCCCGCCTGTAGCAAGGATAGTACTCAGGAGGGTGACTTTGGAGGCCGTAGACATTGTGACGGTGAGGACCTGCCAGTCTTGTGTACTGAGCGAATGTGAAGGGCAAGGTAAGCAAGCAGGAAACTAAATGTTTAAGCGGACGAGAATTGGAGACGCAGGTGGCAGCTCCGCAGCTTCAAGAGCTCGGCGCAGCGTGCAGTGCATCATTGAGGAAACAGCCAGCCTAGACTACAGCAGTTCCTCTTTGCCTGGATACATGATATTCCGACTCGAATCTCCTCTCACTGCCTATCCTCTCTGTTGTTTCCTCTCGTCTGGTCTGGTCAAGTGTCTGTTCCCGAGGACGTGAAGAGTCAACATGGTTTGTCCACATGATCGTCCCTTCGCGGCCACCTCATGCTGATATCACCGCAGTCTGCCCAGAATTCTGCAGGCATTCAGACACTGCTCGATGTGAGTGGGAGCTGATTTGTACCCGTGAGCCGAGTCTGACCCTGGCCGCGCTTAGGCAGAGAAAGAGGCCCAGAAGATCGTCCAGAAAGGTGCGTTCAGTTTCACCGTCGACAGGGAACATCTACTGATACTGATGCTTCTAAAGCCAGAGAGTGTATGCACAACCCTGCGGGGTCACCGTAGTGGCTCCCACTGACCGCCTCTGCTAGACCGGACGAAGCGAGTAAAAGACGCCAAATCCGAAGCACAGAAAGCAATCGAGGAGTATCGACGGAAGAAAGAGGAAGAGTTCAAGAAGTTCGAGGCAGAGGTACGGTAGTCAAAGAACCTATGCGCCCAGCGATGCTAACCAAGTCGCACTGCAGCAATCGAGCGGGAACAAGAAAGCCGAAGACGAGGCCAACAAGGATGCGGAAAGCAAAGTCAAGGAGATTGAGGCAGCGGGCAAGAAGTCAGGGAGCAAGGTCGTGGATGACCTGATCAAGACTGTTACCTCGCCGCATCCTGAGGTGCCGGAGAAGATTTCCAAGGAGGACTGAATCGTGAGGAGTGGTGTGGTGTGGCGTTGTGTTGGTTGTTGAAAGATGGCGTGAGCGCCTTGTCGCGAAGTCCGTCCTCCTGTGACAGAATGCAGGCAGATACACCTAGACCGGCGCAAGCACGGGGCTACATCCATCGTAGAGGAACTCATTCTCATGCCAGACGTGCTATGATACAAGCATGGGAACGTATTATCCGTTGTCTTCGAGCACGAAGCCTCTTCGACTGCTGGACACAGCACTTGAATATCTGCTCGCAAGGACTTAAAATCATGCTTCCTAACGGCCCACGCTTATGCCTTCAGGCTTGCAAGCAAGTAACATTATACAGTATGTCCACCGGTTCAAATTGCCGGGTGTACCTGTCCACGTTGCTCAACCTCCGCAGAATCTAAAACCCCTCTTTGGCCAAACCCTCCGCAACAGCTAGATAGAACGCCTGCGCATTGTACTTCTCCTCGATCAGTCCCAACCGTCCAGCCGCGACTTTCAGGCGGTTCGTCCAGTTGATCAAGTCCAAATGAGTGACGCCCATCAAAGTGCCCCTATACTCCCCCCACTTGGCACTCTTGACCGAGACAAGCCCATCATTGGGCCCTTCAACCACATTCATCAGGTCGTGACTCATCCTAAATACGCTGAACAGATGCGGCGTCGCGCTGGCGCCGTAGGAGAAATACTTGACTTCCGGATGATTCGGGACCACGCGGTTGAACTTGTCGCGCATGTAGGACGTCGTGAGCTGAGAAAAGGCGCCATAGTCGATCTCGAACCGGTGCAAGAGACGGTAGATATGCGGTAACAGGTCCGGTCCAATGTCTCTGAAGAGCATATCTGCCGCGGAACTGCCTCGATGGGGCGTCGCTATCGTGGTGAGGGAACGGACGCGAAACAGCGACGGCGAGGGGCACAGCCGGGAGATCATATAGCGCGCATCGAGGCCACCCATGGAATGTGCGATGATGTTGACTTCCCTGCCGTGCCCGTCTTCGTGGGTGGGGAGTTTAGACGCGATCTGATCCATGAGGACCTTAGCACGCTCGGGGATGGATGCTGTCCGCGGGACAGCGGTCGTGATGCACTGGATCCCGTGCGACTGGTAGGCTTCTCTTATGCCGCGCCAGTACGCGATGCCGGGCACCAAGTTGCCCGGTAGGAGGCGAAGTTCGTCGAATCCCAGGAGCCCATGCGCTAGCACGATTGGGAGTTTGGGCACCTCGTACTCAGCGCGGAGGTGGGCATAGTCGGAAACGATCTGGTGGCCAAAGTCGGAAAGAGATGCCTCGTCATTGGGGTTGTATGACGGGCGGTTGAGTTGGCTGTTTTGGTTATCTACCTGACGTTGCGTGACTGATGGGTTGGCTGAAGTAGATGAATGCCGTAGCATGTAGCCTCGTCTGAGGCGAGGCAGGCGTAGTCCAGCATGAACGTGGAGTGCCCTCCATGGCATGCTACTTGTCGTGAAAGGCAGAACGGGGTTCGTATCATCGAGATGGTTGCGGTGCCATGGTCGCAAGTACGAGGTTCTGTTCCAAGAAATCTCCGGAGCTCGACGTTGAGATTCGTGATGTGGTTGCGTCACATCTTCGGAGATTCGTTCCCAACAGCCTTGCTTAGTCACGCATCCATCACTCTACCAGTGCTACAGCCTCATAAGTTGTCAGCCTGCTTGTTGTAAGGGTTTCGCAGCGGGTGTATTTAGCGTCGGACTGGAAGATACATAGGCAGAAGGTTACGTTTTACACTTCAAACTCCGGGGAATGGCAGTACATAAAATTATTGCATATCAGCACACCGCCCAGGGTCCGTTCGAATGAACAGGAAAACGGACCCTAGCCATACATCCTCCCCATCTTGCTAGACCGCGGTGTTATCTGCGGCGTCTCTATGATTCTTTCCGTCTATCCAGCGGCAAATCTTCTTTGTGCGCCAGACTCACCGGACTAGCCTCATGACCATCCAAGCCATTCATAGCTGGTATCTTGGGCGAAGATACGGGGGTCTGATGACGGCTCAAGCGAGCCCTGAGCACGCCGTTGCTCTTTTGTCTTTCTACAATGTCGGTGCCATTCGTGACCTGGGCCGAAGTCTGCATGATCTTCCCGGCTGCATACGCACACCCGCCGTAAGCGAAGCGTATGAGCGAGTCACCCGTCAGGCTTCCGGTGACGAAGACGTGCGCTGCCAGTTCAAGGTTCTCGTTGGCCTTTTCGCGCAGTGTTTGACCTGATATCAGGGGGCTGTCTTTGACGCCTGCCGCGTCAGAAACTCCAGGGATGATTTCCCCGAGCAGATCTGGTGACAGGTAGTCTAACGAGCCGCGCCGCCCTACCACGTAAGCCAGACCACTCACTTGACGCTGAAACGGTTGCTCGGGTTTCCCTGAACGTTGCAAGGTGATGGTCGCGGAGAGCCCGCCGTCTGCGATTTGGACGTCCTTGACCTCCGTGTTAGGCAGTCCCTCATAGGTGGATTGCCAATGACGGCTCGAACCAAACTCGGATGCCCTGCGACTAGGTCTGGACCGCTTGTCCCCTGACTGGGAGGACGAAAGAGCTGCAAGCTTCATACGGCGATACACTCCTGCGTATTCCGGGTAGGCATGCTGATGACACCCGCGTAATGGCGAGGGCGACGTCGACGGTGCCCATTTGTAGATATGAATGATTTTCTGGTCAGATGGACTTGAGATGATCACATCTGCGGCACTGAAACCGGAGCCAATAACAAGAAGAGGCAAGCCAGTCGGTCCACTCTGGCTAGCCTTCAGATTCAGCAGTGGACGAAGTAACGGCCGTGGTGCGATGAGCTCGCTGAAAATCCCGGATGCTAGAACAAGATTCCTGCAATGTATGTTGTGCGAAGAAATGAAGAAGCCATCGCCGTGCCGAGCCACTCCCCCTACTTGCTCTCCGTTGTAGATAGAGTCGGAGATACCCACCTGATCGGGATATGCTGCAAGATAGTCGGCCACGGCACGTCTGGAAGGCCTGAGAAATATCGGCAAAGGTTGACCATGTCGCCTCTGATAGTGCTCATCGAAACCGTACCCTGGGAGGGACAACATACCAGCATAGCTCAATGTCCCGATATCCCAACTGGCTTGAACCGGGTTGTCCACCCACTGGCCTCCAGGCTGTTGGGTTTGTCCGAGAACCGCATGTGCGACCGCTCGTGAAGGCTCATATTGCCATTTGACACATGTTTTCTTTTGCCCATCATCTGTTTCTCCCAAGGGCCTGACCAAGGTATCGAGGAGGACATTCACAGGAAGAGCTTGAGTGGAGTAGGAAAATCTTGAGGCAGAAAAGGGTTCGGTCAGGAAGTCTATGTCGATGTTGAGAAGGTCATGGCTGGATCGAAGCAACCTTTCGTGTAGGACGGAATCGGGATGCGGGCTGGACTGGTCGTAGTAGGGGATGTGGCCATGGAGAATGTATGACAGAATCAACGCAGACGGACCGTTTCCTGAAGCAGCAAGGAAAATATGTCGTTAGTCCGCCCTGTCCTTGAGATTGGTTGGAGGAGCCATGGTGTGCCATGTTACACTTACCAACGATGATGGTGTCGATCTCACGAGGTGCGCCATGATCCATTAGAAACGCCGTCCTCTTGACACTTCTGGCATTGTTGTTGGTATCCAAAGAACTTTTTCTCGAGCATGGTGGACATTCGTCGACTCGGAGAACGAGGGGCATCTCCGGGTTTAACCCCAAGGGTCGAACCGTCAAGGCCGATCCATGACTGGTTGACTGCTCCCGGGGGCCGCGTCCTCCGTCCAATTAGGCCATGGGATGCTTAAACGAGGGGCTCGGGGTGCTGCGCGCGGGCGTTCATGCTGACTAAACAAGCAGCCGAGGCAGCCACGGCGGGGCTAGAGACCCCCCTCCATTGCTTGCGACAACCCACGACTCGAAAATCCAGCCTTGCTGACCACCCAGCACCACAATGAGGATTTGGAAGGTGCAATGGCTTTTGAGGCTCTCCTGCCATCCAGTCATGGCGACAGATGGACTGTATTGCCCCATCATATTCGTCTTCGGCACTGTCATTTCCCTCCGTCTGTCATACTGCGAGCCTGCCCACTTGTAGCCTCGTCAAAAATGCCTGGTCCTTGAGTGCGTGATGCTGCCAGAGCGGCAGGTCCAGCTCATGTCTTCCAAGATGGGGTCCTCTTCTCGAAGAAGGCATTGATACCCTCGTTTGCGTCTGCAGATCTCGCGTGCAATGCCATTAGCCTGCCGGTCCAGGACACTGCATCCTCGTAGCCATCACCACCCTGTGCAGAAGTAGCGCCATTCAGCCCCAGTTGCGTCCAATAACCCCATTTGCCTAAAGCCTGTGGCTGTCCGGCAATGGTCTGTGAAAGTTGGCTGACCGTGCTGGCTACCCGTCTCTCCAGAGCTTCCTCATCTGCTACTACTTCAACTGCTCCTCCAGGAAGTTGGTCTGCACGGACGGGCTCCGCCAGCGCTAGCATTCTGTAGGTGAAGGCGTGGCCAAGTCTGCGGGAGGCGGCCGTGGAAGGCGAAGTGCATGGCAAGCCGATACTAGCTCCAGGTAGACGAAAGTGTGTCGTAGCAGCAGCAATTGGAAGGTCTGTCGTCAACGCGAGCTGTGCTCCGGCAGCTGTTGCGAGACCCTGGATGACACCAATGACCGGTGCTGGAGACCGTCTGATCAGAGACATGACTTCCGCGCACAAACGGAAAGTCTCCTTCACCTCATCGTGACTTAGCGCACGGAGTTCGCTCAAGTCGTGGCCAGATGAGAAGACCGTGCCTTCACTGCGTAAGACAATAACCTTGGGCAGTTCACCTCGGTGCTCTTGCCACTTGTCAGCTTCGAGAAGCCAGTCGTACTGATTTCGAGCGTCCGGGTTTCCATTTTTGACCGCCGACTCTAGTTCGCTGAGTATTCCTGGCTGGAAGGGAGGCAGGATCCTGAGACAGCCGTCTGCAGGTGATGTGTTGTAAGCGTGGAGCTGGCTCCGTAGGTCTCGTAATACAGCTAGAGACAACGCGTTCCTCCTGCGGCCGTTTCTCAGGGCCAGATAGGCAACACGGGAGGGCAACTTCGGCCAACTCATGGCGAGGAAGCTTGAACAAAACCCCCTCCAGCTTTACAAGGGAGCTCGCCCGGCACTAGTTGATGAGTCACACAAGAGCTGCCTGTCGACGAAGCTCTCTTGTTAACCAAGAATCCGTGAAGGCTGTTCACGAGTGGAGGTCATGCACAACGGAAATTTCCGCTGCCGAGGTGCAACAAGCTTCAGCGCATGACAAGGCTTCCATTGCGCCCATCCATCAGGTCTGTACCTCTACGGCGATACGCGCCATTCTCGACGGGCTTGTTCTTGTCGTTGATGAAGGGTTTCCGTGGCCAGGACCGTGCGATGTCAATGCGCGACCTTGGAGCCCAGAGTTCCAGTATCAAAAATATGAGGTAGTCAATGACCACGCACAGGCAGAACAACTTGCCGGCCCATATCCCACATCCGTAGTACCGCTTCAATCGGTCAATCAGTGCATAGCCACGGAGGCGTGATGCACTCCAGGGCGCGTTGGCATGTTCACCGTAGAATTCTTGCTCGCTGATGGCCCCCGTGATGCCGTCATAGACTCGTTCTGTTCTTTGTGCAACATCCGTCCAGGAGTACATCATTTTGACCTGGTCGTGGAACCTTTCGGTCTTGACCTTTCCCGACCGCAACGCAGCAATGGCTTTCCCTGTCGCAAGTACCAGGTCATCTTCTTCAGGTTTCGCAAATGTCGTCATGTGCGCTGGAAGGACCTCCGGGATACCACCAACTCTGGTACAGACAACGTAGAGACCACAACTAGCAGCCTCGACGATGACAGTCCCAAACGCCTCGGTCAGACTCGGGTGCAGGTAAATATGCCCTCTGATCATCACATCGCGAACTTCTTCGTGACGCACCGGGCCCACCAGCTCCACTTTGTCTTGGAGCATTCGCCGTTCGAGCATCTGCTCCAGGTCAATAGCTTTCGGACCGGAGCCCGCGATGATGAAACGGACATTGGGATGTGCCGCGAGGATGCGTGGAATCGCCGCAATCAGGAGATCTGTTCCCTTGTTGTAGAATAATCGGGAAATAACGACGATTACAATTGTGTCGCCCGGACCTAGACGTTGTGGCAGTGGCCTTGGTCTCAAGTAGTCCATCTCGTTTCGGGAGTTCGGGATATATGATTTCGGCTGGAAGTTCTCGGCGACCACGGCGTTGGGGATGACGGAAACCATCAGGGGGTCAAGCGAGGCTCGAAGCACGGTATTCTCCTTGCAGGTATGGCTGACGCAAATAGCGTGGTCCACGTCGCTCAGGGCAAACTTCAGAAGCTTGTTGGTCAATATGGACCCGGCGTCGGCAAATCCGAATAGGGAGTGATCGGTGAAGACAGTGCGTAGTCCCATTGTGCGAGCATGAAGGATAGCTTCGTGACAAAAACTGCTCAAACTAGCATGACCGTGGACAATCTGGATCTCCTCTCTGATGACTATATTGCGGAAGATTGGGAAGAAGGAGAAGACGGTAGGCATGGTTGTCTCTCGATAGATGACCAGGAAGGGGACATGATAGACCTTGAGCCCGTTTGTCAGGTAGTGGACGCCGGTTCGACCTTGGTAGGCATGTGTTATTATGATAACCTTGTGCCCTCGATCGATCAGCTTGGTAGAGAGTTGGTAGATGTGACTTTCAACTCCTCCGGGCTGAGGGAAAAAAAAGTCGCTGACCATGGCAATGTTGTAAGGCATCGTGGGCAGCGATGGGCAGCCAGAGCTGATTGCTCCTGACCGCCGCTAAATGCATGATAAATCCGATGTCGTCATCCTGCAACGAGCTCTTGTTGAACAAGTACATTTGATAAGTGTACCTTGTACGTACACCTCAAGAAGCGCCCCTTGCAATATAGAAGACAGGTCACGTCGGGGCAAATAGACGGAAAAGGAGAAACCCCGAACTCCGCAGGCGGTGAGGCCGAATCGACCCACACCAACATCTCACGCCCACTGGGCTAAGCAAATTCTGCCGGCGATACCGCTGTGATACAATGCCTGCAACTTTTATTCTCCAACTCAATTACCTCGAGGACTGTCGGTCATTTACCCTCCAACCTTCGGCGTCATGTCACGCTTCTACGCGCGATACGTGCCGCCTGCGAAGACGTTGTCAGACGAAACTAATGCTAGTACGCAGCCGAGCTCTAGTTCAGACAAGCGTAAGCGCGACGAACAGGTCTCTCAGCCAAAGAACAAGAAGTTGAAGACTTCAAAGTCCGCTACCCAGCCTCCTACAGCGCTGTCGGATCAATTGGGCCCCCACAGCATTCATCCCAGTGAAACTTTCTCCTCTGCGAACGGGAACGTCATCCTCGATAAGTACCGGATCACCGAGACGGCAAAGTCCGGGGGCGCCTCAGTCCAGGTAAGGACCAAACGATTCAAGGGACCGCCCCAACAAGGCGAGCCAGAGGTGCGAAGCGAAGCTGCGGAAGAAGGCGATGACCCGGGCAGTAGCAATAAAGGAAGACCCGAGAAGGCACTTCGAGGACAAGATGGAGAAGAACAAGATGGGGAAGCGCAAGATGAGACCCGGGCAGTGGCCAACAATCACCGTGGAGTAGACTCAGAACGACATGGTGCTGTACAGCTTGAACACGAAGCTGTGCCGAAACGCAATAAGAGAGGTGGGAGGCCTGAGCGAAATTACGCTGGAAAGGAGGCTGAGGAGACAGAGGATGCGGCGCGTGCACAGAAGCATGCTGCTGTCCTCTCAAAGTTCGAAAAATCCAAGCAGCAAGATCAATTACAAACAAAGTCCGAGGCAACACCTGAGCAACCAACCCCAGAATTACATGGCCTTGAGCCAATTCCTCAGCCTGAGCAGGTAGACATTGTGCGCGAGATGCCCGCCTACTCGATTCTTCCAGCCTGGCAAGAGAATCCCCTCCTTGTCCCCTCTGAGACCAACAAAGAATTTAGATCCTTCGGGCTTGCAGAAGTCCTGGCCGGAAATCTGAGAAGGAAAGGTTTACATCAACCCTTGCCAATTCAAGCAGCAGTGCTGCCATTGCTGCTTAATGGTCCGGGTAAGCATGCTGGCGACCTTTGCATTTCAGCTGCCACAGGGTCTGGGAAAACTTTGTCATATGCCTTGCCCATTATAGCAGCACTAAAAGATCTTCCTGGAAGAAAGCTCAGAGCTGTTATTGTCGTGCCCACAAGAGAACTGGTAAAGCAGGTGCAGGACCTGTGTGAAGCTTGTGCGGCAGGAACTTCACTCAAGTTTGCAACTGCTGTAGGAAGCACATCTCTCAATGACGAGCAGCAAACGCTGGTCAAGGAAGAGAAGATCTACGACCCTGAGGAGTACGAGAAATGGCAACAGAGTCCTATTGACTGGTCTAACTTTTCGCTGGCAGGTTTGGCACGGAAGGCGAAGGATGAAGACCCGCTGGACTTAGTCGGCTACATAACTCGATATCGGTCCAAAGTTGACGTGCTCATTACCACACCAGGTCGCCTAGTAGATCACCTCAGATCCACCCCGGGGTTCACGCTCGACCACCTGGCATGGCTCGTGGTGGACGAGGCAGACAGATTACTCAACGAGAGCTATCAAGAGTGGGTCGGTGTGGTCAAACCAGCTTTAGAGTCTCAAGCGGCCACGCAAAGGAGAGATCAATTGCTCAGACATATGCGCATGACACCGCCAAAGCGAAGAGTGACGAAGATCCTGCTCTCTGCAACTATGACACGGGATTTATCCAAACTCAATGCCTTGGGATTACACAACCCGAAGCTGGTTGTCCTTGGTGGCGACAAGCCAGGCCAGAACAGAGACGAGGCAGAAACTCCCGCGCCCGATACGCAGGACGCGATGTTGCCGCAAAGGGATGACAAGGAGACATTTCACCTTCCCGAGACGCTTAAGGAAGTGGCAATTCCCCTTCCAGACGGTTCAGAGAAACCATTGTTCCTGCTCGAGCTAGTGAGGAAGCACATTGGAATAACTGCGCCAGTGTTCAAGGCTGCGACCAGTACCAGCAATGCCTTGGTGGACACAGGGCTGAGGTCGGGTTCGACCCCAGAATTGTCATCTGGACCTGAGGAATCTTCTTCCGATGAAGCAAGTTCGAGTACGGACAGCGCTTCAGAGACGGAGAGAAATGCAGGGCCGCTCAAAGATGCCACGGGTACGGAGCCAAAGAGCAAGCAGCGTGATCAGGCACCCCGAGCTCTGATTTTTGCACGCTCCACCGCCTCCGCCGAGAGGCTCTCCAGGTTGATGTGTCTCCTCGACCCTGAGCTGGCGAAGCAGGTTTCTACTTTGACCCGAAGCACCGCCTCGTCGGCTTCATCCCGGCGGGCTCTGGCTTCCTTTCGTAACTCCAGAATATCAATCTTGATCGCAACCGACCGGGCCTCACGTGGTCTCGACGTTCCCGGTCTCGAGCATGTCGTATCATACGATGTACCTAACAGTGCTTTGACCTACGTTCATCGCGTGGGACGGGCTGCGCGGGCTGGTAGAGGAGGTCAAGCATGGACGCTTGTGGAACATAGGGAAGCGGCCTGGTTTTGGCGGGAGATAGGAGGTAAAGGCAAGCAGCCTTCGTCAGCGAAAGCACTCGCCGAACCCTCCATTCACAGGAAGGGAAAACTGTCCAAGCTTCAGCTGAGCCTTGAGCACTCAGACCTCAAACAAAAATACGAGGAAGCGCTTCGACAACTAGGACAGGAAGTGTTGGCGAAGCCATGAGTCGCAGGTGCCGGACTTGGTGCTAACAAGCAATTGTCCACCATGGCTCCGTCCTCTTCGGCAGCCACACCATCGCCTCAGTACCCTGCCTTCCAGATCTCAAAATTCAATATGTAGCTCACAATCCCAGCGCCTCGTGCAGAAGCGGCAAAGGTCAGCTCTTTTACCGAATCCTCCTCCGACCCATTCCTGGGCTCCAGACCGGAGCCGTGAAGTTGTGACCACGTCATCAGGCGTTTGACGGTTCGAAGGGAGCAGGAACTTGGCGGTTCTTCGACCAGCTGATGTGCGCAGGGGATGCGAGGACCCAACTCCGGCGGCTATTCACTTCATCTGCTCTCAAAATTAAAATATCGTCGCTTTCCTCAGCTCCTTTATTGTGGCTTACTCACTTCGTAGGCGGTCACTCTCATAGTACGGAGCTCCACGCAGGCAGTGCAGGCATCCACAACCGGCATGGCCGAGCGAGATCCTCGTGGTCGGGAAATGACCGCTCAACCTACTGGACTGGGATTTCCCTGTCAATACATCGGCGGCACAGGTTTGATGTGCTGCGTGGTTAGCTGAATCGACAGCTGCCACCTCTTGTGCTCGACATCGGCCAATGAGCGTGACTGCCTTGAAGCCAGGCTACAGACCGCCTTCATGCTGGTTTCATGCATGGAAACTGTTGGGCACAGCCTAGCAAATATCTTAGAGGCCCATCGAAGACGACCGTGGCACGGTCTCATGCCTGCGTGACGTCCGTAGTCACCATGCCGTGGCTTCGACGTCCGGATGTCTAGCGCGCCCTTGGAATGCTGGCTTCAGGCTTTCAAGTGCCGAAGAAAGTCTCGATGGTCACGGCTCTCATACCGGCCTGATTAGCAAGATATTGGTCACGTCCTTCCAACCCGTATCCGGTAATTGCGTTAAGCGAAAAACAACTAATCATTGGGATGATCCAACCCATCTAACGATGGGCCTCGGAGGCCTCACAGACTTTGCCTATGGAGTCGTAGACAGGACCACGCAATTTGACCATCCTTACCCCATATATGCAAGACACAACTTGGACCACTGCGCTAAAAGTGCGTCAACACCTGCCGTTAGAGCGCCCAGCTTTGCAACAGCATTCCCCCAGCTTGACGCTGACTCATGATGAGCTTTTTGAGACAGTGGAGAGCAGTTGACCTCGCGTGCAGAGGACTCTCTGTTGGGGAAGCCCGGTAGGTCTCTAGAAGGCTCCTCGAGTACCGGTAGGTCCTGTGGCAATCGCTTCAGGCGCTCGGACTTACATGAATATGTGTCACACAAGACGGATGGAGCCAGCCCGCAGACACCTCTGAATGGGCTCGAATATTCTCCTTCAAGCTCTCGGTCCGGGTTGAGGAGATGTCGACGCGGATTATGGAGTACAGTTGGGTGACAGTGCTCGGCCTCGAGATGTGGCTCGAGCAAGTGAGTACCGACGTGAGACAAATTGTGTCCAGCACCTACGCTTGTGGCCTCGACCGATTCATCCTTGGAAGCAGATTCAAAGTCTCGCTGACACAATCAGATCCACGGCTCTACGTTGCCATCAATGGCTAGGTTGTCTATTTCTTACATGATACATCCTACTATAGACTCATCTGGATTCGCAAGCCTAGCGTCACTGCAGCAAAGGCAAGAGAACTCGCAAGCACGTATCGACTGCAGCTGCAAAAGAAGACAGTGTCCTCCCAGGGGGTCGCAAGTTCCCCTATAGGAGTAAATGACGGGAAGCTGAATCCGAAACCCATGCGTCACGACTGCTGCATCTGTGGCTCATTCTGCCATGTCGGGGTATGAGAAGGCGCTAGGAGCCGATTTCTGGCGATACAAATCCGCTGTCACAACGTGACTTGCCGTGGTCAAGCAAAACCTTACCATGCAGTCGCTGGTTCGGGCAGCTCTACCCCTGAACAAATGTCCTTGGCCAGGTGGTCGCCCCATTCCTTCCAGGGAATGTTTTAGTTTGTGCTTTGGCGGAGACTTGGACCGAAACGGTGGGAAGCAGGTCATCAGGAACGTGCCTATAGAACAATAGTGCAAAATCATGCCAGCCAAACACAGACCCTTTCGTCAGAGCATTGCCTCAACAGGTCGAAAAGAGAAACATTGCTCAACCCGCACCCTGACGAACAAACCTGCAGCTAAAGGGACGTCCACAGCTGGCGAAACGGTCGCAGGGGTCCATGTCGAGACTGGAGGAAGAGAGGCTTGGAGTCCCCTGGAAAAGGGAGACCCATCTGCGCTTACAGTAGGACAAGCGACTTCTCAAACGCACATCTGCCCTCGTGGTCACAGCTATCTGTACGTGAAAATCGTCTTCATCCTCCTGTGGCCTTGACGCACACGGAGGTCAGCTGCTAGTCTGCTTGATCTTAGGGTCCTATCACTGTCAGTACACGAAAGTCGAAGTAGAAGGCACCGGCTCTGAGTCCTTCCGTGGACGGGATCTTTCGTAATCATCGCTCCGCATTCCGAACACTATCGAGTAGCAGACCAATTAACCCTCAACGAGCGAGGCTGATGAATAATGTCTGACACTGACGACCACGGTGTCCATCCACCGCCTTTCTTCCCTCTGCTGGGAGGGGAAGTCGCCTTCTCATCACGCCACGCCAAGGAACTTTCCTGGTGCTGTAACCGCAATTGGACTTCGTTGTATGGATGATCGACGTCGGCAGAAGCGCGGAAAGACCGATTCTTGCATATCCATTGCTTAAGCGAAAGCCCAGACAAAGGTCTTTACCAGATACCAAGCGTCACCCTTTTCAATCAGACTTCCACAGCCTCATCACATCACACCTCGTCTCACGAATCCAGCATGACCTCAGCCTGCTCACTGTGCTCGAAATCCTACTCCGGGCAACCGAAGGAAGACAACCCTTGCAAACACACAAACTTTCGGAACAATCCGTCCTTTGTCAGCGTTTCCCTCGTTCATCGCTGCTTGCGTGAGATGCACGCTCTGGCTGTTCGTCGGGTATGGAAGAAGCCGAAGTCCCTGCCGGTGACTGCTTTCCCAATGGGTTGCATATGCCCAAAGGACTCTCTGTCCACGCATCGGGTACGTCTCATCAACAATGCTCAACAAGCCTGCGCGCCGAGGGAATCTCAACAGACCGCGTGTCACCATCACCACTATTCAGGTTGCAATGCACCGTTGCTGATGCTGCCACCGCCGGTTCGCCCCTTCAAGTTTCGCTTCCTAGCCTGCATCCTTCAGCAGGCCAGGTGGCGATGGATACCCGAGGGGGATGACGGTGGGGATATTCCGACCGCCACAAATTCTCGCCTGGGAAGGATGTCGGTCGAAAAGTGTATTGCCAATCTCAGTAAGGCGGGTCACCTATACTCGCAATTCGTTCCCAGCCTGTGGTTGAGTAATGCCAATCCGTCTTTGTGACCCTATGACCATTAACCGAAACATACCGTCGCACCGCAGAGTCGAGCACGGATTCCGGTTACCGAGCAATGCGCTACTTCCCAGCCATCTCGTGGAGGTGAGTTATGTATGGTGACAGGATGTTGAGGGATTAGTCAAAGGTGATATCCCTTCGCGGCCGACGAGACTCGGATGGAAAGAAAGAGGTTCCTCCAATGTGTGGTACGCGTCGAGGAAGCCGGAAACCGTTACTTGCACGCACGGAAGAATATGGCGGAAGACCGCCATTCAGTTCACTTGTGCATCTCGACATCACGAGCCACGGGGCGCGCCTCCAGCCACGGCATCGAGTCCACGATACAGAGGTTCATTCAAGAAGGAGCAGTGGTTGGTCCATCTCTCCTCGTCATGTCGAAACACACAATGTCACTTACAGTATGCTCCGATAGAGAAGCGCAGAGTAGAGGACGGTGAGGGAAAGACAGAGAGTGTGTGAGTGAGAGCTAAAGTCAGCTGTAGCATGGCTTGTACCTATGCATCTTCTAGAGTGTCTAGCCATGATATGCCGGGCTCGCCAACTGTTTACCTGGAGGCTGGCCATGGCGCATCCTCCAGGACGCTCATGAGTCACGACGACGAATTTGTCCTCCACCGAACTCACAATATACCGTATTGACCTGGCAGCCTTGACAGCAGATGGCAAATGCAGCAATAACGACATTGTCCTCAGACATCGATGCTGCAGAGCATCCAGATGTCGGTAGAATCAAGCATGCTGCTGTGCAAAGACAATCGTCGAGGCCATCAGACGGAGCGTAGGACGACCATGCCGTCGCCACAGAAGCTTGTCCGTCCGAGCAGGATTCGCACACACTCGACGTGGGAACATTTCAATGGCCGTTGCCTCCACTGGCGTGCCACGCCACGGTATCCTACCACAGGCTTGGATGGCTTCGCCGCACGTCCACTTTCGGGTTGCATTCGCCTCCATCCGGAGTACATGCTGGGCATTGTACATGTGGTTCCTGACTGGCCCGAGATTCCGCAGCCGTGGTTACCCCATGGGTCGGCAATCCCCCAATCTGTTACCGACACAGGTAGTGTGTATGTTTCATTTCCACGACTGTGGAGATGGTACAGCGACCATGCGATTCTAGCGGACTAGGTGTCTCCATCGCCGGACCGATTGGCCCAAAGCTGAAAAAAGCTCAAGGTCGACATCATGTAACCAACATGTCGCCCTGCGCGAGAGAGCCCCGCGCATCCCATCCGCTTCCAGGTATCCTTCGCGCAAAGCCTCGCGGTTGGACAAAATGCCGGAATCCTACACCTCGTGCCGCCAAACTAGGCGGATCTCGTTGCTCGGAAAGGTCGACTGTGAGCCGCGACCAAAGGAAGTGCACGGGCATGTGGCGAGGCTGCATCGATATTAGCTTTGGCTCTGATCCTCCGCTTGCCTTCCGTTCCTTTTCCAACATTGGTCATATCGTTTTTCGGCGAACGAAACATCCTCGACAGGATGTAAATGCGAATACGTAGGCTATATGTTTGGTTTGGTTTGCCCCAAGCCCAATCCGCAGCCAGGCGGATGTGCAAACAAATGTCTTGAAGACGCCACGCACAATGTGATGTAATGCCCAATAGTGTAATGCAATCATAAATTTCGATTAGATGAGGTGAAGTGATGAGATGAGCGTTCATCCTTCGGCATCGTGCAGAGTGGTCGAACTGGGGTGCGGAGTGGCTTGATTGGGGTTTGAGCAAGCTGGATTCCAAAGCCCCTGCTGGCCGCAGCCGCGGCTGACCTTAGGTCGACTGTTGTCGTGACAAGCAGGATTTGAACGACTGCTGTCTGGATGATGTGACCCAGAAGACGCCTGCCAAGTCGGTGTGGCATATTGCAAACCCAGGTTGGACCACGACAACCGAAGAGCGGTGAGCCATGTATTTGGTCTCCATGGCGGACGAAATGGGCAACTGCTCTCATCAACTGAGAAAGCTCCTTCTCGCGTTCCTGGCTCTTTCACTCGAGTACGCGTCGATCTTGACTCCAATAAAGACAATCTCAAATCCTCCCCGTATCGTATCCTGGGAATTAGGTTGCACTCGCAATCGCCATTGGCCGGTGCGGATGGTCCACTCCCCAAGCTCCTCTTGACTGTTCTGCCGTTTCCTCTTCTTCGTAGATGGCGCAGAAAGTCTGGTCGTCTGGATCGGAGCCACAGGGAGAGAACCACGTGCTACACCTGTATGCGAGGGTGCTCCTCCCGGGATCTGTCGAGTTTGGGGTCGCCGCTGTTGACCGCCAGCCGTGGAGGGGCCAGGTTTGACCGTTGGTCCTTCGCTCATCACGTCGGATTCAGACTCGGATTCGCTGGCCACTGTTGAAGGCCCGTGCTGCATGACTTGCCCCACCGGACTGTCCCAGTCAATCTCCAAGCCCTCTCCGTCCAGTGTGATGTCGGTTGCAGGTTCAAAGCGAACCTTCACCCGGTCCTCGCTTAAAGGCGTGTGTCCAGGACTGGCTGACTGCGAAGACCTGCCCCCCGACAGCATCATCAGTCCCAGTGGTGCATTCGTCGGCAGATTCATCTTGTTCGCCACAACCTGGAACAGAGAGGACACTCGAGCTTTGGCTAGTCCGTGGAGATCGGCCCTCATGTCAGTCAAATCCAGCACAGTACTCTCCGCCCCTATCTCCACCACCATTTCGTACGAGGTGTCATCTACAAACGGCCTCGCGTAGTAAACCCACCCCCCAGTGGTCGGCTTCTCGCCGAGTGAATCGTCGCGGGTGAAAGAGACGCCCGAAGGTTTGACGTCTTCCAGCCGGAGACAAATCTCGTGTTTCTGCCGCTCCAGATTGTAGCTGATCTCGTGCGCAATAATCTTCTGCTCCAAGCCTCGCAGATGGAAATAGCGGCAGTCTCGTAGTAGCTCAGATCGGTGCGATTCGTTTCGGATATAGAGAGGGTAGCCTCGTAGTAGATGTAGTAACTCTGCAAAGATGTCGGCCGACCGTCCAGGGACATAAGGCGGAGTTATAGACGGTGGACGGAGAAGTCCCCGGCGGTCAAGGCCTGGAAAGACCTCACCAGGTGTCGAGAAGAAGACTGCAAACCCTAGTGAGAAGAAGTTGGGTGAGTTTCCGGGCTCGGAGAAGATGTCTTTCGGGATTTGAAAATGGCGCTCGCCAATCTGAATGAAGATTTCTGATTCGAACAGCTGGTCGATTAGACGGGGTACTATAGAAACATCAGCCTCCGACCAAGGCAAGTCCATTCATACGTACAGCTGTAGAATTGAGCATCTGCGAAGAGTTTCACGAAATGGCTTCCGTCGACAGGTTTGACATAGTAACCTCCACAGCAGTCAGTACCACAACAGCCCCCAGAGGACAGAAGCCGAACCTTGTAAATGCCTGGCCACGTCTCGAAAGGTGGCTGGATCTCGGTCGATGTATAGCGTCCTGACACCACCCGACTCCTCATTTTGTCGGATTTGTTCCTCGAAGAACTGGGTAAAGTACGAAGGGGCTGTTCGCTAAGTCAGTCTGCTGTCGCTTGGCTTCAACCCCGGCCTGCATTCATACCATCCGACGATATTGAGGCGCCTGACAAGCGGAATAAATCCGACCCGATCTGGATGGGAAAGACCTTCTCAGGAGGGAGGATGGACGGCGGATGCCCTGACGATACGCGCGTTCCTCTCCCACGGGTCGAACCTTGCGACGAGGTAGATGGAAGTACAGGTGGCCGCGGGGTCGAGCCGGAAGACTGGCGAGTCCTCCTGTTGCCAGCAGCTGCACCGAGCGCCGCTCGGGAGCCAGCTGGGAGCTCCGAAGTGATAGATCCTTCATCAGGCGACGTGGGAGCGACGCCTGACATCCGCTCAAACGTCACAGAACGGTTCGTTGCAACGGCAGCGTCGGGACCAGGTCTGGATAGCACTCGGACTTTCTTGTCAACGGGGGTATCGGTTGGCGTCGAAGCCGTCGAGCTCGCTTTTCGTTTTAAGGCGGAGCGAGGGAGCAAGGGCGGTACAAAGGCTGGAACCGCAGCAGTACCATTTGCGGTGGTGGCCGCGTTGGCCGAGGTACTTCCGGGTGGTGGCGGCGGACTCTTCGGCGTGGCAGTGACGGCAGCTGGATGTCTCGAAAGGCAAGGGACGTCGAACTCGTCAAAGTGGTGAATCTGTTCGCGCAGTAACTCACCCGTAGGCTCATATACTGGCTGGGGCGCGAAATCGAGAAAAGGGCCAGAAGGAGCGATCCAGGGCTGTGAGCCAAAGCTTGGAACGCCTAGGGTATAGCTAGTGGCATCAGTGGAGGCAGCCGCTAGGTGCTGTTGAGGGACGGGTTCGTACACACTGCTGCTAGGATACCCCAAATCCTCTAGGAGGAAGAAAGGTCGCGTGTCAGGGGAAGGATTAGCGGCGTCAGCAGGCTCGGCATGAGGGAGAGAGACGGTGGTGTAGGCATTGGCTGTGGCACCGGGGTGATTAGTAGCTCTCGACGCAGGGCCGGGGGCATTTGCAGGCCCGGCAGCCGTAACACTTCGTCCTGCACTGTTGGACGAAATGGAGATGGCTGGGGAGTCCGAATTGGTCTCAGTAGTCGTATCCGAATAACTGACATGATTGCGGTCAAGGTCGAGCATTGGGTGTGGGTCCGTCATCACTCAGAACGAAATGTCACCTTTGCGTACTGGAGGCTCGGAACGCTCAGCATCAGCCCGCAACTCCTACCACTTCCGCAGCACCACGCGCACTGCATGGGCTGTCGAGCAGCGGCGGGCTTAACGCAGTGCCAGTACCAGTGTCACTGACAGCGCCTACGACAGCGCACGGTCTTACCGCCGAAGGCCACGACTACGGGCCTCGCGGACTGTCAACAGCTGTACGCAGTAGGGGCGCCCACGAGGGGGACCATCGGCTAGGGGCCGCGTGCTTTGTGTCGGGGCGGGTGGTGGGTCGGGAGCCTCTTGATTTTGTCGCCCGGCCCCTCTGGCCGCCGCTGCAAGAGGGGAGACGGTTGGGGGATGACGAGGACAGTTGGAATCTGGACACTCTCGAGTAGGTTTGGCGGCAGCACCCAGGAGGATTTGGCGGCAAACGGATTGTCTCTGGCGGACTGTTTGCGGCGTCACTGCCCTGGTCGAGATGCTGGAGCGCGAGATCTTGGCTGAACTATGCGATGAGTAAGCCCTGAGTCATGGCAAGGGCGGCAGCTCTATTGGCTAAGGCTGTCTGACAAGTCTTCTGGGACGAGTCTTGTGACGCATGCTGATTACCAAGAGCCGGCGCCATCGAAGTCAGTGTCGGAGATGTGAGATTTGGAGGGGGAAAACAGGAAACGGGTGATGAAAGGGATGCCTATGGTGAGCAAGATTCATACGTACATAGTAATCGGTACGTACTAGAAATATAGACCCCCTTCTTGCAGCAGTACGGGGCGGAGCGCTTAGGTGCTGCCCCGAACCCTAGGCGTGAAGCATAGGCAGCACGGTCTGTCGAATACCAGGTAAAAGATTCGCCGAAATGGCTGGCCCACGGATAGTCGGAATACGTTCCACCGTGTGCAGAGATGTCCACGCCAGGCGTCCCGTCTAGACCACGAGCAAGTCAAGCTCTGTGCTGCTTGCCGGGACGAAAGACGTTCAATGCTCCTGGGTCTGACGTCTACCTACTGTGACACGGAAGACACCGCCGACATGCAACGCCGATGACGTCCGTTGTGGTTCCTGGACCGCTCGTGTCCAAAAGACCGTCTGAGCGCAGGCTTGTTTCCAATCTGGACTTTTTCGCACCACTGACCCCGAAAGGGGTTGCGAAAGTGAGAAAGGCCAAACGAGGGAAGCGCTGCGGTTGGCGGCCCGGGCCAGAGGGTCTCGATGCTGTGTGGGACGGGATGGTAGGAGGCTGCGTGGCTGCGAAGCCTCTTCAATCACACTGAAAGATGTGCGGGAGACCGGGGTCCGTATGCAGGAAGAAGGTCAAGCTCAAGCTCCAGCCCGTGTCGCTGCAAGATTCGCTGTGCTCGCTTGACGAACCGATACCTATGCTTCGTCGGAACGAGTATTGGCAAGCCAGATACCCGCACACCACTTCGCTGGCCACATTGGTGTGTCTTATATATTTGCAGGTGCAGACGGTATCCAAACTCAGCCGCCATATTTGATCCTGTATGGCTTAAGCCTTGTCAAGCATCTTACTCCCTCAATCTCGACCCATAGACTCCGAGGCAGGCGCATCGAATATCACTGGCTTGGTCGTCCTCTCATCCACCACCAATGCGTCATCGCGGCTGAAGGACACAGTAATCTCAGTTGATCCTGACTCGCGCATTTTCAGCCCCAAAGCGGATGTGAAACCAGCCGGGTGATAAGCGACTACGGCTGAGGTTATATACAATGTCCATTGAGGTATGTACTCGCTTAATGAGAGGGGCCAAACTAACTGGGCCTATTCCAGCGATATTCCCGCATCCTGAATTCGTACACCCATAGCTGAAAAGGATAGAAACCTATCGGACATACGATGTCTGCCGAAGCTGCGTGCCAAATAGTCCAGTTTGGTATCTTCCACGAATGCTAGTATGACCGGTATAGAGAAGCCTCTTCGCTCCGAACGAAACCGAATCAACGTGGACGACCGCATCGCTGCACGTAGCCCACGCACGGATGTTTTCAGCACTGGTCACGGCTGAAAAAGCTGAGATGTCGACTGTTAGAGGAGTCTTTCTCTATCGTCACGCCTCCAAGTTGGACCGAATCTCCTACAGCGTCGTCTTGAAATCGCCTTCCACCTCCACAATTTTGGCAACAGCACGTTTGTAGGCGTCTCTCTGGTGGATTCGATCGATATAAGCCCAAATTTTTGGATACTGACTCGCGGTGAAACCCGTTCGACTCTGGCCAGCTTCGAGCGGAAATGAAAGCATGATATCTGCAGCCGTGAGTTCTTTGCCGCAGAAGTAGTCTCCACCGTCGGGAGAAGTCGAAAGTTGGCTGTCAAGAAAGTCGTAATGAGATTTGAAGTTCCTTTGCAGATAGCCTGACTCAATCTTGCCCGCGACACTGTTTGTGATGGGCTTGATAAAGAAGGGGACCGGCGCGTTTCGGATACCTGCTTCTGTGAGTGTCAGATGGAATGATGGTAAGGCAAAAGCTTACTTCCGACGATCAGTGATAGAACCATGAATGGCATAATGCTGCCTTCGGCATAGTGCATCAGCATTCTATATCGTAGCCAGGGTTCGGTCTCGCCTCCAATCTGACCGTCTTTACCTGCCCTGTATCGCGGAGGAACCAGGGCCTTCTCTTTGCCATCATAGTGATCACAAAAGTATTCCACGATCGCTCCGGACTCAGCGAGCACTAGCGGTGTGGTAGAGCCTGGGATCTCAATGGTGACAACGGGGGACTTGCCGAGCGGGTGTACTTCTTTCAACTCCGGAGGGGCGAGCAGCTCCTTGTTCCTTTTGTAGGTTTTGAGCTCATAGGGGACTCCGAGCTCCTCGAACAGCCACAAGATCCTCTGAGAGCGAGAAACCTCGAGCCTGACTGGTGTCAGGATACATATCTCTTCCCATGAGGTGCAGTCACGTCAAGGACGGTCTGTTGCTTACCAATGAAGAACGACCTTTGGTTCCCCAGCCGCTGAAGCGACCTCACCGTTCCCAGACGATGCCATTCTTCAGGTGAGGTACGCTGCTTCAGTGCGATTCCTTTCGATTTCAGCTACGGACGAAGTGGCTTGTTGAGTGCGAGGATCCGTGACAAGCAGCGATAGATAGCTTCCCTCTTCTGGTGTTGGAGAATCAAGTCCGGTCCAAGAGATGTGCAAGGGGAGACGTAAATGTTCCGTGGTGTTCAGTCAAAGTATCGTGAAAAGGTCAATTGATTGATGCCTGTTGACGGAAGTATATTTACGCTGCTTGCATGCTTGGTGAGGCTTCTTTTAAAACGTCAGCCGTTATCAGACGTCTAAGTGCAAAAAGTCCTTCTGAGATTAGTGACTCTAATGAGCCGCATGTGAGGCCAACGTGAATGGAGGAATCAAGCACCGCCACGCCAAGCGGCACCAGCCACATCTGGGAAACTCAACTCCATCATCCGCGCTCGACACCTCAACGTCGCAGGAGGTCCAGAGCTAACCACATCACGTCCACTGCCACACGGCTCTCAATCATGGCTGGGCCAACACGTACGTTCAGAGGAAGCTCTTTTTCTAGGGCTTGCTGCAGAATTGAAACTGACTGGGAGTGCTACAGCTCTTCGCCATGATCCCGCTCTCGAGAAAATGTACCGTATGTGACCCTCATCGACCGAAAACGATGTCCTTAACGCACCTCCAACTCGATTGTCGTCAATTTGCGGCAGCTCTTCGACGCCCTGGAAGGACTCGGCAGGCTGACCCGAGTTGCAGAGCTGAACAAGGAACGATGGAGATATTTCCGCTGGACACCTCGGACAGCTTTCATTTCCTTCATGTACGCCATATTCGTACCTACAGTTGTCGGCTTTACCTTTGCAAAATCAGACGTAAGTGCAATTGGACGCTTTCGCGACCAGGGCGGTCAAGCTGATGGTGTGATCGTCTTGAACAGGGCAAATACGACATGCGGGCGAAGCTCAGGGGGGACACAATCAGCGAGTTCTGAGCTGCAGCACATCATGAGACCATGATAGACAGTCAAGAGTGGGAGCAACGGAGGCAAAGATTGTACATATGCGCGCTGTACTTTTGAAGCATACGGAGCTTCAGAAAGCTGCAACCAAGCATTGATTCCGTGGTCACGAGGATCCCATACTTCGGGAGGACTTGTATTGCTCTTGAATGGTTCTCACATCTCCTCGAGCTTTTTTTGCCCTTCCTGGTGGTGCCTTCACTTCAAGCGGCCCTTCTTGTTTCTCCTCCGACGTTGATGTGCTCACAACAGGATAGCTGCATCCGCCAGCAAGGTAGCAGCACTAGCACTCCGAAATCCGCCAGCCAATGCTAATCAGATGTCACAAGAAGAGGACCGGCAGGTGCAGCAGAATGCAGGTATTAGGATATTTACTACGGTCGCAAAGATAGACCACCAATCGCCGACAGCGCGAAGCCTCCTCAGTTTCAAATGCCAGGAAAGTTGATCATATTGAGAAGTTGGCGCCAGGATGCACAACGGAGTTCAATTGCGCACAACATACACCCTCGGAGGGTCAACAGGCAGCGTGTTACATGAATGCCCTGCAGCACCATATGCGGATTGGCACTTTTGGAATGAGAAAAGCCTTCCCATTTCCACTCGTTGCTTGCGAAACAGGAGGCCTGACACAAGTCTAGCGCCTTGGACGTGGAGTCCACTTTGTAACCAGTTGGGCTCAGCTGCTTAATTCTGCCTGCGCTGCTAGGTAGATGCTCAAGCACAGACTGGGTACTCCGTACAGTATAGCTCCAATTGGGTTATGCTCCACAAGATGCAACGAGCGAGAACGAGGCGGGCTAACTCTTCAAGGACAAGGAACAGGTTAAGTAATCCCTGACTAACCGCTGGTGATAAGAGAAAGATGCGACATCTCGACCCGGCCTCTTATCCTTTTCGCAACAGTGTGACGGCTCGAATCTAATCAGACACTTGCAGGCGGATCTGCAGGGTGAACGGACTAGGCGAGACCTACGTTTAACGATATATGACAACGTGCGAGCAGAAGGAGAATTGTCAAAAACTTCCAAGTCTACCAGTGGAGCTCATGAGTCCCTCGGCTATAACATGCACCGGCACAACAGCGACGGATAGTGCAGACTCTATTTTACATTCAGCAAGATAGCATCAGCAAGCCACACCGCCGTCGGCTCGACACCAGTGCGACAGTACGAACAGGGTTTGGCCGTCGACTCTAGAAGACATTCCACGTTCATTCTCCACGATGGGCAGGTGCTGATTCGCTGTTTGGTGCAGATGGACTTCGAACCGTGGTGAGCGGAGCATGTTCGACTAGGGCATTTCCTGTCGGGACTGGACATCGACCATTTCGTCTCACAACCACCAAGAAATCCTTGTGGCTGTCAGAGCGTCTGTCCTATCCTCCCCTCTGATAGAGGAAGTCTGGGAGGCTCGACTTGAGAAGAGCTGTGCAACGTATCTGTCGGGCATGCCCCTGCTATCCCCAGTACCACGTGGCAAGCATGTGTATACCCCCTTCAATCTTCTCAAGCCGCCTTTTGCCAGTGAACGCGAAATTTAGTTTTGATTTCTGATCTCCACCTGCAAAGCGCTGACCAAAGCATGGGCGTTCTCCATGTTGACCCATAGCCCTCGGGTCGACGTGTCCCACCTGGCGAGGACTAAGTCATAGGCTGCATCAAAGCGCAAGGCAAAGGCCGCGTAATATGTGTCCCTTCTTAGACACGTTTCCACATTCCGAGGTGCTCGATCCCTTCTTCATCCCAGCGGCCCAATTTTTCGTCGGTAACAAACCCCAACTTTGCATACATCTTCTCCACGGATACCTGAGCATGGCAAAGAACCAGACCATCGTATCCGGCTGCAACTTTCTCCTTATGTGCAGCGAGCCACTGGAAAGCCGCCTCGGTCAGAAGCCGGCTTAGGCCCCTCCCTCTGTGGTTGGCCTTCGTTGCGACGCGCCCTAGCTTGACGTATGGCTCTTCATCTGGATCACTAAAGCCATTGGGATGGGGACCATGTGGCGGAGGGACGATCCGGATGACAGAGACAGGATCCTCTGCACCCGACTCGCTTGTACGGTAAGCAACCCAATGCCACGACCGAGGGTCATCCTCGTCCAGCTCTGGCTCCAGGGCACAATGCTGCTCATCACAAAAGACTTCTATGCGTAGATCCATAGCATCAAGGAATATACGGGGTGCGTTCTTGGGTCGCGGATCTGCCGGGAAGCCATTTGGAGCAACCACGTCGCCCGGAGGCGGAAGCATCGCAATTTTGTACTCAGACGGCGCCATGAGCTGAAGTGGGAGAAGATCCTTTTCCACGTAGGCCTGAGCACGCGAACCTTGGCCTATCACTTCTTTCTCTTTATTCCTTCGCTACGGCCGCCATGGCGAATAAATTTTATGCCGTCCTCGATCAAGCACGCCTTAGGACTCGGTCAAATCCAATTCACCACAGGGCGAAATTTTGTCCGAGGCTCAGTCCGACGGCTGTTGATGCTTGTGATTGGTCAATCACCAGGTCAGACCGAACCTTGAGCTTTTTACGCCAACTTCATCGTACCTTCACCACACCTGACACTGGCCTCTTTGCTGCCCAATGTCTCTCTACTACGACGCCGCCACGGTTCTTACGACAGCAACGCAAGATGGGTCCCTCACGTCGCGGATCTATAGCAATAAGCTCGGGCTCAGGTCTAAACCCGCGCACGTCTATGCCCTGATCTCTGAGACGGCAAAGTACGACCAGTTTCTCAAGGAGGTCATAGACAATGCGGGTCTGTTGGCCCAAGAATCAAAGGTTTGACAACGTTGTCCTCCCATTCTTCGTGTCACTGCTGACTGACCTAGCCATTTGGCTCCGGCCAATAGTTGACTCCCATTCTTTCCTTGCTCCTGGTTCATGACCACATCTTCGCCAAAAATGGCATCGAAGCATCTCCTGTCCATCCTCTCCGTCAAGCGATCGAGAGGCATAAAGCCCGGCTACAGGGCGAGTCTACCAAAGCGCGGTTGCGGAGGAGGTGTGCCTCGATGGATGAGCTGAAGAGGCTTCTGTTGGCTAGAAAGCCCTCAGCACAGCGAGCGCAGCCACGGTGGGTTAGAGTCAACACGCTAAATTCCAGCCTTGAGCAGGAACTTGCTACAACCTTCCATGGGTACAGAACGGACGCAGAAATTGCAGAAGTTGTAGGTTCACCAGGAGCTGAGAAGGTGTTGACGATTGATCGTAACGTGCCGGACCTGGTCGCTTTGCCTCCTGATGCAGTCGTGACGAAGATACAATCTTACAGAGCTGGGAGGTTGATTCTCCAAGATAAAGCTTCTTGCTTCCCTGCATACATGTTGGTCGGAGACGCCGGCGGAATTGCCTCAGTTGGTGAGTGCATCGACGGCTGTGCAGCGCCAGGGAACAAGACCTCTCACCTCGCGGCTTTGCTTGCGCACGGCAGGAAGACGAAGAACAAGATCTATGCATGTGAGCGGGATAGAGCTCGGTCGAACACCCTGCAGACGATGATGCAGAGGAGTGGAGCAGATACTGTGACCGTGAAGGCAGGCTGTGACTTCCTAACACTTAATCCGCACGATGAGAAGTACAATAAGGTGACGCATTTACTCCTTGATCCGAGCTGCTCTGGAAGCGGCATCATTGGGCGTGAAGACATTCCCACATTGGCTCTACCCGACAACCCCAGAACTCACCAGTCAGAAGTCAACAAAGGGCTGAAACCCACGAGAAAGAGAAAAAGAGACCATGTCGGTTCAACACCTGACGAGACCACGACAGAAGGACTCAACCAAGCCGAAGAGAGGAGAGAAGTCATAGTCGACAAGACAAGGCTGCAGAAGCTATCGAACCTCCAAACCCGAATCGTCGAGCATGCTCTTGGTTTCCGGGCAGCCGTTCGAGTCACATACTCGACTTGTTCTGTTCATGTGGAAGAAAATGAAGCCGTTGTGGCTCGGATTCTAGCGTCCCAAGTGGCGAAGGAGCAGGGGTGGCGCTTGTTGCGACGGGAAGATCAAGTGTCTGGTTTGAGCATGTGGCCGCATCGAGGTGTTTCCAGGTCAGAAATGATGGCAAGCGAGGCAAAAACAGATGGGCGGATTTTGACCGACGAGGAGCTCGAAGCCTGTATTCGCTGTCATCCTGGGGACATGGAAGGAACCATGGGGTTCTTCGTATGCTGCTTTGTTCGCTCAGCACCTAAAGGAGTAGACTCGGACGATGCGACTCCATCTGACAACGAAAGCTGGGAGGGTTTCACCGACTAGAAGTCTCCCGGGGCTCTGTAAATGAAGACCATCTGCCAAACACTGCAAATACGCCAAGAGGACTCTCAGGCACGACTAAGCTCAAATGGGCAACGAGCCTATCGCCGTACCTGCGTATTGCCGCGTCGCCCTCTCCTCATCCCAATATCTCACCTCATCTTGTCATGTTGCCGTCTGTTTTCCCAATACAGCGACTCTTTCCCCGGCTAACATTTCCATGGCTGCAGCAGAAGATTGCTTCGGCAATCTAGCACGTGGAAAGACCGTGCCAGGAACAACTCCTGCGTCTCACTCGTCTCAATAGTACCCCGTATTTGTCAGCATACTCATCAGGTCTACCCTGGGCTAAACCGAGGTTTCTTGTTCCCCCTCTAGACAGGCTAAAGTACCTACCGGTGAGCAGCGGCTTGAACTGCTGTATTCTCAATGCCAGTCATGTTTCAATTCAACGGGAGCCGGACAGACCCCGTCGTCGACTCTCTAGGCAGCCACCACCGGACGTCGAACCACACCAAGACCGAAAAGCGTCACATCACGCGAAACAGGACGAGCTATAGCTGTATCACTTGCCGTCGAAGAAAGGTCAAATGCGACAAAACTCGGCCAGTATGTGGTGGCTGTCAGAAGGCAAATGAGCAGTGCTTGTACCATGATGATATGACACCCGCTGCCGCTGAGGTGTTGACGAACGAGGACACAGGCCAAGGCTGGAAAAAGCGAAAGTCAAGTCTCGCTGAGCAGGAGTCTCTCGAAATGCTTGCAGCACCAGCTGACAGCACAACGCGGCCCACTGACCTCAAAGCCATCGAAGAGCAGCTGCAGCGACTAACAAGAATGGTGGATGCTCTTCGCCATGGTACCACCAATGGGAACGATTTGAGGTGGAAGGAGCTGTTGACACCGCAGCAATCGGGTTCCGACTCGGGGTCCGAAGGACCTCTGCATCGACCAAGTATGACTCTTGACATGTTCCAGTCTGGGAACCACGGATCGACAAAAGAACCTGCTGATCTGAGCACGCCCCTGTCAACCTTGAAGCTCAACAATGGTGAAGCAAGGGAGGATCCATTCTGGAACCACCTATCTGACGAGTTGGACCAGCTCAACCACCTGATGCGCCGGCGGGACAATACCTATGCGATCTCACTCAGTCCAGAGCACAAGCCATGCGATTCAACGCGAGATTGTGTGCCTCCAGTCGAGGAGGGGCCCGAACCCGAGGCAGATGATTTCTGGGCTTCGAATGACTTCCACAAAGATGCCGGAATCAAAACTTTTGAGAGTCTCGACCTGGAAAACAATCATTCCATTTGTCGCATGCTAGCATTCACCAAATCCAGCCTGCTACAGAATATCCCTCTCAAATGTTCACCTGCTGCAGCTGTAGATCAGCTCACACAAGGGCTTCCGACAAGAGCACAGAGCAACGTACTGTTCAGATGCTGGTTATCTGGCGTGTATCCAGTCGTGGGCATCTTTCTGCCTTCGGACATATCCCAGAAACATGAAGAATTCTGGGACGACAGAGAAGCAAATGGCGCCGCGGAGTCCAGGCGCCCCAACCTAGATTTCTTAACTGCATTATACGCAGTCTGGTACGCTGGTTCACTGAGTATTTCTCCCAAGGGGCTTCGACAGTGGTTTCCCCATACCTCGAGAGCCAGCCTCAGCACGCAATTCCATGACCACACGGTGTTTTGTTTGCTTCTCGGATCGTTCAAACGGAATATGAGCCTGTACAAGCTGGCCGCTCTGGTGCTCCTACAAACCATAACTGTCGCGGAGGAAGAGCCTCTGCAAAGCAGTCTCTATCTAGCACTCATTGTGCGCTTGGCGTTGTCCATGGGCTTGCATAGGGAGCCTACCCTATTCGAGCTTTCCGTGAACGAAGAGGGAATGCGGCGACGACTATGGTGGCAGATCATACAGTTGGACATCTTCAATGTCGTAGCCAGCGGCTATCCATCCCAGATCTCAGAGAAATTCTGTGATACACGGGTTATTTGCGAAGATAGAGATGCCTTCTTACCTGATGGCACCGGTGAGGTTGCTTCAACCCATCCGAGTCCCAGGGCCGTGCGACCACCAAGTGAGACTTCTAATGGAGGGACTCCGAATGCCACCTCGTTTCGCACGCTGATGCTGGTGGCAAGGGGCAAATCGATCCTGGCCTGCGCCCTGCGAAGCGTGGTGGCTATCCATCTGGAAACCAAGAAACTCACAAATGAGGATATTCAGGAGATGAAGAGAATCATCACTGAAGTGGGGGACCACATCCACGGCATCATCAAGGCAATACCAAGCAAGGGAATGCCAGAGATGGGTTTTTCGCCAGACGTACCCAAAGATGCACAGCACCGTGGATCCGCCAGTGACGCGCTTATGGGCAGTCCTATCACTTCCACCGACATCGCGTACTACAAGACGTCTCCTAATGACACTGATCCCTCGTGGCCCTTGGCAAGCTTTCATCGTCAGAAGCAGGCGGCATACAATAAGTGGGCTCGGGTAAGCCTCTCAATGCTGGTCGACAAGATTCACTGTGTGGCGTATGCGCCCTTCCTCAAAAACACCAAAAGCAGGTTGTGGGGAGTAGGCAGACAGTGCGCATTGCACAGCTGCCACAGCTTTCTGAGGAAATTCATCTCCCTCGCCACTGATCCGGATCTCGAAGCGTTCCGGTGGAGTTGGCCGGCACTTTACGGTCCTCTCCATGCAGTTCTGATCATTCTGGTTGACCTCTACGAGAGACCCGCCAGCGTAGAGGCGCCAAGGTCAAGGGAGCTAGTCGACAAGGTGGTTGGACTAGCCGCTCCCGAGTCGGGGATCGTGGGGGGTCCCGATGGATATACCGTCCAGAGACCACTAAGGGAAGGTGGCGTGGAAGCTTGGGATATGTTGCGAGGCCTCCGGTCTGCGGCTTGGCAGAGAGCGGGTCTTGACCCTACAGTGTTGTGGACAGAGGAGGATCAGCTCGCAGTAGGAGTGGCGACTCCGTTGACAGAAGCACAGAGGATTGCGCAGAGTCTCAGAGAAGACTCCATATATGAAGGGCAAGCAACGGCTGAGGTCGGGAGTCTTTGGATGGACAATATCAAACCGACGGAGCAGGATGTTCGATACATGGTGAAGCTCCCGCAAGGTGAGTTTGACAATGAGGGTGGCGCGGCTGGGGAGTCGTTCCGCTGCACCCGAACTGCACGCAACAAGTTTTTGCAAGGCATCGAGCGTGATGCTCGCATGGATGCCGGCAAAGGGCTGGCGCGGCGAGAAGGCCAAGCTAAGATGCCTTTTCCACTGAGCGGTAAGATGGCGAAGTGCTCTGGCAAAGCTGCTGCTGCTGATGCTCCACCTGTGCACGTCCTTGATATGCACGCCCATGTGCCCAGGCCAGAGGGCGGCCCTCGTTCATGCCCGAGCCGTGTATCTTCGTATCTGGCTCAAACTGAGGCGACAAACGGCACACAGTCTCTTCACGAAACGTCCCGCGCACCCGAACAATCGAGCTGGGATCTTTCCCCTTCCAATGGTGTCACGCACACGTCGCCAGTCACGAGCGATCCACTCACCCAGAGACATGCGAGCGGAGTCGTCCATGTGAATGGCCATACCGATGAACACGGCATTCACATCCCTGGTAGTCAAGCCGAACAGTCACACCGGGACCAAGGCTCGACGTATGACGGGCTACACGAGAGTGACACAGATATGGACCTTGGCTTTGACTGGGAACGCTGGGATGCCGTGTTTGGGCAATACTCTGGCTTCACAGACCTCATGGACGACATCACCATGTCAGCGTGGGCAGAGCAAGCCGAAATGTGAAGCGCCGCCTTCATGCCGGCAGTATCACTTGCCATGCCCGAGGATATATAATGCCCTCGCTACAGGAAGTTCTGCAAGCCCGCACATCCATATGCAGACCCACACGAGAAGATGGAGACCGACAAAGATGACAAGCATCAAATCGAGACGACTAGCTGGGGCGTTCCCAAGCATCTATTCGACTACTCGGAAGTCGTAACATTACAAACCGGCACTGGGGCCCAAAGACAATACTTCGCCATGCACGGCCCTCGGCTCTGTAGCGAGTCGACGCACTTCCACGAGCGGTTGCACGGGGACTACCCAGAGACACGGAGACGGCATTTCGACCTGAAAGACCACGAGACGGCCGTCGTCGCCTGCATGCTACGCTGGTTTCGTGGCTGGGATTGTCCTTCTTGCGGCGACCATGGCGTGCGTGGCCACATTAAGGACGCAATGCTCCTAGCGAGGGAGTTGGGCATTCCACGGTACAGCAAACATTTGATCGGAAAGATGGAAGCACTCGATGGCGAGTGGCTTTCGCGACCGGATGAAATGGCCGCCAATGCCACTCCCGCTTCCACTACCACTACCAATTCATGAAGCGAAAGATAGGACGAATTCACCCCACTTGACTGCTATTTTTACTCGCTCGATCCACGAACAGCAATGGACTCATTCAGAAATGGCGGCCACTGCCACTGCTACTGCCACTGCCACTGCCACCGCCAGGGTAGGCGAGTGGAATTGGGGGAACATTGAATGAATCGGCCTCTTACCATACGTGGGCACATATGTATATAAATGCTTACAAGAAAACATGTGTACTCCTGGTGCAAGTTCGGCCCGCTCACACGCTCATCTTCACTGTACTGTAGCTACCCCGTACTGTGCTTAGCCCCCTGAGTCACCTAGGTATACATTTCGTTTCGTGTCGTCCTATCTCCTGTATCTATCTACCGTAACAATCAGCCAGTCATTCAGTCCGTCACGTCTGATGACTCAATGGCCAATCCCCCCGGCCACCCAGTTATTCCAGTCCGGATCCCCTGGCGCGGGAAACATGCCTTGCTCTCGCTCTCGTTCTCGTGCTTGGGCTTGATCATGCTCATGCTCATGCTGGTGCTGGTGCTGATGCTGTGGCGGATTCTGATTCTGGTTCTGATTCTGATTCTGCTGATTCTGCCCCTGCCTCCTCTCCTCCTCAAGGACCCTCTGCCTCGCCTGCCTCGCGTACACGAGCAACGCCAACGCCCCCGCTAGCGCAATGATGATTAGACTCTCGACGAACCCGTCGTCAAACTCATCCCACTCGTCCGCCGCATATACATCGCCCTCGACTCGTCTAGCGGCGGTGTCGTCGTGGTCCCGCTGCGTCGTCGCGTACTCGCCATCGCCATGACCGGCCCGGTCGGCCGCGCTGTAGCCGAGGAGGTCGTCATCACCGCCGCCGCCACCGCCGTTTTCGCGGGTAAACTGTTCGGCTTCGCGGGCGTCCATCTCTTCGGCGGCGTCGAGGAAGCGGTTCACCCACTCGGCCCAGCCGCGCCAGCGTTTCTTGCCGTCGAGTTCCTCTTCGTCCTTGATGCCGTTGACTTTGCCGCCGCTGACGCCGTTCCACCAGCTCCGGGCGCGGAGCTTGACCAGCGCGAGCTTGACGGGGAGGTAGGCTTCCTTGTTCATTTCGAGGGCGAGGTCGTAGTATCGCTTGGCCATGTGGAAGTCCTGCGACACGCTGCCGATGCCGTTCTCGTGCATCCAGCCGAGGTTCCAGAGCGCCTGGGCCGAGTGGTACGATTCCGCGGCCGTGGTGTAGCATGTCGTTGCTTTGTCGAGGTTTGTTGTTTGGGTGTCGTTGGCCTCGGTCTCTGCCTGTGGAAGTAATGCTGGTGCTGCTGCTGGGGCCGAAGATGAGGACATGGAGAGATAGTAGTCGCCCATTTTGATTAGAGAGTCGACGTTGGCCTGTTTCGCGGACCGGGTGAAATACGAGAGTGCGAGTTCTGGGTCGTTGAGGAGCTTGCTTCTCTTGGTGATGGCCGAGTTGCTCGGTCTGGCGGCCGATAGGAGTGGTATCCCCAGGTTGAAGGGCAGCGAGATGACCTGCGTCTTGCGGTCGAGGAGGTACGCCACGTTGGCCTGGGCGTTCTCGTATCCTTGCTCCGCGGCCATGAGGGAGGGGATCAACGCGCGCTCAAAGTCTCCCCTTTCGTACGCCGAATTGGCTTCCACGAAAGAAGAGTGCAAGATCTCCGCTCTCTCGGCAACGACTTTGTAGTACGCAGCAGCGAGGCCGCAGTTTCGTTCACGGCCGACGCCTTGGTTCGTCAGCTCGGCGAGGTAGTAGAACGACTCCATCAGACCGGCCCCAGCAGCGAGTTCAAAGTAGCGGGCTGCAGTGTCGATGTCGCCTTGGTCGAGGAAGAGGGCTCCCAAGGCGGATTGGGCCAGTGGGAGAGACTGTTCCGCGGCGGCCTTCAGGTATGCGCCTGCGCGGACACCATCCTGAGGGACCCCGAGTCCGTCGCGGTACATGACGCCCATGTGGTACTGTGCGAAAGAGTCGCCCTGTGCGATACCGCGCTTGAACCAGGTTTGGGCCTTTTCAAAGTTCTGCTCCATGGCTTCGCCGCGCAGGAACATGCGCCCGATATATGCGGCGGCTTTGCCAGCGACCCGCTCGATGCCTTTGGGCGCCTTGGGAGAGACCTTGCCCTCCTTCGTCCAGTATGCACGGGCGACTTTCATGAATTGTCGCTGTGCTTTGCGGAGATTCTTCTTGTACCCTCTCGGTGCTTCGTAGTAGTGCTTGCCCAGCGTGAGGATGGCGTTGTAATCGCCCTGGCGCTCCTTGGTGTCCAAGTAGTCCAGGATGTAGTCGATATGAGCGGTTGTCACTCCGTCTCGAGGCGCGTTCGGGCCGGAGGAGCTGACGCTTGCGCCCTCGCCGTAGATTCCCCCATCGACCTCAACCCAGCGGTATGCATTCCGGACGAACGAGTTGCCTCCTGGAGGACCGGAGTACCAGTACTCCATGGCCTTGTCTGCGACTCTTTTGTAGTACCCTACGGCCTGGTCACAGTCCCGAGGACAGCCTATACCCGCGTGGTAGCGGAAGGCCAAAGTCATCTCGGACTGAATGTTGTCCTGTTCCGCCGCAAATGTGTGGTATAATAGTGCTTTTGCCTGATCTCTCTCCACACCGCCTATGCCTGTCGCGTACATCAGACCCAGCATATGTTGGGCTGTAGCATTGCCGTCCAAATCTGCCAGCCTGCCATACCAATATTTTGCAGCGTGCAAGTCGCGGGGATGGGAGAAGTTTCCGTAGAAACTCATCTCGGCCAGTAAGAAGATTGCATCGGGGTCGTCGAACGAGGATGCTGTCTTCAGCGTGTCAACCGCCCTTTTCAAGTCCCCGTTGACCTTTGGACCTTCGTGTTCATCTCGGTTAGGTGTGTTCATAAAGAGGGCGCGGAAGATGATTCTCGCGTAACGCCATACTGTCGGCAGCAAGCCCGTGGGCTGCACTGGAGTCACACTGTCCTTCCATGTTGGTTCGAAGTCGCGTAAAATCGACCACACGTCGTGCACAATGTCATTTCCACCTTGGGTCCAGTAGTTGTGCCACTGCTCTTCACTGGGAGGGGAGTCGAGCTGGGAATCAAGTAATTCTGTTCTGGCGGCCGCAAAGGTTCGATGACTAGGCAGAAGGACACCGAAAGCGACAACCAAAGCTGCATGTAGCTTACTATTAGCCGTTGGTCATGATCCAGAAGGTGTGGACTTACAGAGGAGGACCGTTGAGACGGCGTTCAGTCTCGTAGCCATAACGGCGGATGTGTAGGTGGACGTTATTGATAACGCATTATAGAGACCTCCTCTCGCTGGAGATAACCGGATCGATATCAAGCTGCCTCGATCGAAGAGTTGGTCGTGGGAAGAAGCCAGACTGTCGCGAAGCATTCCGCATGCGCCTCGGTCGAGATGACGCCGATCTCCAGCCTTGCGATGACAGCCTTGCGATGACAGCCTTGCGATGACAGCCTTGCGATGACAGCCTTGCGATGACAGCCTTGCG